CACGTGCGTCGCGTGCGCGCTGTACGAGGACTGGATTTGCTTCGCGATGATCCTCACGGGGATCCTCGCTAACGGCCTCTCTTGCTACTGGATCGGCTCCGGGACGCTCACCTTCACGCGCCCCAAGCCCGCGAATGGCGCGCCCCCCGCGCACGGCATCTTGAACGACGGCGAGCAGATCATCATCCTCAAGGGTCCCGAGGGCGCGGTCAACGCCGTCACCCGCGGCGCGTTCTCCCTCGACTACGGCTGCGGCGAGAGATACCACCGGATCGGGGTGTGCGCGCTCCTCCTCACGACGCAGTTCCTCGCGCAGCTCATCCTCCTCCCGCAAGGGACGAACTTTGGCCAGATCATGTTCCTCACGTCCCTCGCGGTCTCCTGGTTGTACAACATCTACCTCTCGTCGCTCGACCGCGACAGCATCAAGCGCCGCATCCTCATGAAGAAGATCCTCCAGGAGCCACGCATGGCCAAGTACACGCTCGGCACCCGCACCGCCATGGCCGTCTTCGTCCTCCTCGTCCTCGCCGAGCGCGACGGCGCTCATCAGAAGCTATGGCACCCCGTCGCGGAACAGGACGAGGCCGACTCGAAGTCGTTGCAGAGCCTGTTCGACGAGCTCCTCCCGAACGACACGCCCACGTGGCGGGTGTGGAAGGACGCGACGCTGCGCAAGGTGCTCAGTACCACCGCGGCGCGTCCATGTCCGAGCTCGGGGTCCGCGCGATCGGGCAGCCGTACTCGCCGAAGTCCCCGGCCCTGATCGATGCCTTGAACGGGGACGTGGACGCGGCGTTCTGTGCGTACCAGTTCCTGGCCGGAACCCCATCAAGGAGGTGCCACTGCGCAGCGGCAGCGAGGACAGGTGCGTGCATGTGCGAAGGGGCGCCGGCCCCCCGCGACGACGCTGATCTCTCGCCCCGCAGCTTGTTCGAGAGCCCCCCGCGGCGGGCGACGTGCATGTCCCCGACCTTGCCCCCGCGCGGGCCGTTTCCGTTCCCGATGCCGTTCTTCGGCTCGCACACGCACTCCTTGCTGCACGAAACTCGTCGACCGACACTCTGGTGATGTTGAGCCCGGAGCTATACCCGAAGGACAGGGTTTGATTTGGCTCTGCAAGTTCCGATGTACAGCGGGGCTGCGCGGGGCGCGGTTTTCGTGAGGCAGGATGATATTGGAATGATAGGCGAGCACGCGGTTCGGGTCGAGTGTACTGGGCATGGAGTGGTGCGTAGTCTGCATACATATGCTATAGTGATCCCTCATTGTCATGTACCATTGTATACCTTAAGATCGGGCGCAGGAAATTCGCACTTCGTACTGTACTGTAGTAGTATTTGCGGCTTCTTATATGTAGGTCTACTTATCTTTGGTGACGGTATGATACAATATAAGATACCCCGTATAATAAACGCATATCTGAGGCGTCGCAGACTAGAAAAGTCCCCAGACGGTCCATATTCTGGAGGACTTGTTGGCGGATCCCGGGCCGACGGCCCGCCAGGCTCCTCCGGGTTGAACCGACGTCCAGCCGGCGCTCTCCGAGAGCCCAGCTGGCGGAGTACTGGACGCCTTCGACTGTGATCATCACGTCCAGGACAAAATGTCGACCGTCTCGCCAGAAGCTCCTCCAAAGGCAAGGACAAGTCGGCAGAGTATCAAGACTGCACGGCCTGCCGCGTCATTGGCACCGGCGCCCTCGGCGGCTCCGGGTTGTACATGCTCTCCGGGATGCGTGCACAAGCCCCCGGGTCGGTGATGGGGAAGCGCATCATGGGAGGTGTCGGCGTAGGTATGTGGGTTTTGTCTCGGGAATGTGCACGATCTGATTCAGCATTTTCAAGGTTTCTTGGTAGCCAGTTACTTGCGCTGGACGAATTGAAAGACACTCTCAGCTATAGGCTCTCGAGTCAGCGGCGCGTTCGCGCACGATTGTTTCGCGCCCCTGCGCCTTGTGCCATTGAACGTCGAGCAAATTGAACAGGCCAGCACCCGACAAATGCGCACGATCCAACTTTTAATGATTCGTCGAAGCACGCAGCGCCGATGTACCGTACGAACAAACGTACTGGCCGGCGTCATGTCCGAGGGTGCAGCGCAAACACCGCCGCACCGTTCACGCACCCCTCGCCCTTCTTCGAGATCCACCGCCCCGCACGCATCTCCTGACCCACGCCCGCCACCAGCAGCACCGGCGTTGCCCTCGATGCCGCCTTCACCGTCGCCCCGTTCGCTTGCGGGTGTGGTTCAGGTTCCGCGTCGTCGCCGTTCAACCGTGACGGGGCGGCGGCCCACGCGGCGGCGGCGAAGAAGTCTTTCGGTGCGGGGACGAGCTGGAGGGTGTTGACGACGCCGAGGACGGGGATGTGCCGAGGAGTGCGAACGACCTGAGCTTGGAGTCGAGCTTCCAGAGTTTGACTTCGCCGTCCCAGGACCCTGTCGGCGTGGGTGGGTGTGAGCGAGGGCGAGAGTTCAGAGGGACTGGTGCCGAGATGGGACTAGGAGCGCTGAACGCGGACGACTGGGCTGCAGATTGCACAGCACGGCGCAGCGGAGAAGTGCGCGATACGGGGTGCGAGTCCGAAGCAGAAGGAGGTTGTGGAGAAGAGATGACGAAACGCACCGGAAGCGAAGAGGTCGGAGTATCGGAGACTCGCCAGAGCGGTCACCCACCGTGGTTGACGGATCGTGGGGATCTTTTCCGCCTCGACCTGGGCGAGGTCCATGCTGTGGGCGAGTGCTTGCGTGTACACAGGCTTCTTTCGCTGTGTGGACCACAGGGAGATCGACCTGCGCAGTCGGGAGGTGTTAGCTCGGCCATGCGTGGTGGTTCTCTCCGCAGGCGAGGGAAGGAGAGAAGCGTGGAAGGAGCACACAGCAGAAGAACGGAACATACCCGCTATCGCCCCGCTCACGAACGTGGTCTCGTCGATCATCGCGACGCATTCGATACTGCCCTCCACAAACTTCTCAGCCTTCGAGTCCTTTCCTTTCGCCTTCGCCTTCTCCGCCTCATCACCACCGTCCAGGTCGAGGTCGTCGTAAAGCTTGCTGCGCCCGCCGCCGCGGAATACGAGCTGCGTCTCTTCCGGAACCTTCCAATACCGCACCGTCTTGTCGCGCCACCGGTGCTCACCGCGGTTTCCCCGCGGAGCACATCAAGGGCCAGCACGGGTGCTTGGTGCCCAAAGAGCGTCTCGACGTAGCCCATGGTGGTCAAGTCGAAGAGCTTCAGCGTTCGGTCATACGATCCGGAGTACAATTGCGTCGGAGTCTGCGTTGAGGCTGCGCCTTCCGGAACGCGAGAGCCTGTCCGAACCTCAAGCATAAGCTCGCGCCACCGCGCACGCACCAAGGCTGCTCACCGATATGCTGTCCCGATGTCCGCCAAAGCCCTTCACCCACGCATCCTTCTCGACGTCCCACACGCCCACGCGCCGGTCCTTTCCCCCGCTCGCGAGGTACTTGCCGTCCGGGCTGAGCGCGAGCGCCCAGACTTCGTCCGTGTGCCCCTGGACATCACCAGTATCGCGCGACTTGCCCTTCCCTTTGTCTGGGCGGTGTTTTGAAAGACGTGGGCCTGCTTCCCGGTGCGCAAGTCCCACTTGACGATGGAGCCCTCCTTGCCGGCGGTAAAGAGCCAGCGGGCGTCGTGCGAAGCCACCGCGGCGGTCACGGAACACCGGTGCGCGTGTTTCGTGCGCAGAGACGGTGAGGGTACGGAGAGGTCGAACTAAATGCGTCTCGCATCTTGAGCAGATCACTTGGGGGCTAAGGCGGACTCACAGTGCCCGCGACGAGCAGGTGCATCTTCCCGGAATGCTCCATGACGTCCTGTTTTAGTCGCGCAGAGACGAGCTCGCGGTCGATCTCGGCTGCGTCAAATTCGCCGTCGGCTGCGTGGGAGACATGCGTGCGTGAGTGGTGGGGGAATAAGAGCGAGGAACGGGGTGCGCACCGAGCGAGAGGCCCTGCTTCACGCCCTCAAGGTAGAGCTTTGCGAGCCGAAGCCGCTTCTGCGCGGGGGTCTCGTCCTCGTCCTCCTCCCCGCTCTCGTACGCGTTGGGGTCCACCTCCGGGGCCCGCAAGTCCATCTGGTCTATTCCCTCCTGGTCGTCATCTTGCGTCTCGTCGGAGAGCTCTTCGTCGCCCGTGGTACGTTTCTTCGCAGGTGCTGGTTTTCGCAGTTTGCCCTTTGCGCTGTGGGCCATCTTCTTGGAAGTGGAGGGACCTGCATCCTTAGTGCTTGACCGCTTACGCTTGCGATTTTTGGAGGATGCGAAAAAGGCGTCAGGCATGGAGGAGGTGGGAAGGGTGCGTATATGCACTGGAGGGACGCGGTGCAGAGAGTCGGACGAATCGCAGAACTTTTAGGCGCCCGTATGGCACGTGCCGCTTGAAAGATAGACTCCCGCTTGGGGTCCGGGGTCCTTGACACCAAGCGAGGGGTTCGGGGTCTCTCCGTACTGTTGTTTCTTAATCATGAAATGCGAGTTGAATCTTGATGACAGTTCACAGGTACGTCTTGTAGTCCTGCATAAGTATATTTGGAGAGCATTGACGCTTTTCATGTGCAGATTAGACCACTATTTGTCTTGCACAGGCTGGTTATGCATTAAACAACCATCGGTCGGTCGAGCAACGTGCTACAGAGAAAACACCGCCCGTCGATCACCCTGCCTACAGGCCGATCGAGCGATGCTCCGTTGCTCCTGTGGCCATCGTCGACGGATCCGGAATTCTTCCAGGCGGACGAACCGTTCTTGAACTGCACAAAGGCATCCTCCCGTCCGGGATACATATCTAGGGCGCGTTCGTTTTGCTACACCAGAGCCTGCAAAGGCCGCGCCGCTGCCCTGCCCCCAGCCATCTCAAGATCTCATCACATCCGCCACCCACTCTGTCAGATATCGCTCCGGACGACCATCCCAGGTGTCTGTACAAGCAGACAAACATTCCCCGACGCGAGTCCATTTGCACGGCCTCGGGCGCCTCCTCCCCATCTCGCCCTGGAGGCTCCCGAGAGACTGCTATTCCGTGTGCGTCGTGACTGGTCACCGGGCAAGGACTACGACACTAGCGGAGACCAGTGCCCTCACCTTCACACGTACCAGCCCTCTTGTGGCTGCCACGTTTGTCTCCCCACAGGCCGGATGCCACCGAGATGCCCCTTTCAAGGCAAGCCTCGCCCTTCTCCGCGCCCTATCTGAGGCAACCCGGAGCAAAACACGCACGTCCCTCTGCTCTGAATGCATCGGTGCGAAGCGAGCTGCCTCGTGGGCCGTTCGTCAGAATCCGTGAGGTGGACCCCTCTCGAAGCTAGCGGTTCTTCTCCGACACGCCCGGAGGCCACACGCCCTACGGCCTGTTTCGTGCTGCCCGCGCTCACCCGCCCCTTGTCCGCTGAAGCATTGGAGACTGGAGGCGAGCACAAGCTTGGCGCCCGAGGCTGGCGAGGTCTGGGGAGGGGACGAGGCGGGGGGGACGGAGGGCATCGGACGGGTGTGATGGCTGATATCGAGGGCTCCCACACGTTCTGATATTTCTGGACCGCACCGGGAGCGACCTGGAGGGCGAGGCGGATACACGCCTGGAGGCCAACGAGCGAATATTGCCACTCGCGAACCTTCATGCACCGGAGACAGCGTGACCATCACTCCGTCACGCGGTCCGAGGCGCGGCGTGTGGTCGTGTTTGTGCCCAGTGGCGAGGACGGTGTGATATAACGGAGGCGACGCGCGCTGCACTCAATCCCTCCCTCCCAGTCCCTCCTCAGTGCACATGGTCGTTTACACGGGACCTCACCTCTCCGTCGCAGCGCCCTGTCCTCCCAATAACGCACGCTTAGCGTCGCGGGCGCTGCGTCGGGCTTGCCTTTCGACTTCGCGCTCGGGGCGTTTCTCCAACTCTCTCCAACTCTACCACCTCCATATCTCGCTCTCCTCTCCCGCAATGGTGAGTGCTTTCGACATTCCTGTAGCGAATCTGCGCTCAAGACGCGCCTTGAACGCCTAGGTCTTCGTTGGCGACAAGAAGTACGCTTGGTTCGTCCCCCCTATCTTCATCACACAAATCACGTGCGCTAAAGATAGTGCGCTCCAGTGAAACGTGCATCAAAGGTCACCGCTCCTCCTCCTGCAAACACACCGACCGACCGCTCTTCGAGATCAAGAGGAAGGGGCGGCCGGTCACGCAGTGCGAACACTGTCGCGCACTGCGTAAAACTCGCCAAATCCACGTCAAATGCGTCTGTGAATCCAAAGACGCCGCCGACGGCCCCAGCCTCCCACGCAAGGTGTGTTGATAACATTCGACCCGTCCTGCAACCCGATCCGTCTGACCTTGAAGGCCTTGTTGTTCTGTTGCTTGCCAGCTGGCCCCAAGGCCTCCATCCGCGCCGCGTTTCCTGGTGGCTTGCCTGAAGAGCTGCTGCCGGAAGCGTCGGTTGCGTCCCAGCCTCTGTCGGAGTCCGATTCGGACCAGAGCAGTGCGTCTGCTTACCACCTCGTCACTGAACGTGCTCTGACTTTGCTTCTAGGTCCGCCCTGCACTTGCAAGGACGCTGGGAACTGCACTTGCTGGACTCCCCGCGTACGCGGCAAGCGCGCTTCGAAGGCGGGCTCATCCCGTCGCGGCTCCGAAGCCGGCTCTGCGGCGACCGCCAATAGGGATATTTTTCCCAGCCGGGCGGTCTTGTCCTGCACGCTCACTCTGGAAACATGCGACCCATGCTACCCAAACCTCCATCCCCCACCTCCACCTCGGATCGCCCCGGATCGCCCTCCCGAACGTCGCATGACCCTTCCTTCACCCAGAGCGCTCGCCTCCCTAGCCACGGCCTGACTTTCTACAGTCCCTATGGCCGCGCCTACGAGTCGACACGCCCACCCGGGTACTCGCCGATAAGCGGCACTCCTCCTGGAGCACTGCCCAGTCTCATCGAAGGCCAACCGGCTGCAGACCGTCATTTCGGCGACTGGTCTCTCGGTGGGGACAGCTCCGCGTTCTCGGCCTCTCCCATGACCCCTCCGTCCTGCCAATGCGGTCCTCTCTGCACATGCCCCGGCTGTCTCGAGCACAACGGGTCCAACGCCGACCCCTCCGCCACATGCACCAATCCCGCCACCTGCCTCGCATGCTTCGAATGTAATATCAACTCTCTTGCCTCCCTTGCCACGCACACTGCACGAACTGTCTACGACTCCGCATCGATGCTGAACATCGACGACTGGCTTCGTCAAGTTTCCTCCCTTCCCGACATCCCGACCGGCGCGCTCCCTCCCCCTTCATCCATGCTTCCTTCCCCTACCAACGTCAGCCACCCCGAGTTTCAATTCGACACGAACATGATGGATGACTTCGGCATGTGGGGCAACCTGGACAACGTCCCCTCTGTCCCTTCGCAGGCGCCGCGCAGCGACGCGTGCCGCGGCCGTTGCGATTGCCAGCCTGGCCTTTGCAGCTGCCCCGCTGAGTGCTGCGGCTGCTGCCAGGGATGCGAATGTACCAACTGCCTCTACCGTGGTGGCGCCGTCCACTCTTTCCGTTCGCACGGCGGCGGCGACTGCTGCGGTGGGCGCCCTGGCACTGCGCCATCCCCGTCGGGACCAGTCGCGGTTCCGACTACGGTCGTGCACGCTATCGGCGATTCAGGGTACGCGGACGCGTCGTGGTTGGACCCGATGCTGCCCGTCCGCGCACAACCGTCAGCCGCGCGTCGTCCTCGTCTTCGCGCTCCTCTCACCTGTCGCGCCCACCGTCCGCACTCGACCCCGCCTCGGACGGTGCGGCCGGGGCCACGGGCTCGGCGGGCGTGCATGCGTGCTGCGTGTCGCTCGGAAACCTCCGCACGGATGTCGCGCACTCCCGCTCGCACTCGTCGCCGTCGTCGATGGCGGCTTCTCCCTCACCGAGTTCACTCGGCGCGGACCACAACCAGTTCCGGAATGGAAGCAGCGGCTAGCTAGGTGCTGGGACGTTCTTCCGCGAATGTCTATATCTTTGCTTCCTTCCCAATGTGCCCCGATTCGCGATATTCCCTCCTCCCCTTCTCCTTCTCCCGCGTTTCGTCTGCTTCTTTGTTGTTCATACATCGCCCCAATTGCAAGTTCGCTGAACATTGATGTATTCTAGTACCGGGCTGATGCGCCCACCATGCTCTTCCGCCCATCCTCGACTCCGTTCTCGCCGTCTTCACGTACAGTGCATTCATGTCGCGCGCCTGGCAGACTACGCCTTGTCTGGGCGTCGCGAAGCCCTCCTGGTCCCGCATATCTAGATGTGAATGCAATCTTGTTCTTGGACTGCCACCTTACGCAATGACTGCCTCGGCTGGCCAATCGGAGAAACGTTCCCGCACGGTGAAACGGCAGGGTGAGAACCTGGGGCGGGGGTGGGATCTGCGCGATCAACGTGTTGTAAATGCTTTGAACTTGGAGCTCGGACCGAGCTAGCAGCTTCGTGAACCGACTGTCAGATGTTCTTGGATCTAGGATGCGCGGACAATACCGGGATGGAGAGTTGAACCAGAGAGTGTGCGCAGGGGGTGTATGCATCTATATATACGCCTAGGGAAGGACTGTCCTTACACATCAACAACATTGTCCAAACGATTAACAGAGTACTAGCGAGATTATGAAGATCATGAAGATTATGAAGATGGGAACTCTCGTCCCCATACTTACCATGTTGCCCTCTCCGTCGACGACGGTCCGTGTCCTCCACCATGTGCACCGCGCCCGCATTAAGCAGGCCCCGTGTGCAGATGCACTCGGGAAACCGCCACCTCGAGCTGCCTCTCGATCTCCTCCGCGAACGCCCGACACCGCTGCGCCTCCTTCCCGCACTCAGCGCAGGCCATGATCACCGCCAACGCCGCCTCCTCCATCCCCCACACCACACTCTCTCCCACCGCGCCGCCCGGGTCCGGCCGCGCGGTGAGCTCCGCCTCGAGCGCGCGCAGGTACCCGAGGACGAACGCGAACGTGCGCGCGACGCCCGGCTCGGAGCCCGCGACGCGCACGCACATCCACGCGCTGCGCGCGGCGCACCCCGACCGGCCGCACGGCGCGGGCAGCGCGCGCGTCACGCTCCCGGGGCGGTCTTCGCGCGTGAAGAACACCCCGTACGCGTCGGGCGACACGAGCGCGACGGCGGCGGCGGCGCAGCGCGTGCGGTAGCTGAGGAGGCGCGCGGCCGCGCGCCCCGCCTCGGTCCCCCCCGTGCCGGGGGGCACGGGGCAGGACGGGAGGCGGAGGGTGCGGCGCGCGGCCGCACGCGCGACGTCGGGGAGGGACGCGGAGCAGGCGAGCGGCTGCGCGTCGAGGTGGTAGGGCCGGCGGAGGGCGTAGGGGAGCTCGAGGAGGACGGGGGAGATGGCGTACTTGCGCGCGGGGGCGATGAGCACGCGGATGTCGGACAGGGTGACGTTGGGGTATTCGAGGCCGGGGTGGATCATCTGGAGGATGAGGGCCCAGACGGCGCCGGACTCGGGGACGAAGACGGTTGGTTTGAAGTTGGGGGAAAGGCTTGGACGGGGGTACTGGATGTGGCGGACTTGGGCGCCGAGGACGGCGATGTGGACGTGGAACTGGGTGCCGTCAGAAGTACACAGGATGACGTCGCCGATGGAGGGGTCTTGGAGGGGAAGGGGGTTGGAGAGATGCTGTTCGAAGCGAAAGTCGGGGAAGGCAGTGGCGGAAGTCATGATCTGGAGAACACACAGTGGATTTTGAGAGTCGTGCGTATAAATATATCAGACCTACTCTTTTCAGTGGGCCATTGCCACCAACCGGAGCTCCGACCATCTGGAAACGGGCATGCAAATTCACTGAGGAAAGGCTTGTGCAACGGTTGTCAAGTAAGTGACAAAATCCTACCACGCTGTGATGTTGACGCTTGTGTTACGAAGATGTCAAGTAGCTCTATGATTGTAGAGTACAATGAAGGCCCATCGCTACCGCGAAAAGACCCAGGTTGAAACACGCCTCGTCCAAGATAGACAATCACGCACCAGGAGAAACACGGCCCAGGCGGAATCAACGCTCCGGGCGAGGACCGTAACCTTTACAAAGCCGATGGAATAACACTGAGCCGAATTAAGTAGTATCAAGGAGTGAACATCGTTCAGCATGCAGTGCGTGCAGTGGAGGTAGCAAACAAGGGTCACGCCAGAACGCGACACACTTCGATCACGTCATACAAGCGCCTACAAATCGTGTGCATGTGCGCAGGAGACATCCTCCTCGCGCTTTGGGGCTTGGAGTTCCGGCGAGAATCCGGAGAGCGTGCATTGAGAGTGCCTGCAGGTGCATATTGGCAGGTGTAAATTGCATCAGATAGCAAAATTACCATACCTCTTGCTTCTTCAATGCGCCGCCGTCGGAACACCGTCTTAGAACTGGAGCTGCACCTGCAACGAGCAACGTCAGATGTATTCCCCACTTTCAACCGTCTGCACACTCACTTGGGAGATTGCGGTTTCAATCCTTGCCTCAGTCTGTTCTGCAAACGTGTTGCATCTTTCGTAGATGGTGCTCCTGCATGTGGCGCAGCTGAGCACCGACGTCACAATGATGGTGAGGAGGGAGGCATGTCGAGCCAGCGAAGGATCTGGCCGATGAGAGAGTCCCTTTGAAAGGCCGTCGAGGTATTCGATGCAGGATTTATATGTGCTTTTCCATCCGTCGTTTTCGAAGTAGATGGGTTGTGTCGGTACCGAACAACTAAAACCTCTCGAGGTCGGGTTACAGGGCAGTAGTATGTCTGCCTGGTTCATCACCTCCGTGATAAGAACGGCAGCCTCGCAGCACTCTTCCCGGTACCGCATCAACCGACACACCGCATCTCCACCCACGAACTCGAATGCCTCCGCGGGCCGTGGGCACCCCGACATTTTGAGCGTGCGCCGCGCCGCGACCCGCGCGACGTCCTCGAAGCCCCCAAAACATGCAAGCGCGTACACTGCGTACGGGTGCTCGTCCAGGAACTCGGGGGAGTACAGCGGCCCGCGAGCGTGGCCCACTACCCCGGGGATACCGTACTTGCGTCCAGTGGCGATGAGCGCGCGTAGGTCCGCGAGGTCGAGAGGGGGTTCTTCGGCGAGGTAGATGAGAGGCAAGATCTTGGACCACACGGTGCTCGCCTCCGAGACGTCAACCGCTAGCTTTTCTGTGATGGTCGGGCCCTCGGTGGAGGATGTAGTAGGGAGAGGGGGGAGTGTGAACATGTCGGCGAAGAAAGGGGAAGCGTCCGCAAGGCGGCGGCTGTGCACGTGGAACTCAACGTTGTCGGAGGTGCGTATGATGATGTCCCCGATGGAGGCGTCTTGGTAGGGGAGTGGAGTAGTCATCTGGGAGGTGCTGAGAGGAGATGCTATGCGGCGTGAGCGAGCAGCTGGAGGTATCGGGGTCATATAACATGGGATGCAGGCGCTGCGGCAGCTGCAGGTGTCGGGGTAGTAGATCATGGGGTGCAGGCGCTGCGGCAGCTCTTTATCCAGAACTCAATCGCCCGAACCTCAGTGCACATGCGATCGGAGACGTGAAGAGAAGTCGCAAACCAAACATGCGACTTCGCAGTGGACTTGTAAGACTATGATACAAAACGTTTGATTACGACAGCGACACTGGGAATTGGTCAGTCCATATATCAGATGGCCAGCGAACGAAGAGATGTACTCAAACCCCATGCATGCTCAAAGCCCACCATACTTTTGGACGAACTGCTTGTGGAATGTCTCCAACGCGCCGACGTACTCCTCCACACCCGGACAAAGGCACGTCAGCCGGTAGTGGTGCTCCCCATCCTTCTGCCCGAACCCGGACCCGGGCACGACACAAATGCCCGTCGCGTCGAGCAGCTCGAGCGCATATAGCGTGTCTGGGCTCTTCCCCAGCCTCTTCGCCTCCTCGACCGCCTTCTCCGGGAGCTCCACCTTGGGGTACAGGTAGAGCGCCCCTGGGGAGTCGACGCAAGAGACGCCGGGGAGCGCGTTGAGGCGGCTCGCCATGAGTTGTGTGCGGTGGCGGAGCGCAGCGTGGATCGTGCTCGTCTCCTCCTTCCAGAGCGGATATGAGGGGTCGTTCGGTCGGGGCGGGCGCACGAGGCAATCGACGCCGATCTGGCCCGAGAGCGGCGGGCAGAGCGTGACGGAGGCCATCTTGTAGAGGAGCGCGCGGACCTCATCCGAGACGTTCGTGCACTCGAAGTAGCCGCCGCGCCGGCCGCACTCGCCCTTGACGCCCTTGGAGATGGAGTGGAAGGAGAAGAGCGGGATGGGGGACTGGAGCTCGCGCACGACCTGCTTGAAGGAGTGGAAGGGGTGGGTGTCGGGGCGGTGGAGGTTCGCCTGGTAGACCTCGTCGGCGAGGAGAACGAGGGAGTGCTCCTCGCATAGACGGACGACGTCCTCCATCGTGCGCTTGTCGAGGATCGCGCCCGTGGGGTTGCCGGGGTTGATCACGACAAGGGCCTTGGGCTTGACACCGTCCTTTTCGGCCTTGACAAGCGCAGACCTGATCTCATCGAGTGAGGTCGACCAGCCGTCCGGCTCGGAGAGATGGTAGGGAAGGGCAACGCCGGAGAACTGCGCGAGCGTTGCGGTGTAGAGCGGGTATTGGGGTATGGGGATGAGGACGCCAGTCACGTTGGGGGTAATGAGAACGTTGAGAATGAGGGAAACGCCGGCGGACGCGCCGGTGGTCAGGAAGATGTGTTCGGGGTCGCTCGGGAAGCCGTCACGCTCTGTAGGTGCGCGTCTCAGGACCGGGGCGCGACGGAAGCGCATACAGCCAGCAGAGACGCACCTTCGATGAACTTGGCGACGCTCTTGCGGATGAGGGGAACGCCCTTGCTATGCGAGTATGCACCAATGGACCCGATCTCCTCCTGCAGCTCCTTGGCGCGGTCGATGACATCTTGTGGCCACTTGCCCTGGACAAGGTCCGCGAGAGGCGGGTACTCCATGAGGGCCGCAACCTGCGCACAAACTCCGTCTCTCCTCCGCACATGCAACGAGGCAGAAAGCGGACTGACCTGACGCGTGAATGTCAACGGCGGCTGGTCGAGTCCCTTTTGTTGGGGGTTGCCGATGTTGGAGGAGATGACCTTCAGGAAGGGCAAGTCCTTGTTGCCGGACTGGAGCTGGAGGCGGAGGTCCTCGGCCTTGATGGCGAGCTCGCCGCGGACGGCGTACTGCACATTGCGGACGGCGGGGTTGAGGTCTTCGGCGAGGAGGGGACGCATGGTGGGGGCTGAGACGGAGAAGGGGCGAGAGGGCTGGAACGTGGAAAGGCGGTGGAGGGGGTTATGTACACCGCGAGGATGACGGGGGACCATGGGGGGCTAGACTGGCAAGCGCAGGCAGCTGGGCGGCGACCCCCGATGATGGGCTCGATAGTTATCACTGGGATCTCTGCGCGCGGATATGCCAGCCCGCAGCAGAGAGGCTCTGGGGAAGAACGCGCGTCGAGCACGTTGTCCACGACGACGAGGCGAGTCACCCCGCACTCGCTAACAGCCTGATCTCAGATCCCCGAAACGCGGAGGTCGTCTTAGACAGATTAGATTCCGGTACTTATGACTTACTTGAGGGTGACGTCAACTCACGTGATCGTTCTAATTGTAGACGCCCGCGTGAGCGCGCCATCGCCCGCAGGACCGCGAAGCATCGCGCTCAACGTTCGTGATGTCGCACGAAGGTGCTCGAACAGTCTGTCTCACCCTCTCCTCCTCGTCCACAAAGTCCCTTCATCTTGGCCATTTCCCTTGATACTCGCCCTCCCTGTCGCCTAAGCCTCTTATCATCGTCACCATGTTTGGTTGCCTAGTAGCAGGTCGTCTCCTCCAGACGAACCTTGCGCAAATCGACGAGACGCACGCGACATTCGAGATCCACAACGCGACCGCGGTAAATCACCTCTGTGTCTTCTTGCTTGGAACAGGTGCGTCGTAGTACCTTCGCCAAACGTCTCCTGCGCTCAACTTCTCTTGTGCAGTCCAGTTCCCGGAAGGCTATGGCGCGACCGTACACTTTTTCTGGCCAGGCAAGGGTTTCCAATTACTTGGGATGTATGTCAGTTCTCTTTGGCGTGTTGACTGTACCCCTCTCATACCCTCTTCCCCGTCCAGGCTCTCCAACGAGAAGCCCTCCGCGATCTTCCGTGTGCGCGGCACGTACGCCGCACAGTCCACGGACGCTCACGCCGTATTCACCGGCGCAACCTCCTCCGCACTCACCCTCGTCACCCCCGGCTCACCCCCGCCCACCGACGTGGTCGCGCACGTCGGGATATCCATCGAGCCGCTCTCCCAGATCCAACAAGAAGTCGTCGCGCTCCCCGGTCAAGGTCAAGCAGTTCTTACCGCCGAAGGCAGGGCGACTCAGGCTGCGGTCATGGCGGATCGCGTGGTCAAGAATCTGTTCAACTACCTCTCGAGCTTCGTCGACGGGAACCCGGCAGCGATGGGCGCGGACGTGATGATCCCGATGGGCATGATTGGGCGGTGGTACGAGAACTTCATGGCGAAGCTGCGGACTTCCGGGGCGGGGTTTCTGGAGCGGCAAGAATAGTGAGGTCGGTATGGATGCCAGTGATGGAGGTGAGAGACTCTGTCTACTTCCCGTCGACCGTTCGGTGGTCAAACATGTATTCAATCTCCTGTACAACACTTTCAAGAACAAGAACCCATCCCTCGCAGCTCGTGCGTGATCTAGTTCTGGGTTGCTTTCCTTGTACCCTCCGGGTACCATCAGCTTGAGCGTAGTCGCGTGTAAGCGTCCAACTATGCACTTCGTACGTCACATCCGCACGGGTCAACTCCACGTCAAATACTTACGGCTACGTGTAGAAAGATAGTCTAAGCGCCGAAAAATGCGACGTGCGTTGAGAATTGGTTAGAAATTCGCCAGCGATGGCCGAGGCACCACCGATGGTATGGTAGCTTGGATCACTCATGATTCATGCTGTATTTGCTCACGAATCCGCTTGGATACCAAGTTCCCAAGCTCACTATGAACATGACGAGGTAATGTAGGAGGGTCCAGCGCGCTACTTCTTGAAGTCCTCCCGGTTCAACCCCACTCTAACGCTGAAGGAGTGGCTAGTGTTCCCGTGTACCGGTAATTCCCACTGTTGCGGCAGAGGGAAGCCTGGAATTTCAACCCACCGTCAATGACTCCGTGTCATGTTGATATGGTGTCTTTATGTTAGTACGTGGGCAACCCGTGATTATTGTGGATGCAATGTAACGACACTGCTTACAGATATGGAGAGCCCATCGCACGCGGCGGAAACACACCACAATCCAAGACGCAGTAATTGCTGCCAAAGACTTTCACTACCGAGTAGGGCAGACAAATACCTCTTACCTAAAAAACTGTTCATAGCCCAGAGCGCCGCCGATGGGAGCGCATTGTGTCCTACTCTATCGGCCTTGTTGGAAACCACCCTCCTTTACATATAATGCGAAAAGCTGCGGTGCACTCAGCTCATTGAACGACCCTCAGTTGATTGTCTAGCCTCCCCCAACCTTTTCGCCCAGTGTTCAGCATGACCGCCTCCAACCTTCCTGTCGTGGTCGTGAGTCCCCTTTAATGTCGCAATGTGCTTTTATTGATCGTTATAAAGATAGGAGCAGGTCCGACGGGGCTCATGACTGCGCTCTGCCTCGCCAAGAGCGGTATCCCGGTTCGCATCCTGGAGAAGACGCACGAGTTCCATCGCATGTCGCGTGGGAGCGGCCTGCATGTATGCCTGTCACTGCTCCTTCAGGTCGTTTCATCTTGCTAACTTCCAGCTCGTCGCTCTCAGCCTCGGACGCTTGAGTATCTTCACATCCTCGGCCTGCTGGAAGACTTCGAACGCCTCATCGTGGACATGCCACCCGCGCGGGCGTACAAGCTCCCCGGTGGGACGGAGGTGGCTCGCGAATGGGACATTCTCGAGAAGCCAACGAAGACGCCCGACCGGCCTTATGTGGGTAACGTGTGTTGCTCGTGCGGAAAAGAGGCTCATGTTTTCGTCCTCGCAGGGCCTAGCCATGATCAGCCAGTTCCAGAACGAAGATATCCTACGCGAGCATCTCGCTGCCCTCGGCATCCGCCCAGAGATGGGATGTGAGCCGCAGTCGATCGAGCAGAACGACACCGCTGTTGTCGTAACGGTGAGGAAGACCAACGCGGACGGAACCGCCGCCGGCGAAGAGAAGATCCACGCAGCCTATGTAGTGGGCGCTGATGGAGCTAAAGGTGGGCATCGAGCTACGTCGTTGCCGAACATAGCTTAACCGCCTCTCAGGAATGTCTAGGAAGACCATCGGCGCAACGTTCGAAGGCAAGACGGTGGATGAGGACGGCGGTGTCTGGTTCCAAGCAGACGTCGAGGGCGATGGCTTGAGTTCAAACGTGAGTGTGATTAGAATCCGAGCACAGATCACGACAGGCTTATGAGGGTTCTGAATTAGTATTGGCATATGTGGATCATCCCAGGAAAAGCGACGTGCGTACTGTTGCAATGAGTATGGGGTGACGGCTATAGACTCACTGCATCGTAGGGTCATGCTGCGGCCCGAGGGCACCAACGGAGGCTTCCTGATAGGTGTCGTTGGAAAGAACTTCGATCCTGCGGAGGAACTGATGGATTACGACGCGGCCATTGCCTTCTTCCGCGAGAACACTGGGCGCACCGATTTGGTTTTCAGAAACATGCACTCCCTGTTTCACTGGAAGTGAGTCGCGGAACGCAGTATGATGTGATCATGAGGCTGATTCAACGCAGGCCGAAGATGCTCATGGTGAACAAGTACTCGGAGGGCCGAGTTTTCATCGCAGGAGGTACTGCATCCCGACCCCCTTCCGTTCAGCGTTTAGACTTCCTAACACAATGGCCCAGATGCAGCGCACATTCACTCACCCACTGGAGGCCAGGGCCTCAACACGTGCGTTGCTGACGGGGTAAGCATACTATCTGCTTACTATTCGTCGGAAATTACTCACACCAGTCCCCAGATCAACCTCGCATGGAAGATCGCCCTCGCGCACAAAGGCCTCGCGACAGCAGACCTGCTCACGTCGTACCACACCGAACGCCACCCCATCGCCGCCGAGGTCATCAGAATCTCGAGCTCGCTCTACGTGCAAACAGTAGCCACGAGCGCGGAGGATATCAACGTCCCCGTCACCGCAGAGGAGTCCAAGAAGGGCGGTCTCATTCGCTGGCGTGTCGCCGGGCTCTCGCAGCTCGAGATCAACTACCGCTGGAGCCCCGTCGTCTACGACGCCCGCGGCCCCGCCGGCCTCAGCGAGGCCGAGATGCGCGCGTACGCGTACACGGGCTACGGGCCCGGCGCGGAGGTGCGCGCGGGTGACCGCGCTCCTGAGGCACCTGGGCTGGTCGATGCCGCGGGGAAGGCGACCTCTCTCTTCGCGATCTTCAAGCCGGACGCGCACACTGTCTTGGTGTCGTGCGCCGACACCGGCGACGCGACGATCGTGGACGTCGTCGACGCCGTCAAGGCTCTCCCGGCCGGCCTCGCTGTCCGAGTCGTCGCCATCGGCTCGTCTGTAGTCCCGAACGTCGAGCGCGAAGTGGAGGGAGTCTATCACGACGGGGCCGGCTGGTTTGGACGCGCGTACGGGCTCATGGGTGGAGCTCCGCCTGTCGTCGTGGTGCGGCCGGACGGATACATCGGGGCGTTCGCCAACGACGCAGCTGGTCTTCGAGAGTACTTCTCCAAGATCGTCGTGATGTGAGGCTTGAATCGTGGTCGCTGTTCTTGTAGGGAAAGCTCTGTTGGTGTGCACTCATACGTGACATGCGGGCGAATAGTATTGATTGGAGATACTACATAATACATGAATGGCGCATGTTGGCTTCCCCGCCGCGCGAGCGACGGGTACTAGTCCCGAGGGCCACGAAGAGGCCCGCACCGATACCTCGGGAAGTATATCTAAACGGAGGTCGTAAGGCCGAAACATAGGTAGACATAGGCATAGAGATGAGAGCGACAATAGATGGGAAGAGAGATCAAGGACGGGCCGAGCTGGGGCCAGCGCGTACGAGTGTCCCGGAGCCTCGAAACATTCCGCGAGAATTCACGGAGCAGCATTCATCGGGTCGTGCGCGCCGCCTGACGATCGCCGTCCTTGAGGACATGGGTGCGGGGAGAGGGGAGAGGGGGAGAGCAGTCGAGAGAAAAGAAAAGCGGATCGAAAACTGAGAGCGGCACGCACGACTTTCCCGGAGCCAAATCATTCCGACAGGCTTCGCGGAGTGGCAACCATCGGGAGTGCGCGTACCGCCTGGCGCGGGACCATACCCTACTTTCGCCGCTGGATTGGACAGCGGGAAGCGATCGACCGCGCCCTTATTGAGCCTGTACGTACGACTGGCCTCGAAGGCGGTCGCTGCGCGGTCAAAGTCAGATCACATTCTAAACGGACGGTAGACAAGCGACTCACTATGTCGGGGGACTGCTATTGAAGGCGCAGCTGCTGTGTGGGAGTCAGCGTCGACGTTGGCGGAGAGTGATCGGAGAAATACGCACAAACCACAGTTATTTTGAAACGCGTGTCGCGCAGCTCGTGAGAACCGTCGGCGAGGACCATGAGGGGTGGTCCAAGATGCATACGCGCCTCGTCTCAACCTCACGTGCGGTGCGGCGCGAAGCCGTTGCACGCTGTCTCTCACCTGCCCATGTGGCGGCGGGGATCGCGACGCGCGAGCGACGCCAGAGCCTCGGTGCCGGGCGAGGAGAGTGACATGAGCCGAGCCCTAGCGGATCGGTCAGCGGGAATGGTGCACGACGATGGCGAAGTCAACTTACCTTCGAGGTGCCGTACGCGTTTGGTAAGGCCGACATTGCGAGTCGGAGGGCAGTTGTGTGTCAAAACCGGCATGCCTCACCCGGAGGTGAGCATGTTGCCGTCGTCGTCGAGGCGGGTGGGAGGTGAGGGTGTCGTGTGCTGCATGAGCAGGTGTGCGTCGCGGGGAGAGAGCATCGCCGAGGTGGTGAGGTGGGGGGTTCTGAGGAGAGAGAGAGCGCAGGGGAGGGGGGCTTTTATCCTCGTCCGGCAGACCCCACCGCGAATCCCGAAGCCCATGCAGAGCACAAGGTCGCGCACTCGGCTGGCACGATACTGGGGTTCCGAGGATCACCTGGCCAATCGCCTCCTGCACTTCTTCGCGCCCAACCAAGACCAGGTGCTTCTCGGGTAAGAAGATGCTCTCGGATCACACAGCAGTCCCTGGAAATTGATTTTAATCAACAGAAGCTCTCAGCCGAGTCCCGACAGAAGGGCCTACTCACCGAGCGCGAGAAAACTCGGAGAACGATCACGGCGACCAGGGCGCAGGAGGGCACCGCAGGCCGCCGTGTGTCGCGGATTGGTTGCAGAGCCCAAGCGGCGGCTCAAGAGTCCGATCCAACGGCATCCCGAATGATTTGGGGTGCTCGAGTCAGGCCCCGGCTGGACTGCGGAGTTCAAAATGTGTGGCCAAACAAGCGTTGTTTGGTGTGGGCGTCCTTGGTTGAAGTTGTGGCCCAATTTGGGCCACGAAACTGGAGATTGCTTGACGACGCTAATGTCAGCTTGAGAAGCCCAAAATGACACTCACTCCTTTATAACAGATGATGGTCTGCGGAGCATTAAGCTTTACGGACTATCGGCTACGAAAGCGACGAATAGTGGGATCCAAGCGGGCATAGACCGAGCGTTGTTGTATTTTGAATCATCGGGAAATCGACTATCTCCAACCGTCGTCGAGGGGAAGGATGTCAGACGTCTCGCCGACCTTGGAACGCACGTTACGATAGGAAGGTCGTCTAATCAGACAGCGTAAAGGGGCATACGAGGAGGACAAGGATAAAAGGCGGAGAAACTCACAGGACATGCTGAACGCGCCCGTCTTGTATGTATCCCCAGCTCGTCCATCCATTGCTCAATTTCCATCAATCCTTCGTGCCCCATGACTGTCTCATCGTCCTCCACTCCTATCTTGTCCACGCTGGGGTCCTTCCACAACCTATTTGCCGCTTCGAGCGCGGGTCGTTCATGTTTGGTGCACATGGCGGAACAAGGGAACTTGGTCCCGAAGTAGAACTCCGGCAGGGGCGTGGGCAGAAGCATCTTGGGCAACGCGGAGTTGGCAAGCGGAGGCGAAATGAGAAGGAGGACCGTGGCGGGATACGAGGAGATGTACGGCTGAGCGATGAGGGCTCCGGCGCAGCGCGCGATGATGACGGGGGTGAAAGGAATGGATTAAAGGCGGATACGCGAAGCAACCCCTGCGAACAAGACATGCGTTAGCCTCGAACGAGACGGAAGCCCGCCACGTAAGAGGGGACGGCGTTGCTTGCACCCCGAAGGAAGACAGCCACGAAAAATAATGACATATGGGGTATGCATGAACGCAGCGTGAACTACAACTCACCACTCTCATACTGTCTCATCACCTCTTGCGACGAAACGTCCCCCGAGCGACGCGCAAGGTCGAGTTCGAGATGGGTGAACCCGCGCCGCGAGAACCAACTGCTTGCGGCCTGTCATTCCTGCAGGACGGTCTTCTGTCCGACGCTCTTCATAGAGGCTGTACTGACCCTTTCGCCAACGACGGAACCCAGGTGCTAGATGGCACGAAGACGATGGGAGTCGGGTCTTGTCTGGGTGCAGACGCAGCGGGCGTTCGGAGGAGGTAGCGGGTGCTTTGTCGGCATAGTTGAGGCAGCCGAGTCCGTGGGATACGTTTTGCCCAAGTTTTGCCGCAGTCCAGGAACGTGAAGAATATATTGTGGAAGTAAGCAGTCGCAGAGTTGGTAGGAAGAGAGCTTGGAAGGGTGGCAGCGCGAGCCTCTGCGGCACGCCGGCCCGAAGGCAAGCCGAGCCTGACCTGTTCGGTGGGATCAACTTTTCACTTAGGCCCACCTATTTTACAAAAAAGCACACTGTCACTCAATGACACACTGCATAAACTTGCATAACGGAACAGGTACGAGTCAATCTTTCTCTTTGGATTGCACTAGAGTTGGCTAACATACTACAACTTTGTCGGTAGAACTTCATCAGGCTATGCAACACAGCTCGTATGTGGAATACACACACCCTGCGTGACTATGGAATCCCCTTCGAAAGCTTAAACACCTTGACGGTGGACTGGGGGGCTTCTGGCCCGGTGATCTGCTCCATGTTGGCAGCGGTAATGGTCGTCCACTTCGCACTCTCCTCGAAAAGCTTCTCCTCCGCCTTCTTGATCGCCGCCTCCCGCCCCTCCTTGCTCGCTCCTGCGTTCACCGCCTCCGCAATCGCCAACCCCATCTCCAACCCATCCAGCATCGACACGTTCGCCCCCATCCCCGCAAACGGCGTCATCACGTGCGCCGCGTCCCCGATGACCGTCACCCCGTCGACGTGCTCCCACCGCAGGCCCGGCGGGAGCATGTACAGCGGCCGGTGGTAGATCCCGTCGTCCGCGCCGCGCTCGACGAACTTCCGGAGCACCGGCGCCCACCCCTCGAACTTCGCCAGGAGCACCGCCCGCGCCTCCGCCGCGTCCGCCGGGAGCGGCCAGTCCTCCGGGCCGCGGAACCAGGCGTACGTCCGCACGCGCCCGTCGCTGTTGCGCTGCGCGATGAGCATCTTGCCATCCTCCATCGCGAACGTCGTCCCGTTCCCGACCAGCGCGCGCGCGTCCGCCATGTCGGCGCGGTCGACGACGTCCGGCGCGACGACGATCTCCGCGCCGGTGAGCCCGGCGTAGTAGCGCTGCGCGGGGGTGACGAGCGGACGGACGCGCGACGCGCCGCCGTCCGCGCCGACGAGGACGTCGACGACGGCGGTGCTCCCGTTCGCGAACGAGAGGGTGTGCGTGCCGTCGCCGTGCGGGGTGACGGAGGCGAGCGCGTGGCCCCACTTGACGGAGTCGGCGGGGACGGCGTCGAGGATGATCTGCCGCAGCGCGCGGCGGTCGATCTCGGGGCTGATGTCTTCAGGGCGAACGTCACGGTCGCCAGTTATCTCGAGGAGGACGCGGCCGTCCTTACCACAGATGCGGGATTCGTCGCCTTCGGGGCGCGAGACGGCCTTGAAGGCGGCCTCGAGGCCGTTCTCGTAGAGCGCACGTTGGCCGTATGCCCAGCGGAGGTCGAGAGTGCCCCCGAGGTGAATGCGGGCGGACGGGCTTGCATCGCGTTCATAGAGGGTGGAAGGGACGCCGCGCTTGACGAGGGTGAGGTGGAGGACGAGACCAGCGGGTCCGGCGCCGACGATGGCGATGCGCGGTGGGGAGGTTGTGGGAGCCATGGTGCGGAGTGTAACTGCTGCTGTCGTTGAAGGCTTCCTCGCGCTGCGTCATATATACCGTGGAGCGAATGTGGAGAGAACGAAAGGGAGAGCGTTTCAGGACGTCCTCTAGCGAGAGAAGCCCGAATATCGATCATCCAGTCAGCATTCCCATGGGGTCCCAGAAGGACGCAATGTTGAGTCCTCACGAGTCAATTGGGCTCGCCAGATATCGCAGCATTTGTGCTGAACGGTGCGTTGTTGTCTGGTCTTGGCTGTCAAAATCGCGGACGCAGGCGTGGGTCACGGTTCCCAGCACTGAATTGGCCGAGGGTGACTGACATGTTCGTTACAAACGCAGGCGCAACGGTTAGACCACGCAGCATTTCCCAGTGATGGTTTGCATATCTAGTGCCTATATTCTTCCCGTGAGACAATGAACCCTCGTGAGCTTCCCAACCACGAGCGGACAGGCACACTCACCTGCGGAAACATGACGTGTTACACCCATGTATCGTTCTGCGACCGAGGAAATATGACGCATCCCCGGAGCCGTTCTAGGCGACCGATTTGACCGAGGGTCTGTATGTACTATGGAGCCGCGGACTGGATAGTGAATGTTTGCACGATCAGACCTTGGAAACTAGACAGATAAATGAGTGAAAGTGTACCTTCTCATAGTGAACTCAGCCGACTTTCAATTCAAACCCTGCTCGAAGCATCGAGTGCGTCGAAGACATACCCGCCATCACTTTACGCCCCCGCCCAGATTTTCAAGAGATGGCTCCAAGTCCATCCAAACGTTCAAGCTCCGACTTCCCTTGTCACCAAGTTGTGCCTGTCGCGCGATGAGCGAGAAATGAGCGAGAAATACACGCCATCCTCATGTCAGGGTCTGCTCGCTCACCATGCTGGAGCAGTGGATGACGACGCACCTTGCAGCCGAAGATCGTCTCCGGCGCAGTTCGGGCCCTTCTCGGTGGCGAGGATGTTGTGCCGCGCATCGACGGACGCGGAGTGAGTCACGGCCGCGCTCAAAGAGTTCGGTGCGTTTCCGCCGGAGGTGAAAGCATGGTTGGATAAGCCTCTGCCGCGGACAGCGAATGGAGACCAGTGCTGTGTGCCCAGAACGGCGGAGAAGCGGAAGCCGTCGCCGACGTTCACGGCGGTGTTCTTGGAATGAGCAGACGATCTTCGTCCTCGGAGCTGCACGCAAGGGTGTGACGTACGTTATTCTGACGACCAACCTACGATCCGTCGACAGCAGAGCTCTCGTGGCTGGGCTCGGTCGAGATTCCTGCGACTACAACGTCATCAGGACTTCCTTGCTTGACTGTGGTGTTGCATACAAGTATCTGCGACAGCGCCTGTATAGCCTGTATCTTCAACTCAATTGGAACTCAGCTGCACAAGAAGTCTAATATATTCAATCTCCGAAAGTCCAACTCCTAGATTCCTCGATCTAATCCGCTGATCGCGATCCCACCAGGACCTGGTCTCGCATGGCGCAGCGCGTGCCCACATCGCGCGGAGTTGGCTCGCAGTGCAACCCAGCTGGTCGCTCCAAGCGTGAAGCTTTGAAACTTGAACGTGAACAACGCGGCACCCTGCGTTGGCGACTGTTGCCGGTTAGCGCCAAATGGCTGTCAGAGAGCGGCTCTGCCCGCCGCGCTGGCGAGTTCGAATCCGGCTCCTCCGATTCTTCCGGTCCCCGTGCAAGTATTGTTTTTCTTCTGGAAGAGAGCGAGCCACGGCGGTTCCAAAGACGCAATTCTTTCCTGTGAGGATGAATGGGAAAGCGCGAGCTGGAACGAAGAAGTGCGCCGTTGATCAAATTGGATGCCGGACGGAAGAAGCCGAGTGCAGCGCGTCAATAAATTGCGCGTCCGACCGAACATCCTCGCTGGCATAGGTTTGAACGACTTCAACCTCCCGAGTCCCTGCCTGCCCGCATCGCGCTGTGTGGTTTCTACTGCCTGCGTGTTTTATTTCCACTTCTACTTCTCGCATGCCTCAGTTTTACCACGTGGAGCTAGGTAGCCGGGATACACTCTTTCCGAAAGGGCGATGCGATGGCCACCCCCTAGGAGAGCAGAAGGCAATATGCACTGACCCACGAGGCCTCCACGCTGATTCACGCCGTGTTGCTGTTGCTGGGTAAGTTCGAGTGTCTTTCCGCACTATTTTTGTCTAACGTCACTCCGAGTCCGACCTTTCGGTCTGTATGCATGTACAGCACTGCTAGCCTGTGCACCGAATGTCCGTGGCATAGCAGTCGGGAATGGTGCGCACCACGCCCCTTCGTCCAGAGTTTGGCAGAAAAGCGCCTGTAGAAGGCACATGGTCGGTCTTCTGTGGGCGCACAACGACCCCTTGATGGGACGAGGAATGCAATCAAGGTAAGTCACCGACGATCAATAGTACGACGCCCTCTGACAGCCCCCAAGTCTGCAATACTCCGCAGGACTGAGCTCGCGAATGTTGAGGGCTGTAGAGGATACGGCCACAAGGATCTCGCTTCAGCGCAAGTCCCATCCAAGCCCCTTCACGTCCACCGAGCTGTAGGCTGCAGCACTGCATATGGAGCCGAACCCTGAGCCCCCACGCGTGGTGGCCACACACGCCAGTTCACACGTGGAGGCGGCATCGGCCCTCTTCCAGGCTGTACGCTCCCAAGTACGACTCGATGACAGCACAGGCGTCCTAGTGGCATTGCCAGGGGACCGTTACTTCAAAACCAGGCAGCAGCATCTCCCGTTGACTATACCTCTCTCCCTCATCTAACAGCATCCAACGCTGCCGACCATGCACTCGGCTCCTCGTCATCCCGCCCACGCGCCCTTCGACAGCAAGGACTCCGATCTTGTCCTCCTCTCGACTGATGGAGTCGAGTTCCTTGTGCACAAGGCCATAATAATGGTCGTCTCCCCTTACCTGGCTCGGCTTATTCCCCTCGCCTGCCGGCCTCCCCCTTCCACCTCCAGACATCGCCTCCGTCCAACAATCTCTCTCCCCTTCCCCGCCGGGATCATTGACCTCTTCCTACACTTCGTATACCCCGTCCCCGAGCCGGCCCTCGACTGGACAGACTGTCGCGCGCTCCTCGACATCGCGCAGCATCTCCTGGCGCGATCCGTCATCAAACGCGTCTCCGCGCATCTTCTCCACCCTCAGCACCTTTACGAACGCCCACTCCCCATCTACGCGCTTGCCTCCCGCGCCGGGCTCGACTCCGTCGCGCGCACGGCCGCGCGCCGCTCCCTCCTCTCCCCCATGCCCCCCGTCGACGAGCTCGCGCGACATCTACCCGGGTCCTCCCTGGGCCGCCTGCTGGACTACCGCCGCGCGGCAACGAAGGCTGCGCGCGCGGTGGTGAGCACGCGCAACGGCATCCCGCGATGGGTGCAGCTCCAGTGGCGCCGGCTCTGCTTCCTGTCCGAGTGCCCGTACGGGTGCGCGGACGGGCCGCGCCGCACCCTGGCGTGGCACCGCGTCGCGAGCGAGAAGATCCTCGTGCCGGTGTGGTGGGTGGAGTGGATGGGGGCGGTGCGCTCGGCGCTGGCCACACGCGTCGACCCCGCGGTCGCGCGCGACGAGCGGCTGCTAAAGATCGCCGTGCAGAGGGGCGCGCGCTGCTCGTCTTGTCAGAGCGCGGTGATGTGGGACCTGTGCGAGTTCTCCAGGATCGTGGGGGATGTTCTGGAGGAGGCGATCGCGTCGGTATGTGTCTCCGCTGGCTTGTTACGTATGCAGAATGGGGTGCTCAGGGTCAAGGTCAGGTCACTCTCGAGGTGGACGACCACAAGCGCGAAGACGGCACCAGCGACGACGACTCCGAGTCCACCTTAGTACCGTCCGTCAAGACGAACTACCTTTCCTCCGATGTGAATGCTTCTTCAGATACACACCGTCTCCCTTTCTCAACTTTAATCGTTTCCACAGAAACCTGTCTACCCTATGTACGACTATTATTTCGGCGTCATGACGAGGCGCCGCATCAAGACTTATGATACTGGAAGTGCGTTCAGACTGTGACCCTGCCTCGACGACTGTCTGACGTGCTGTCTTTCCTTATAGAGCTCGACAGCGACGACGAGGAGCTCGGGAGCTGCGTGTCGAGCGCTCCTCCTAGTGACCTGTGATACCCTACTACTCTACGTATGGACACATTGGGGGTGTGCTTAGTATATGCTCTTCCACCGGTTCTTGTCAGGCTGTAATTGTAGCATTAGCTCACAATCACAGGCGTTTTTGCGTACCCTGCGCCACATATCCAGTCCAACGTGTGGACGAACGGCTCTGAAGGGTTGAAGGTTGGTGCACCTGTTGTGATAGTGGTGACAGCCTACTGAACCTCCTTGTTGTAGGAATTCCCTCTGACCACAGAGCATGTTGCGCAGTGGCGCCTGGCGCTGGGGCCTTGCCGGAGTAGTGGACCACTCTGCGCTTGTCAAGCGGTATCCTTCAGTGGCTCAAGCTTGGGGCTGACCTGAACCTCTCAGATCCGCTTTGTTGTGGCCATTCGCATATATAATCCCCTGCTGAACTTGCTGAACGACCGTCGTACCGCGCAGACTCCTCCAAGTCACCATCCACTCGATTTCGCTCTCGACACTCATCTCAACGAAGATTCTCACCATGGTCTCCATCGCTCATCACTGTATCGCCGAGGGCCAGAAGACGGACACGCACCAGCAAGCCATCAAGCAAGATAGTTCCCCAGATCCGATCATCAGGCCCCGGCCGCCCATCGTGTGGCAGCCCACCGTCACCCCGGAGTCGTTCTCGCCGACCTCCTACTTCAGCGACTCCGACTCCGAGGACGACGGCGAGAATGAGGACGAAGGCCCCGACACCGTGATGGACGACAACGGCCTCGGCTCCTCCTACGGGGGCGTCACTACCGCGGCCCCGAGCGACGGCACCTCGACCTTCAACGTCACGGTGCAACTGCCATTCGCATGCCCCCACCACGGCGTGCCCCTCCACCCCACGGTCTCCGTCCAACCCATTCCCGAGCCGCCGCACCCGGCGGCGGAGCCGGACGTCCAGCAGCTCCCGCTCCTCATCCCCCTCCCGATGGCCCCAGACGTCGACCGCGCGGTCGCATTCACGCTCCGCTCGCACGGCGCCCCCGGCCTCAGGCTCGCGGACCTCTTCCAGGACGTGGACGACCACGCGGACCTGCGCTCCTGCCTCGACCGCGCGCCGGTCGACCGCGCCGCGGTGTTCGCGCACGTCGACGCCGCGGAGTACTGCGTCTGCCAGCACCTCCCGGGCGGCCGCGTCCGCGTCGCCGACCCCGGGTTCATGGTGAGTCTCCGCCGGTCGCGATTGAGTCCAGGGACCGCTGCTGACTGCCAGGTGCTCTTTCGCAGTGGCCGGTGTGGCGCGTGCGTCTGGGGGACAAGGGGTTCGCGAGGCCGGGGGCGTGCTGGTTGTTCGGAGACCTCGTGCACGCGGTCGTCACTGCGCTCGTGGAGTGGTGGGCGCACGAGGTACGTCAATTGTGGCGATGTGGAGAGCGCGGCTGACGTTCACGTTTTGGCGCGTAGGAATGGCAGCGCAAGAGGGCGGCGTGCGCTGGGGACGCGCGCATCGGGCGCATCCTCGGACCGGGCTCTATCGCGCTCGAGAACGTGTATGTGCTCGCGCTGCGTCGGCGCCTTGTGGGGCCGGGCGAGTTTGAGTGGATGCCTGAGATCGAGGTCAGGTTGTGAGGCACGAGGGGATGGAATGCTTGATCTGTACGACTAATGTGTTATGAACATGATGATGATATATGTGCACCCATGAACCCATCCACCTACGTGCCCTCAGCGAAATGCACTGACCATACGTGTCCCATTTTTTCGCTTCCATTCTGTGATCAATGGAATACAGGGACAGACCTTGATTTCGCTGAGCCAGTGCATCTACACCAACTTCTTTATCCACCGGAGCCACCTTAGCTACGCTTGCAGCATCGCCTGCCGACCTCCCTTGGCGCTTGAGAACGGTGTCCAAGTGCCGCACGTTGTCTGTCGCCATAACCTCCTCACAGCGAGAGTACCTGGACCCGAGCAGGAGTAGTGGCCGGCGCGGTCGACGCTGGCGCTGAGTGGCCTTGTCTGTACGATGTGCACTTTCTCGATCACTGCAATTGCATGGCGCCGATGCTGCAGGTTACTCGTCGTATCCAAGCGGGCCGACGGTTATCGATATCGTTGGATGGCGAGGGAGCCTGCCGCAGGAGGACATGGGGATCGAGGGTAGACGTCTTCACTCAGAGCGCCCGGGGGCCGGCGTCGACTCGCTCCCCCCGTGGCGCGCACGCCGGAGGGTTCGAATCCGACTCCCGTCCATATTTTTTGCTACGATCAGAATCTTGCTGTAGACCTTTCGCCACTATCATTTATATTCGCGTGTTGTTTTGTTATATTATGCGTTCTAGTTTACCCCCAACCTACTCGCCGATGGCCTGCAAAGCCTTGACTCATACACTCAGCCGTGGCTCCACACACTCCCTCAGAGCTCGGGAATGACCCCGATCTCAGGGAAGTAGATGACCCTCTCACCGTGAGACGGTCTGGTCCTGCGAATGGAAAGGATCACGATTTGGTCAAGCCGTGGATGCTTTTTGAAGCGGTCCCAACCGGGAGCATCGAGCCACATCGTGGAGTCCCAGTGGTGGGCAGAATGCGCCTGGGATAAATGGGATGATCGTGAGCGATGATATATCGCAAGAGATGCTAGCGGAGTTTGTACGCACCCCAAGGAATTCGCTATGCCACTTGAACGTCTGGTCCAGTATGAGTATGATAAGTTCTCCCAGGCCCATCATAGTAATGTTTTGCTCTATGAACGGCATCTGGTTGTCGATCTATGGGCAGGGGCAGTACGTTGGCATCGCTGGAAATCCGTGGCACATGCTCATCAAAGGACTCACAATAGGGTGGCACACATCAATAGACAGAAGATAGGTGCAACACTGTGTCATGAAGGCAACCCCGAGCAAATCTTGAAGAGCGAAGCGCATTCGAACCCCAATATATGCTAGCTGAGGGGCATTGAACACATTCGAGCTGTGGTGATGCCCTTGCAACGCGCTAAGTGAAATTCCAGGACCACCAACGCGGGGACTGATGTCCACTTTCCAGTCCGGGTCGACGTCCTGGGGAAGCGGTACAGGGATAACTGAGTACAGCATGATCAGTGCTTGAGAATGTCTCGATCGCGTGGCAGTGAGAGAAATGACTCACTTTGAGCGACCATAATTGTGCTGCTGCGTACGAAAAAGACTTGAGAGATGGTATGTGTGCTCGACAAACAGTGAGCGTGCGTCTTATATATACGTCGTGAGTGCCACTGGCCATACGAAGCGCACTTGCTACTACCAAGTGGTGGCACTAGCGCATGAAGAGACTGCTTGTACAAAGTACTGCCGAGTGGGTATTTACAGTCGAACAAGAGGCGTCCGGCATGATTGAACGGGAATCTGTACGCTTGAAGGCTGTCGCGGTGGTCGAAGGAGTGGCGTAGTTGCTCTGACGCCCATGTTTTCTTGGGCGCACAGTGGGTTCGCGCGCTAATGGCTGTTTGTCTTCGGATCACTGCCATGACCAGTCCCTATCCTCAGGCGATCTCATCCTACGCCAGTGGATACACCTGAAAGAGGTCATGGGGAAGCTCTGGATCGCGCAGCTGCGGTAGATCGCGCGACTGTGGGGCGTACTGCAGAGGTCGTTCGCACTTGTACTTCCACGATATCGTACGTTGCGCGCGCGCGGCTCTGCGGAATCGCCGCGAAGGTAAGTAGCCGGCCACACGCCCATGCATCACGGTCCAGAGCTGATGTTCGTAGGTCGAGATTGCGATCCAACCCTACCAACAACGTCATGCAAGCGCATCCAACACAGTCCCAAGTCACAGCCTCAGTCGCGCGACGGGTCACCCAGACACCTTCCTGAACAGCTGCAGCTTCCCCGCCTTCTGCCCCTTCCCCGCCCCCGGCCCCGCGCCCAAGCTCTCGTTCTCGTCCCACATGTTCAGCCCCAGCCCCGCCCGCACCCGCTGCTCCGCGCCCGCGTGCGGCATCGTCCTGCTCAGCCCCGCGCCCGCCCACGGCGGCGGCGCGTCCGCGGCGAGCCCAGGCGGCCCCGCCACGCTCGCGCTGCGGTCGCGCCCGCGCCCGCGCCCGTGCCCGTGCCCGGGGGTCGACGCGTCGGCGGGCGCGGGGCGCGCGAGCGACGTCGAGAGGCGCTTGATCGCGCGGAGGCCGGCGCGCAGGCGCGCGTTCTTCTCCGGCTCGGCGGCGCGGAGGGGCGAGAGCGAGCGCGAGCTGGAGGGGAGCTCGGGCGTCGGCGTGTACGACGTCTCGGAGAAGTCGGTGTGGAGGACGACGACGAGGTCGGCGTCGTCGGCGACGAGCGTGGTGGGGAGCGCGGAGCGGGCGGCGTGCTCGTCGGGGGCGAGCACGAGGGGGAGGTCCGGGTAGGGAGGGGGACGCCGCGGGTCTGCGTCCGAGTCCTCGTACGAGACGCTCGCGCTCAAGGGGGAGCGGCGGAGCGCGCTCGCGCAGGCGGCGGAGAACGACTCCGCCAGTGGGCTGGGGGTCGGGCTGTCCCAGCCGGACGCCGAGGAGTCGAAGTCGGAGCGGAAAGGCGGCAGCACCTGCGCGCGGCGCCGACGCGACTTGACGGACGCTTGAGAGGAGACCGACGGTGACGCAGAGATGGGCGCAGAGGGAGAGGCGAAAGGGGAGTCCCACGGGCTGGCTGGGGTGGCAGGAGGGTCGGCGAAGAAGCGCAGGGTGGGCGAGCGGGGAGAGTCGCAGAGCGCAGGGAGGACCATCGAAGAAGACGCTGCGGGGAGGGAGGTGTCGGGCAGCGACGGTGACGGGAGGGCGAAGCTGAGGCGGACACATTCTTCAGGGTCGCTGACTGATTCTTCCAAGCTCGACTGCAGTGTCAGAGTCGGGAGAGCGCTGTCGAAATCGATCGATCCGTCGGAGTGGGCAACTTGTCCCGAGGAAACCGACTCATCGCCGTCCGCATGCCTCTCGTCTAGGGACGCGCGCGCGACCAAAGTCTCGTCCTCTAGCGCAGAGGCCGAAGGTGTCACGACGCCTGCGTTGGCCCCAGTCGCGAGAGCCAACCGCCTCCAGAACGCCGCCCGCCTCTGCCACGCGCGCACGTCCGCACGCGCTGTGAGCGTGCACCGCACTTGCGCCAGGTAGTCGTCCTTCGTCCGCACGTCGGGCCCCGTCCCCGAGCATGGGTGAGCAGAAGCCAGAGACAGCACGACACGCAGCTCATCCGCGCGGGACGAGTCGTCGCCGACCTTCGCTCGTAGGCGTACGACCTCCTCTCGAAGGGAGCTCTGGGCCTCCATGAGGGCGCGCCGCGCGCCGCGTTCGGCAGCGAGCGCGTCCTCGACGGTGGGGATGTACGCGTTGAGCTCGATGGCTTCGAACAAGAGCGTCTCGAGGTCCTCGATGTGCTCGGTGAGGGCCGCGATGACGCCTTCTTCGTGACCGTTGCGGCCGTCGGGGGTCGCAGAGGTCTGGAATGGGTGACAGAAAGGGATGGCGTCGGGGGAAGGGGCGAGAGGGCTTCCGACGACGGTGGGCGAAGATGGGAAGGCAAAGTGCAGGGGCTGCAGGGCGGCGGTTGAAGCTAAGAGCAGGTTTCGGGGTGTGGTGTAAGGGCCGTCGGGATTCGACACTGCCCGCCGAAGCGTGGGGCGCGTTGAGACCATGGTGTCCATGATGGCGAAGGGCCTGGGATGCGACAGATATGAGTGAATGTATCATGGCTGACTACGTGCCTGGAAATGGGCTGACGAGGCTGGCAACTATGCCGTTTGCCAGCTCCCGCCCGAATAGAGGTTCTTGGGCCAAATTGAAATGAGTCGAAGCAACCGCCGTTAGAACTTTGTGACATCCGACGGTGCGTATAAAATACCACAAAACGATAGACGGATGGTAATACAGTAACGCCAACCCAGGCCCCACCTCACCGCAAGTTGAGGATCCCCGCGTTCGTGCTTCCATGCCGCGACGACGACGACGACGACGAGTCCTTCACGTCCTTCTTCTTCGCCTTCGGTGCGTCCCAGATCTTCCAGAACTTCAGGCACTCGTCTCCTGCAGACGTCGCGAGCAGCTCCCCGTTCGGGGACAGCGCGGAAAAGAGCACGCGCGAGTCGTGCGCGTCCCGGATGTCCGCGAGCTTGTCCATCGACGGGTAGCTGTGGACCATGACCGAGTTCGTCGGGTACCCGTGCGTGGTCAGGAACTCCTTCTTGTGCCCGCACCACTGGATGCTCGAGATCTGTGCCGGGGTGGTCAACGAGTGCAGACGCGCGCCCGTGGTCGTGTTCCAGAAGTGGACCGTCGCGTCGGACGTGCCCCCGCCGGACGCGAGCAGCGACGGCTGCCACGGACACCACGCGAGCGCCTTGATCGCTGCGGTGTGGTTCCGCTTCGTCCAGCGTGCCGCGGACCGCTCGGACGCGGCGTCCGCGGCGCTGGCGTCGCCCACGCGGCCGTCCCAGATGTTCAGCACGTTGTCGTTCCCGCCCGACGCGAGGAGCTCGCCGTCGGCGCGCCACTTCAGCCCGCAGACCTCGCCTTGGTGCCCGAGGAGCTCCATGACCTTGTGCCGCTGCGCGCGGACGTCGTGGTGCCAGATGCTCCCGTCTTGGCAGCCGGAGCTGAGGATGGGCCCGTTCCAGGAAAGCACGCCGACCTGGGCGGAGTGGCCCGTCATCGTCCTCAGCTTCTGGCGCGTCTCGACGTCGCGCAGCTCGACCACACCAGTCGGGTAACCGATTCCGAGGTAGGTGCCGTCCTTGGAGAAGTCGAGAGAGGATATGTAGGTATCTTCGGGGGCCTCCATCAGAGAGGTAACTTCGCCCGTCTCCGCCTTCCACATGAAGATGGCGTTGATGAGAGCGATGGCAAGGAGGTTGGTAGAGCCCCACGAGAGGAGGTTGAGGTAGAAGTCGTCGATGATGCCTGGGGCGTCGAGGATCCGGATGGGCTGGTTGGAGATTTTGCGGTCCTTGGTACCAGTGACAGGTGCGGAATTGGCTGTTGTGGCACCGGCGCGTGCGTAGAGGGGGCGTGCGAGCTCGCGAGCTTGTGCCATGAGGGGATCGGAGGAAGCGGCAGGGGGAGGTTCATGATATGCAAGAATGCGCCGGTTCAGTGGCACTCCGGCGGCGGCGGCCAGTCGCGCAGTATGACCTGGCGATGCGGATTCGGGGTTGAGGGACATGAGGTCCAGAGTTGCAGCGACTTCATCGACAGTGTCGCGGGTGGTGATGAAGCGATCTCTGGTATCGCGCTGAGGAGAAGGGGGAGAAGGGAGTGAGCTCATGATGGGAAGCAGGCTAGAGAAGGGATGGATGTCCAGCAAGCCTTGTTGGATCTTCTTATGGCGGTACTGATGATGGGTGGCACGAGGCATAAAGCATGAACATAGCAGACATCACCGGGCGGGCGGTGCATATATTTATCGTACACCAGCGACAGACAAGGACGTGGAAGAGAGTGGATTGCTGGAGACAAAATAGCGAGACTCACTGTTGGCTGGGACCGTGACCGCTTCTCCGACTTTGGTGGAGGAACATAATCTCGAGTGACAACATCCAGTCGACTCTCGATCCCGCCTTTGCGGATGACGCCAGTACTTGCTTGCCTCTGAAGAGCCTCGGAAACATGGTACGAGCTACCTGACGCCTTTTTCGATGGCGATGCATTACGACTCGGTACGATGAAGGGGTTTGAGGCGTCAGCGAGATTGTTGGTGCCGAAAATGGATGACGAGAGGGGCGTCTTCGTCTCCGAGCGAGAGCGATGGCGGGTGGGTGTCTTCGGAGGATAGGCCATCGCGGGGGAGAGGGCAAGTGGGGGGCGGGAGCAGGCAGAGTGAGCGCGGAAGGGGCGCCGTTGGAAACGCGTTTTCCGCGCGTCCAGTTCATATCGCTTCCACACCTCGTGATCGCGTCGCGTTATCTGAGCATACTATATTGTTATACAAAAGCTATGTAATTCTGGTGAGATGGCCGAGCTGTCTGGGGCGCCTCATTAGGGTGCAATAGGCATCAGTGAAATAATTTGGACGGCCAGGGTTCGAATCCCACTCTCGTCAAGACGCTTCGCCCGATTTTTGTCGTCTGCCTCTCTGCAAGAGAAACAAAGGAAAAGTGGAGCATCATGCATGATATCCGGCACGTATGTACGATTGTGTCATCAAGGTGATGATGATGGATTCATGCGGGACTAATTAAAGTATCTTCATAGTGCTCAGTAGGAGCTTGCAGAGTGACGGCGGGTATCCCGCAATGTCATCAAGGTGGCATGTACACTTTCCCCATAAGTCACACAAATCCACTGAGTGTCACCTGACGCGAAGGTGATTGAGAAAAACCTCTTGCGACAACATCAGGGTGACCTACCTTGTCGATGGCCTTTTCCAGCTCAGTTCGAATGGCCTCCGTCACGTTGTCCACCAAGAATGGATAGACACCTTCGCGGCACTCCTCGCACCGGCCCCACCTTTCCACCACGCTCTCCAAGAGGATATCCTTCATCTCCTGCGACCGCGCGATCTCCGCATGCGGCCTGAACTCCAGCGCCCGCGTAAGCTCCTCCAGGTAATTCCTGAGCGGCAGGCTCCCTCCCTCCGAGCTGGGCGCGACATAGATCCGCATCACCTTCGACGTGCTCCGCTGTACCCGCTCGATCTGGCCCCCACGCCCCGCGCCCGACGTCGACGGCGAGCGCAGCCGCAGCCGCGCCGCGAGCTGCGCCCCCCGCTCCGACAGCGTGCGCCGGAGCGACGCCGTCGTCGACGACGCCCGCGACAGCACGCGCGCCACCTGGGCCCCCATCTCGTGGTCGAACTCCTTCTCGCACAGCTCCGGCTTGTACCGCACGAGCTCCTTCCCGTGCGGGAGAGCGCGGAGCCACCGTGGCAGGCGGCCGTCCGCGGACACGGCGGTGACCGCGCGCGCGGCGGCGCTGCACGCGATGCGGTACGCGTTCAGCGCGCCGAAGGCCTCGCTCGCGGCGACGGTGTCGAACTCGCGCGGGAGTGCGGCGAAGTCGTCCGGGGAGAGCGCGAGCGCGCGGCGCGCGGCGAGGCGGGCGACCTCGGGGAGCTTGTACGCCCACGCGAGCGCGTACACGCTCAGCGGGTGCGCTTTAAGCAGCGGGCAGCGGCCCAGGAGGGAGGCGGAGACCCAGTCGGTCGCGGCGCGCAACTCGAACTTGTCGGCGGCGGCGAGGAAGTCGCGGACGAGCGTGAGGTTGGCGGGGAGCGCGGGTGGGCGGAAGTTCGGGAGGTAGCAGAGGGGAATGAAGGTCGTCCAGACGGTGGAGGATTCTTGCGTGAGGATAACGCGCTTCTTCTTTGAGTTGTTAAGTACTTCAGAATCGCTTGGGGGACTGTCGGCAGAGGAAGAAGGCTGGGGGAGGGAGAGCATATCTGCGAAGCAGGGGATAGCGCTGGACAGGATGTCGGCGTGGACGTGGAAGTGTTCGCCGTCGACGGAGCGAATGATGGTGTCGCCGATGGCGGAGTTCCGGAAGAACACAGCAGGCCGGTTCTTCTGCGTATGTTCTGGAGAGGTTCTGGAGGGGTTGGAAGGCATAGTCGGTGATGGAGAGTGCACCGATGAGTATCCGAGGATGGCCTCTTAAGCACTCTACAGCATCTGTTGCCGCAGCGTCGACTTGGTGCACGCTGCGGTACGGGAAACCACAGTCGGCAATGAATGTACCATGTGTGCCTTTCTGTGTGGCAAAGCCGTGAGTACTAGGTACACACGAGGGACTTCTAGTGACTTACCTGCAGCATCGGACGTGTGAGTGCGTGCTCTGAAGGCGGACATGATCGCCATTCAGAGAGCACCGCTTAGTCTGGTCAGGCCAAATATCGCCGCATGGCCGTCGACGATCTTTGTGATGAAGAGGGCAGAGCTCTAGTTCAGACGACGGCCGTCTCCTGTAAGGAACTTGAGTTACCCGAGGCAGGAAGATCCGGACTCACCTCCGTTGTGCTTTTGGAGACGGTGTATGTAGTACTTACTGACAGCGCCCTCCGAAGCAAGATTGCAAATGGGAGTGACGATAGAGGTACATATGGTGGATTGGAGAGACGAAAGACAGCTACATCACATGGGTCTAGCAGGGCAAGCGCCTCTAAAGGTATACAATACGTGCAAGACAGGGTCTGACAGGGTCAGAGGATGCAGGGGCGATAACAATGCAATGGGGGTAGGAGAATCACCAAGTCCACAAAACGAACGCAACCACTAACGACTATGCAGCGCCGTCCTCCGTGGCACGCTGCTGACGCCTCGCCTTCTTTGCCGCGTTGGCAGCAGCGGCCTTCGCCTTCTTGGCCTCCGCGCGGGCAACCTGTGAGACAGGCAATGAGCGGGATGCAAACAGGGATGGCGAAGTAAGACGCACTTTCTCCTCCTCTTCCTTCTTCTTTGCCTCCTCTTCCGCCTTCTTTTTCTCTTCCTCCACCTTCTCCTTCGTGTTCGCAGAACCGTTCACACCGCCCTTGTTCTTCTTTTTGGCTTCACGAGCCTCCTTCTCCTCCTGCTTGATGCGCTTGATCCGAGGGTCGACAGAGAGCGCGGCGTCCACGATGCCACGCAGACGGGCGGTATCTTCCTTCTTGCGCCGCGCACGCTCCGACTTGTTCTTCTTCTCGGTGTACCGCTTGTCATCACGGCTGCCAGAACGCTCTCAGCGCGAGCGAAAAGGAAGGAATAGATGATCAACGCACTTGTCGCTGCCCTCGTTGACCTCCTTGTCCAGATACTCGAAGCTCCGCCAGCTGTCGAAGTTGTACCAGAAGTCGTAGAAGCCCTCGACGGCCTCCTTCGGGGCATCGATGCCTCCCAGCATCGGCACAGGCTCCTTTCGGCTGAATCGCGCCTCACGCTCGAAGGCGGGCCCGTAGAGCTGGAAGAACGCCTTGTCCGGGTTCTTCGAACGCGAGACCTGCGCAGCCGTCGGCGTGTCCTGCTCGAGCTCGTCGTAGTGCGGGTCCACGGAATCGAACTGTCGGCGCCGCTCCGGGTTCATGAGCACCTCGTTCGCCTTCTGGATGCACTTGAAGAACGCATCGTCGTTCGAGTCCCCGACAGCACCTGCCTTCTTGTCGGGATGGTGCTTGAGCACCTTTTTCCGGTCTGCGAGAGGGAGGGGCGGGGTCAGATGAGGAGAACGGGCGCATATAGTGGGGTCAAGACGTACGTGCAATCTTGATCTGATCGGGCGTCGCGCGGTAGCGGAGGCTCGAGAGACCGAGGACGGCATAGTGGTCTTGTTTCTGCAGCCAGGCGGTTTACGGGGGAAGCCTCGGCCTGGCTGGGTGGGTGACGCACCTTCCACTCCTTTGGGTCGAGCAGCGACAGCTCCATGGCCTCCTCCTCGTCGCCGACACCGAGATCATCCTCCACTGCGGCACCATTTCCGTTCAAGGCCGCTAACCGCTTCTGCTCCTCCTCGGTGTGCTTGTCGTGCTCCTCGAAGGTGAGATTGTGCACAGCCCGTCGTACATGCGCAAGGTAGGCTTGACCAGCAGGCAGCAACTTCCGCTCGACGAGGGCTATAGATCGAATTAGAATCGACTCTGCCTTTAGAGATCTGCCAGGACTTACGCGAGACGGTCTTGCCCGAGGCTGCAGGAGGCGTCCAGGACGCAGGGAGTGGTGGTGGGACAACTGGGAGCTCTACGACGGTGGCCATCGTGGATTTTTTTTTGGGGGGAAGGGGGCGATGGAGGTCGGGGTGTGCACGCTGCGGCGACCGATGAGGACGAAATTTTCGCAATCGGCCGGGACGAGGTATCGCTCTCCCGATATGGCAGGTGCGGATCAATGGCCTTTAGCACCGACGCGGTCACGTGGAAAACGCGCCTAGTGCCGTGCCAGCCACTTAGACGCTCATGTTCGGTTTGTCAATCCGTCCTCTGCTTCAACAAAATATCCGCTACAACACTCATTGCGTGCCTGCACGACTACTGCGTGAAGATGGACGCAAGATCTACAAGTACCCTTCAGACCGATGCCAGCAAGGCGAAGCCAAGGTCGAAGATACTCGCCGTTCTCGACGCAATGATGAAAGTCGATCCATCGCCGGCACAGGCTGCAAGAGCTGGCCCCCTAGCATCGAACGCAGCGCGTAACATCCCAAGAGTCCAGAACGAGTATGTTTACGCTGTCTTTCTTGGTCATGGTCACACTCAACAGGAGATGTAGGACTCGATACGCGCCACAACAAGCCATGCCTAGACCCCCACTGGGCAAGAAGTCCGCGACCTTTGGCACTGCGCTCAATCAGCGTAACAATGATGTCGAGAACCGACCTGAGTCCTCTACCGCTACTCTCAGCCACCCTCAAGCTGGCCCGTCCAAGTCGCGCTTGAGCTCCGTGTACTCGTACACGCGGTTCAAGCCAAGTCCCGCCGTTGTTTACACACGCGACGAGGAAGAAGCGAATGAGATGGTCCGCGTCATGCCGGGACCCCTCGGCTTCGACTTGGAGTGGGTCGTCCACTTCCGTCGCGGGAAGGCGCCAAGAGAGAACCGTACTGCTCTCCTCCAGCTGAGTAGCGAGCGGATCATCCTCCTGGTACAATTGAGCGCCATGAAACGTCGGTAGACTCGTTTGCTCACCTGAAAACGGGCTGATGATCCTCGCCTATATTCCCAGGCTTCCCACGAGGCGTGAAAGCAGTAATAGAGGACAAACACAGAATCAAACTGGGCGCGAATATAAAGAGTAGGCTTCACCGCCAGCCTGCCCTCCCCGTATCTCACAAAGACGCCCTCCGCAGACGATGGACACAAGCTCTACCGCGACTATGGCGTTCGCGCTGCTGGTCTTGTCGAACTAGGCACTTTCGCGCGACACACCGACCCGGCGTTCCCCTTCAACCGCTCGATCGTTGCACTCGCCAAGATCGTGAAGCAGTACACGCACAAGACGCTCAGCAAGGGCCCTGTGCGCACGAGCAACTGGGAGGCGCAACCGCTCTCGCAAGAGCAGCGTCAGTACGCGGCGAACGACGCACACTGCGCGCTGGTGGTGTACAAATGCTTGGTCGCCATCGCGGAGGAGCATGGACGGACAGTGGACGTCGATGCGTGCGCGGGTGACTTGACGAGGGCACCTCGTAAGGCACCTGCTGCACCGCCTACTGTGCTCAAACCCCTATCCCCGCCAGTGGTGAGCGTAGCCCAGGTGGTGGCTGCAGCGATTGCGTCGAGGGAGGAGGAAGAGGAGAGCGAATGTGAGGAGGCTATGTCAGCAGCCGTTGTGCCCAAGGTGGTCAGAAGGCGGCCGCCTACGCATGACGACGTTATTGAGCTCACTTCGGACGAAGATGATTGGCTTTCCAGAGCACAGGCCCGTCTTTCTCATATTTGTGGCTAGTACCATCCTCCACCATTTCTCGCTGTAGACTGCATCTCAGTAGTGTGTACCCATGAAGCCTGAAGTTGATTGCTGCGGAGTCTATGCTAGTCCTTCAAGGGAGGTCCCACTGCGGTGCAAAGCGCCACTCTCCGAGGCGAGTGTGGGAATAGTCATGTGCCTCTCAACAGACGCCTGAAGATGGCGCTGGCCTGGTTCAATGTTTTCCACTTTGACCGAGTCTTTTCATCAACTTCTGCCTCCCACGTCATGTGAACAGTCCAAGACGCAGCTACACCTGCAGGGCCGCTCTTACAAGCCGTCTATTGGGCGGGTCGTTGCCTCAAGTGAGAAGTGAGCCAGTTCATTTGAGTTGGACTTGGCCAATCTGCAGTCCGCGCTTTCATCTCCGCCTCCTTGAAGTAGATCAAAGCTCGCGGCATGTCCATGTCCTGCACCGAGCCCGCCAATGTCGCATCTCTGTATTCTCGTGTGAGAATCCGAAGGGCGTCATTCCCAGCAGTCGCGCCCCTCCGAGCCTCCACGAGCCCGCTGTCAGCCGGTCCATGAGGCAGGAACGTCCCCACCAGCTTTTAAGCTCGCGAGAAAAAGATCCTCCAGCTTGCTTCGCACTCTTCTTCCTTCTCCCTTCTTCCCTCTCCCGCCCCCGCCATGGCCTCCGCAGCGAAGGCGAAGGCCCCTGCCCTCACCTCCGACGATGTCCTCGCGTGGCTCGGACACGATGCCCCCGAGTACGAGCAACGCAAGGCGCGCAAGTTCGTTCCGCCCACGGTCTCCATCAAGGACGTCCATGCCGCCATCCCGCGCCACCTCTTCGAGCGCAACACCGTCAAGGGCGTCTTCTACGTTGTCCGCCACGTCGCCCTCAGCGCGCTCTTCTACGCCTTCACCACGCGCATCGACCTGATCGCTTGGCGCGCCGCGAGCGCGCTCGGGTGGGGCGCCGCCGGAAGTTCGGCGCTCGGGTGGGCGTGCTGGGTGCTGTACTGGTTTTGGCAGAGCGTCTCTTTCGCGGGGATGTGGACGCTCGGTGAGTGTCTCGCCCGGGCGGAAATAGAGTAAACTGACGGGTGCCATTTGCGTTCCAGGACATGAGGTGCGCCTGGCTGCTGTGATCGGCGCAGGCGTGTGCGTGTACTGAGAGATGCGACCCCACAGTGCGGCCACGATGCGATTTCGCCGCACGCGTGGGTAAACATTGCGTGCGGCATGGGCCTGCACACTTTCATGCTGACGCCGTACTTTGCGTGGCGGCTGACGCACCGCGCGCATCATGTGCGTTTCTTGGCTTGCGTGCATGTCGCGGATCCGACCGTTCATGTTTCCGTTCACAGAAAGGAACGAACCACCTGTCGCGCGACGAGACGTATCACCCGATGGTGCGGTCTGACTTCAAGAACCTGCCAGATGTGGAGCACGCAACCAAGATGGACTACAAGGAGATCCTGGAAGAGACCCCGGGATTTACTCTCTTCAAGATGGTCATCCGCCAGTTCCTGTACGCGTGCCGGATTAATCTATGTTCTCCACATTGCTGATGAACTCTGTTCAGCGGTTTCCAGCTCTACCTGATGTAAGCATGGCTGCCGCCCGCTCCCTCGGTATTCCCCTTACTTTTGTTCAGCCACAACCGCAAGGGTAACCCCAAGTACCCTCCTTGGACCAGCGTATGCACCGTTATTCTTGAGAATCGGAATGCACTTGCTGATTATCCTGGATACAGCACTACAACCCCGACTCCAAGCTCTTCAAACCCCAAGACCGTAAGACTATCCCTACCTCCCGTCATCCGCAGACCTCCACTTACGTTCCCCTTGGCCCCCAGGCAGCGCGATCATCGTCTCTGACATCGCGATCGGATGCATGCTCGTCTTCCTCACGACTTGGTCTTATTTTGCCGGCTTCCACGCGGTCTGGAGCCTCTACTTCACACCCTGGCTCGTGCGTCTCCCACTCCTCCTCGCACGATTGGTCAAAGTGCTGACTTCGGACACTGCGCGCGCAGTGGGCGCACAGCTGGATCGTCATGTTCACGTACCTCCAGCACAGCGACCCGACGGTGCCGTACTACCGCGAGGTGCGTCCAGATTCGTCCAGGCGCGTCTGGCCAAGCAAACGCTCATCTCTGCCCAATCGCCCGCAGAAAACGTGGACGTTCGCGCGCGGCGCGCTCGCGACCGTCGACCGCCCCGTGTTCGGCTGGATCGGGGAGTTCTTCTGGCACGGCGTACGTCCCTCCGCGCGCGCACCCACCGAAGGGAAGCTGACCTCCCGCCCGCGTGGTTAGATCGCGCACCACCACGTCGCGCACCACTTCTTCGTGAACGTCCCGTTCTGTGAGTGCCTGCTCGTCTAGTTTGCGCGCGCGCGAGACTGACGCGCAGGGAAAGACAACCTCGCGCAGGTGACGAAGGCGATCAAGCCCGTGCTGGGCGAGTACTACTGCTACGACTCGACGGTGCGCCCCCTTGTCTCGTTCGTTCGCAATCGACGTCCGCAGACGCTCACGTCGTGCCCCGGCAGCCGACGATCTACGCGCTCTGGCGCTCTTTCACTCAGTGCACGTTCATCGAGGACGAGGGGGACGTTGTCTTCTTCAAAAACCAGCGCGGCGAGGTGGGACGCGAGTGCGCGGACGCCGCGAGCACCGCGCGCGACGCCAAGCCGGCCAAAGAGGAGAAGGAGGCGGACGCACTCGCCATCGCTGGGCTGACTGGCTGATGGTCGGATATCGTTTTCTCGCTCGTCTCGCTTTCAACGTTCTCGTCCGCTCTGCTTGTTACGAAAGTCTTGTTGTGTGTTACTTGTTATATAGATGGCAGCGCCGATGACCTCAGCGTGGACGCACCCGCGACGTGACCGCGGTGTCCAGAGTCCTCCGGAGTTAAACGTTCCTTGCTTCTTGGCCCCGCTCATGCTTCATGTGTGCCCAGCAGGCTCTACCATCATCGCGACGCGTCGCGATGCGCTCTCTCCCTCTTTCTCGCCCCACCTGCGACCCTCGATACTCGCTACATGATAGATACGACTGTACCAGAAATTTCAGGCTGCTCCGCTCCAGCTATCGCCGGTAGTGTGTTGCATTTTTGACTTCGCTTGTACCTGGCGCAGCATCTCTACTAACCAGGCATGCTCCGAGGGGCCATGTTGTCTGGGGCGTCCTCCAGTCTAACGTCCGCTCAGTCACGTATCGGACTGCTTGCCGTAGTCTTTTGTAAGTTTGAATGGTCTTGGATTGTTGCCGGGAACGAGTCGGGACCTTTAAATCATTACGCCTCAACATATGGCTTCAGAGGTAAGTGTGGTTTCTGCCTCTACGTTCGCCCCCATCCATCACGATGACTTCTGTGAGGAACAGATGCTTCATGTTTAGCCTTCTTCTCTTTTCCTTCTGAGACTGAACACTCTCCGCATATGTCAAGCGCCAAGATCGGAGAATATATGGCGCTAAACACCCCGGCCCGGGGCTTCGCGTGCGCTTCTGCCACACACTCTTACTAAGCTCCTTGCTTGCTCCTCTCATCATCTTGTTGAAGAAACTTTCCAGAGATTGCCTGGTACGTCTTCTTAACACAGGCTCGAATGATTCAGTGCACTTGTATCAGAGTTCATGTATTCTTAAGCCCGTATTGAGCCGTCACATAAATGGAAGTACGGTGGGATACCAGCCTTGAGTCGTCTCGTCGGGAGTCGAGACTCTTAGTGTGGCAATCTCAGCGCCAGCGCAAGGCCAGCGACGATCTCGGGTGCGTTATTACGCTGCTTATCATCACATGTTGAGGCTTAAATCAAGAAGCAGCACTCATATATCGCGACGTCGGATTTGTCCACCGCTCACAACCAGGACGCCCACACCAAACCCTTGATTGGCAACACTTCTGAACTCCGCCGTCCAGCCGGGGCCTGACTCGAGCACCCCACATCATTCGTGAGTGCTGTTATGTTGGATTCTTGCTCCCCCGCTTGGGCTCTGCGACCCATCCGCGACACACGACAGCCTGCTATGCCACCTGGTCGCCGCCGTGATATTTCTCCGACTCTTCTCGCGCTCGATAGGTCGGTCGTTCTGTCGGGAATCGGCTGCGAGCTTCTGTTGATTAAAATCAATTTCCAGGGACTACTTTGAGATCCGAGAGCCCCTTCCCACCCGAGAAGCACCTGGTCTTGCTTGGGCGCGGAGAAGTGGAGGAGGCGATTGGCCAGGTGATCCTCGGGACCCCAGCATCGCGGGCCTCGACGGGTCGTTGGGCGAGCCGAGTGGACGGCCTTGTTCTCTGCGCAGATCTCGCATGATGCGGTCGCCACTCGGGATTCGGGGTGGGGTCCGCGGGGCGAGGATAAAAGCCCCCCTCCCCCGCGCTCTCTCTCCTCAGAACCCCCACGACCCCACCACCTCGACGATGCTCTCTACCCACGGCGCACACCTGCTCATGCGGCACACCACACCCTCGCTCCTCGCCCGCCTCGACGGCGACGACGACGACGTGTTCGCCTCCGGGTGAGGCATCTGGTTCCGCCGCTCACAACTGCCCTCCGACTCGCAGTGTCGGCCTCACCAAACGCGTACGGCACCTCGAAGGTCAGTTGTCTTCGCCACTGTCGTGCGCCACTCACACTGACCACCCGTTAGAACTCGGTTCATGTCACTCACCTCGCCCGGCACCGAGGCTCTGGCGTCGCTCGCGCTTCGCGATCCTCACCGCTACATGGGCAGGCGAGAGACAGCGTGCAGTGGCTTCGCGCCGCACCGCACGTAAGGCTGAGGATGAGGCGCGTATGCACCTCAGACCACCCCTCATGGTCCTCACCGATGGCTCTCACGAGACGCACTTGAAGCTCGCCGGTGGTTTGTACGTGTTTATCTCACTCTCTCCGCCGACGTCGACGCTGACTTCCGCACAGCAGCTGTGTCTTCGACGACACACACACATCATTGTAAGTCGATCACCTTCCTTATCGGTTTCGAATGCAATCTGACTTTGACTGCGCAGCGACCGTCTTCGAGGCCAGTCATATGTACAGGCTCAGTAAGGGCGCGGTTGATCGCTTCCCGCTGTCCAATCCAGCGGCGAAAGTAGGGCATGGTCCTGCGCCAGGCGGCACGCACACTCCTGATGGTTGCCTCTCCGCGAAGCCTGTCGGAATGATTCGGCTCCGGGAAATTCGTGCGTGACGCCCTCAGATTCGGATTTCTTTTCTCTCGATTGCTCTCCTTCTCTCCCCTCTCCCATGCCCTCATGGACGGCGATCGTCAGGCGGCGCGTACGACCCGATGATTGCCGCTCCGCGATCCTCACGGAATGTTTCTGGGCTCCGGGACATTCGTACGCGCCGGCCCCAGCTCGGCCCGTCCTTGGCTCCTCTCTCTCTCTATCTCTATGTCCATGTCTACCTACGTTAGTACGGGCGACGGAGGTCCTTACGACCTCCGGTTAAACACGCTCCCCGAGGTATCGGCGCAGGCCTCTCCGTGGCCCTCGGGACTAGTACCCGTCGCTCGTGCGGCGGGGAAGCCAACATGCGCTATCTACGTACATCTGTAGTCACTTCGACCAGGAGAGACCACTTGAAATGCATTTGGTTGCCACTTTGCCATCCATTCGTCCGAGTTGTCTGCCCTCGCCTCGTCGAGATCGCAGTGTTCTCCGTGGTGGGGGGTTGCAACAATAATGAAACATGTCTTGTGCACGAATGCACTCGCCCCGCGTCCGACTCTGGTACACGAGGTCGAATGAACTGATTGCGAAAACCTGGCCAGCCTTCACAGAAGATGCGGCCTCCAGATAGAGCCTAACTGACCTCACTGTACATTAGGGAGACCAAACGCGCGTACATGAGCTGCTCGACGAATGCCCATTTGTCGGGCACGCACGGCACCCTGTGGAGGCCCGTCCTGCAGGATGGCAGATCGGTAGCGCGGAAGCCAGCAAAGCAACTCTCAAACGTCCGAACTGCGATAGCTGAAGTTTGAACGTATCATGATTTTGATCGACGATAGTAAGCAAACACCAAAAGCATTACATCACGGCGCAGTATATGTAACAAATAAACCCAAAACCTCGCATCCGAGATATACTAGAGCAGGTAGTCGGCACACCTCACGCCTTCGCCGCGCCCATGGCCATCGCGTACAGCTTCTCGCGATCCCCGCTCTCGTCGACGAGCGACCTGAGCATGCCCTGCTCGTTCTTCAGCAGCTCCGCCGGGCTCCCGAACTCGACGATGTTCCCCGCGTCGAGGACCATGATCTTGTCCGAGTCCATGATCGTCTGGAGCCGGTGCGCGACCGTGAGGAGCGTCACGTCCTTCCCGAGCTCCGTGCGCAGCGAGCCCTGGATGACCGTGTCCGTCTCGTAGTCGATCGCGGACGTGGCCTCGTCGAGGATGAGGAGCTTGCTCCGGCGGACGATCGCGCGCGCGAGCGCGAGGATCTGGCGCTGGCCGACGGACAGATTCGCGCCGCCGCCCGCGATCTCGGAGTCGAGCGTGATCCGGGAGTGGTCGCCCTCGTCCTGGAGGGAGAAGAGGCCGGCGGAGCGGAGGGCGTCGTTGAGCACCGCGTCGTCGTGCTCGGAGAAGGGGTCCAGGTTTTGGCGGAGCGTGCCGCTGAGGAGCTCGGGCACCTGCGGGATGATGGTGATGCTCGAGCGCAGCGCGTCGAGGTTGACGTTGTGCGTCTCGAGGCCGTCGTAGCGGACGTGGCCCTCGGTGAGGATGCAGCGAAGGAGCGCGAGGGTGAGGGAGCTCTGCGGGGCTCGTCAGTAAATCCGGCTCGGTCTATGTAAATGGAAGGTGTTTCGTACCTTGCCGCTGCCTGTACGCCCGACGATGCCCACCCGTTCACCGGACTTGACCTCGAACGAGACCTCGTGGAGGACACGGGGGCCGGTCTCGGAGTAGCGAGCGCAGAGCTTCTCGACGTGGAGGCTACCGCTGGCGGGCCAGTACGCGGGAGGAACACCCTCCGGTGTGGGCTTCGGTTCTTGCTCGACATTCAGGTACTGCTGAATACGCTCCAAGCTGTTGCTAGACACCTGCCACTCGTTGACGACACGGACGAACTGCAAGATGACACCGCTAAAGGCAGCTGGGGGAACGGTCACGTCAGCGCGAAGCGTGGATCACCAGACGTGAATTACGCACCGGCCATGTTGAGCGAGAAACCGGCATTGGATGCACTGATGTGCGCGATGTACGCCAAGTAGGTGGTCAGGGCCGTGCTGTACAGAGTACCAACGAAGTCGACACGCATCGATACCCAGCTGCATACTCATTCGTTAGTATCTGCGTTGGACGCGGCATGACGACTACCAACGTACCGGTTGAGGTTAAATTGCGTGATAGAGGCACGGCTGAAGCGATCGATGCGCCTCTGCGACTCCATCTTAAAGTCTTCCTGCTTGCCATAGGCGCGAATGGAAGCTATCGAGAACGCCGCCGGTTAGCAACCCGTGCATCCGTACCACCTAGCATGGCGAAATACGCACTGATTCCGGTGATAGCGGCACCGAAGTGGCCTAGGACCGGCGCTTTGACCTTGCTCATCTCGCGCTTGACGGAAAGTTGTGCCTTCATGAAGATGGAGCCAATGTTGTAGCCAAGGAACGCAACGGCAAGCGATGGGCCGAGGAAAATGGGCGAGAAAATGACGACGGAGACCATCTTGAGGATCATGAAAACTCCGATCTGGACGACAAACTCGGTGGTCATCGCGACGCGGTTGTCGACTGCCTCGAAAGTCAACAAAGACGGGCGTGTAGATGAAGAACGTGATTCACATACCGGCCTGGATATCCTCAGTGCAGCGCGCGATGATGCGCGACGTCGGTGTCTTGTCGAGCCAGCGGAGCGTGGTGCCCATGACGGAAACGACAAGTTTCTCATGGATGATCCGCCCTGCCCGGATGGTCCCAAACACGTAGTAGATGATACAGAATGCCGACATAATCATGCCGATGAGGACAGTGACAGAGTACATCCCGAGGTAGCTGTGAATTTGTCAGCTCACTCATTTATGGGCCGATGAAAGCTCACTCACTAAGACACATCGACGTCCTCCGCGGGCATGACTTCATACTGGGCCGCCCAGTAACCGAGGTACCAAGTCTGTGCAAAACCATCAATAACAGAGAGTGAAAACAGAAGCGTCAACGACTACCCACCTGGAAATTGTTCAACGCGTGGCGGACAATGTACAAGCCAATATACACAGCCCAGAAGAGCACAGGCGTACTCGACATGTTCATGATGAAGAGCTTCACTGGAATCTCGTGATCAGTCATCCATCTACATAGCCATTCCGATGAGCAACTTACGTGCGTCCCAGCCCACATGCCCGAGCTCAGTCTCTTCCTCGACGACGAGCTTGCCGGCGTCCTTTTTCGCCTCCTGGTCTTCGTCTTCGTCTTCCTCGGCGTCGAGCTCTTGGCTCGCCTTTTTCATCTCCTCTTCGTCCTGCTTCAACTCCTTGAGCAACTTCGTGTCGTGCGCGAGCGCGGTCGAGAGAGACCCCTGGCTGACGATACGCCCGTCCGCACCCATGTCGACGACGAAGTCGGCGATCGGGCTGACCATGGCGACGTTGTGCGTCTGATCGAGCGCGCGTGAGCAGGGCGTGAGGAGATCAAGGCACGATAGAGGCGCTTACCACGAGGACGATGGTGCGGCCACGGAGAATGTCGCCCTTGAGGCACTTTTCGACGATCCAGCGGGAGGTGTGGACGTCGAGCGCGGCGAGGATCTATAGGGTGTATCAGCGACAAGCGGTGTGTGGAGGCGAGAGATGTGCGTTACATCGTCGAGCAAGAGAATATCCGCGTTGGAGTAGACTGCACGCGCGAGGGTGATGCGAGCCTTCTGACCACCGCTGGGAAACATCGTCAGCCACAAGCACAGAACACACAACAAGACGACGGACCTGAGCGTGATACCCTTCTCGCCGACCTCAGTCTGGTCCCCAGCATCGAAGAGGCTCAGGTCGCGCTTCAGGGCGCACTGCGAGATGACCTTGTTGTACCGCGCCTCGTCGAACGGCGCGCCAAAGATGATGTTGTTCCGGATCGTGTCGCTCTGGACCCAGCTCTCCTGCGCCGCGTACGCAACGCCGCCCGCGCGTGGGAGGCTCACGAACGAGTCCGGGCCCTGCGGGAGGTAGTGCATCTCCCCGAGGAGCGCCATCAGGAGCGAGGTCTTGCCGGAGCCGGTCGGGCCGACGACGAGGTTGACCTTGCCGCGGCGGAAGAAGACCTCGTCGTCGACGTGGAGCGCGAAGGCGCGCCGGCGCGTGCCCCCGGGTGTGACCGACGCCTGCTGCGCCGAGTCGTTGGCCCAGGTGAAGGACGCGTGGCGGATGCCGACGCTGTCCTTGTGCGAGTCGGGGATCGGGGCGGGGACGAGCGCGGTCTCCGGGTTCGCGGCCTCGGTGAACTCGTCGATAAGCTCGGTGTTGTAGAGGAAGTCCGCGATACGCCCAATGGCGACGTGAGTCTGGATGAGGGCCGGGATGATGTAGAAAGTCGCGGCGATGTCCATGCGGAGCATGTCAAAAACGCTCATCGCCGAGAAGACCTTCGCAGCTACGGGGTAATGAGCGCGGAACAAAAGAGGCCACAGGATACGGCGTACCGGTCAACGACTCCTTCATGATAACCGAGTACGTGAAGAAAGTCACGAGCATGATAAGGATGGGGACGAAGTAGCTGTAAACGCATCGTATTCAAATCTAACTCACGCCATGTGAAAGCAATCGACGACTCACTTGTACAAGTTGTTCAAGACGCCGAGGAGCTTGTTCCTGCGAATGACCACCAACTCCTCATCACGTTTCTCCTTGATTTGCGACAAAATGCGCGACTCCCAGCCGAAAAGCTTAATCATGCGGATGACGTTCATCATCTCCGAGACCAGCTGCACACGCCCGTCGGTCCGCTGCATTTTCTCGCGCTGCGTGGTGCTGAGGTATTTAGTGATGTAACCGGGGATGGGGAGCGTGAGGATCATCGCCGCAAACCCGACCCACGCGCTGCAGCCAATGTAAGTTAAATCAAGAAGGTTGAAGTCGAGAGAGAACGTGCCTCCAGCCGAGAATCTGGTGCAGGAAGATCATGCAGAGCATGATCTGGAAGGGCGACTCGATAGTAGCGAACACGAGGTGCATGGACGAGAAGTCGAGGCTGCTCAAGTCACTCGAGACGAGGTTGTTGATGCGGCCAACGAGGTTCTTGCCCTTCTCTTTCTTCGGTTCCTCCTTCTTCGCGGGTTCCTCCTTGCCTTTGCCCTTGTCCTTGTCTTGGCGCTGGGGCGACGGCGAAACCGCAGTCGCGGTGCTCGACTCGGCCGAATGAGTGCCAGTCTCGGTGTCCGCGTCGTCGGTGCTCGACGCGTCGACGTCGGCCTGGGACGCGTTGTCCGGGGTTGCGACTGCAGTCGGGGCGTTGCTGTCGTCCGCCGTGGCGTTGTCCGACGTCTCGGCCTTCATGCGGATGCGGAGCGCGTGCTCGAACACGAGCTCGGTGACGATCGCCTGCATCCGCACGTTCACGCGCGTGGTCTTGTACACGAACCACTCGTCGGAGATGACCTTGAACACGCGCCCGAAGAAGAGCAACACGATCCAGAACCATGGCTCGACGGCGAAGTTGCCCTTGCTGCCCGTTTCGAGGTAGCTGTAAGGCACGGAGAAGGTTCAGTATCCGTAGGATCCGAATCAATGAATTAGGAAGGGCGCACATGAGGAGGTTGTTGATGCTGATGGGAGCAGCGAAGGCGAAAACAACCTGAGAGGATACAAGTGTCAGTCTCAATCTGTCCAATGCAAACCGTTACAGCGTGAGAGGGCGCAATACACTAAGCCCAGTCACAGCCGCGCTCCTGAGCTGAGATGTGACTTACGGCAGTGATGGACATGGCCGCGAGATGGGTAAGTTCGACCGCTGCGTCGACGCGTTAGCAAATCAGCAGGGAAAGCGGTCAAATGCACCTCCTTACCAAACACACGGATCAGCTTGAGCGCCAGGGGCAGCCTGGACTTGGAGCGCATAGGGTCCAAGACCTGCGCAGGATCGTGAGTCGGCAGGCTAGAAGCCACTGATTGACAGATACGCACCGGGAAGCTGTTGGGGATAAGGTTGCGCAGATGGTCGAAGTCGGATAGCTGTGGGAGAAGGTCGAACGGGAGATGGGGCATGCGGTAGGCCGTCCACACGATCGGGCTCATGAAGCCGTACGTGAGCAGGGACCACGCCGACGCGACCTGCTCCGGGGACGCGACGAGGTCGTCCTTCGGGTTGCGGGGTTCGAACTTGCGGGGGGAGAAGGCAGGGACGAAGATACCGGCGATGGAGAGGAGGGCAATCTTGACCCACATGAGCGTGCCCTCGGCGGAGTCCGCAGGGGAAAGGTCGACGGTCGCGAGCGGCCAGAGGTCGCGGTACGCGTACACGCCCCAGGCGCATGCAAGCACCCAGGAGCCGTGCGTGTACGCGCGGAAGCCGGTGCTTGTGGTGCCAAACGCGCCGAGGAAGGTGAGGAGGACGAGGTACGCCTGGGGTAGGGGGTTCGCAAAGTGGGGGCGGGTATATGCGTAGAAGAACTCACATAAAGTGCGACCGAGGCAATTTGGAAGACCAAGGGCCAGTTTACGCCATGGGCGGACGTCTCATCCTGGGCGTTGAGGAAGGCGACAAGCTGAGCGCAGCAGATGCCGCAGAGGGCGGAGGTGGAGAGGGACTGTGCTATCCGGAAGGCGAAAATGGCAGGGCCACCGACTATGTCGAGCTTGCGGCGGAAGAAGGAGCGACGTTCCTCAGCCTCATGTTGGGTGGGGCGGAAGCGGTCGGCGACAGATGACGCGGTGAATGTGAGGGCGGAGAACGCGCCAATGTACGCGGTCACGAGGAGGGAGTCGAGCCAAGGACTGGGAGATGGAAGACGCGGTCACTCGACGCGTCTGGGGGAATGCGCGTCGCGCAGGGAAGTGGAACACGCACGTTTGGGATACGGAGGCGATCGAGTGGCCGGAGCGGGTGAGAGGCACCTGGGCGATGTCGACAAACCAGTCGATGGGCCGGTCCATGCTATGCGCTCAGAATGCGCGCGGGAGAACTTGCGCGGCTGGGGCAGGCGTGGCAGGCGGAAAGGGTGTGGAGGAAGGAATTCAACCGGACGGCGGGAGTAAGCGCGGAGCGAAAAGGACGCGCTGAAAAGAATCCATCATTCGGCATAAGTATGTACGCCTGCGCTATCTCTGACTCGAAGTGGCGTTGTATCAACTGCACACACGCGGACCCGTAAGCCAGCGTAAGCCCTGGGAGCGACCTGGTGCCGTTTGTCAGCGTTTCAGCACGTCTGTCGCACCTCGTTTCGGTCCATGCCGGCAATCCACCGACTTCATCGGCCTTTCCTTCAGCATGCGGGGGAAGGACTCCGGAGGGGCCGCGGGTGACGTTCCCCACATTACGCGCGCGTGCCTAGCCTGCTATACCAGTGGCAGTACTTACCCGACGCGCTCTCCGACCCTTGTCCAGGCACAAGCCGCGGTAGCGCGAGTCACCGCTCGGCTTTGCAAGGCTCAAGCTCTTCAAAGATCTTCTCAGCCCAGAAAAGGCTGCTTTTCCAAGCCTGCAGCTGCCTGCGTGTCGCTCGATGCTCGACGGTGTCACCGACGGCCCAGCTTATCGGACGAGCGTCTTCCGGGTGCATTGGTGGCAAGCGCTCATCTATATCTGGTACTGTGCCTAGCGACGAGCATGCCCGTAAGTAGCCGTAAGTACAGTGCACCAGCGCGCTCCCTGAATGGATCCTACTTGCCGTCACGCAAGATGGACGCGCTCGTACTCTGTCTGTTTCCCCCGTCAACAAGGTGCGGTGAGGAGCATGTGATCCTGAGTAGAGCATCATGACATGCGGGCGTCTCATGTCACCCATCCAAATACTCCCTCGTGTTACGAAATCTTCACAACCTACTTGTCTGCTCCCTCCATCGCGCAAATGAAGTGCGTCGAAAATGTCCAGGTTTTTTGTCTACCGACTTACGAGTCCTCCAAAGATGTGGCTGCTCAGCACCGACCGCGCAGAGCTCCACTTCTTCACCGCACCAGGTGCTGTAATCGGCGGCTACGCCATCCTTTCGCATACATGGGAAGACCGAGGGGAGCAAACGTACCAGCAGATCCGCAAGCTAGAAGAGCACTGTAACGTCAGCAACGAGATCCCACGCGACCTCGTCTCCCCCAAGATCCGACACACCTGTCTCCTCGCCGAAAGGCACGGCTTCAAATGGGTCTGGATCGACGCATGCTGCATCGACAAGACCAGCAGCACAGAGCTCTCAGAAGCGATCAACTCCATGTTCCGTTGGTACGCCGCATCCGAAGTCTGCTTCGCCTACCTTGCCGACGTCCCCGGCGACGACGCGCTCCACGCTCCCGGCTCGGCGTTCAGGAAGGCCCGTTGGCACACGCGCGGATGGACGCTGCAGGAGCTCATCGCCCCCCTCTTCCTTCTCTTCGTCTCCCAAGACTGGGAGGCCATCGGCAACAAACTCGGGCTTGCCAGCCTCCTGGCTGATATCACGGGCATACGGGAGGAAGCACTCAAGAACGAGTCGTCGTACTCCACTGAATCTGTCGCCACCCGCATGGCGTGGGCCACCAACCGTCGGACGACACGCATCGAGGACGAGGCGTACTGTCTCATGGGTCTCTTCCATGTCAACATGCCGACCATTTACGGCGAGGGCAAGCACGCGTTCCAGCGGCTTCAGCAAGAGATCATGCGCCAGTCCTCTTCGCATGGGGACGATGGTTTTCGTACACCTACGGAGCAAAACCTATGACAAGGCAGAGAACGTACAACGTGTTCTACGCACCCTCGCTCGATCACTTCTTCTTGCTCGCTCAGTCTGTGTCTACTTTCGGTAACTCACAGAATATACGCTACTCCCCGAATACGATTTACTCTCTCCAGCCCTATCTTCCGTGGCAATGGAAACCAGAACATGTACGTGCTTCGTTGGCATTCTTCATTGCTTCTGTAGTGACACGGTCCACAGAATGAGCCCGCCGACAGCGAGAAACGGACGCTCGGTCCCTTCGGGCGCCTCGAGCTGCCGAAGTTCCACAAAACAAACTACGGAATGAAATGCCGCTTCCCTGTCTTCGAAGTCCAAGGAATCACCGTCGCAATGCTCATGGCGGACGACAACCAGGAGCACTTCGGACTCTTATTGCATCCGACTAACGACAACCTCACAGACCCCTCCTCTGTCTGCTACAGCGTTGGCTGGGGCTTCGATATGCCAGACGGCGGGGTCAGCTTCGTGCGCCGGGTCCATTTAGGGAAAGACTGGTACAACCTCTCATTCCTCGGGGAGCCCGTCAAACCGGAATGGCGCGACATCTACATCGCCGATTCGTTCCCCGAGTACCGCAAGGTGGACCGCGTCGCGCTCTGCCACCCTCTGCACAACATCCTTCCCGCGCCGCCCTTCCGGTTCCCGAACTGGCTGATCGACCGCCTGCTCGTCCTCGGGCTCGGCACCAACGCCACCCCGCTCATCAAGAGCTCCCCGAAGGACGGCCTCGGCACACCGCTCATTGCGTCGATGTACTTCGAGGACGTCGCCCAGAGGGAGTGCATCCTCTTCCATTTCGGCACCTGCTCAGCCTCCGCCACGCCCTCCCCCGACCAAGACCGCGAAGGGACGTCCACCCACGCAGCGGACGCCGAGCCCGTGCACTGGGCGACGACGCTCTTCCGGACGCCGTCCTCGTGGAGCGTCCCCGCGCCGCTGGGCGAGCACGATTGCACGAAAGACCACGTGCGGGACTGGCCCGGGTGGGCGCGCGAGTTCGTGGACGACGACGGCGGGGCGCGCGTCGTCCGCCTCGCGTTCACGTGCTCGACGCTCGCCCCGGCGATCACTCGGGTGTTCCACCTCGAGCTCGCGGGACGGCGGTACGAGGAGATGATGGCGTCGCGGAACGTGTGGTTCCCGCCGCGGGCGCAGTCGGATGTGGATGCGATTCTCGCCGAGCAGGGCGCGGGGGGAGCGGGAAGTGAGGAAGCACGAGGAGAAGGAGAGGGAAAGGGAGAATTGATGGTGAGATCCCTCCGGGGAGATGCACGTCTTGCGGTTGAAGTGGAGGATGACGCGGAATCTCCGAAGTGGTGTCTGGGGCTCCGGATTCCGTGTTTCCCGAGGTTTCGTTCTAACTCTGGGCATCGTATTAGTAGAAATTGTTGAAACCAGGGGTGACTGACATGGCTCATTGAAATAAACTATCATTCGCCGAAAAGCAGCAAGGGATGGAATCGAACGCTCGCCCGCGGACTGAAGCCAGCGCTTACACCCCTCAGGCGCTTAGTCTCAACGTTCAACGCTGCACTCAACGCTGTCTTCTTCTCAACCACGTTCCTCAAGAGCTCAATCGGCAGGTATGGTCTCATCTTCATTTTTTTCCGGTCGCTCTTCTGGTATCCAACGGCATCTCACTGTCAGCGCTCCCATAGGCCGTCAACCTTGTCGTACTGCCCTGCGTACGGACTCCTGAGGTCTTGTTTGCTGGCAGACGATGGAAGCAAAACAACAACCTCCTCAACGAGTTGCATGAGTCGCTGGGCGTGCTTCAGGAAGATACATGCACGGGCTCGCGTTCGAGTGCTTAAAAATGACGACGTCAGATTTGTCCACCGCTCACAACCAAGGACGCCCACACCAAACCCTTGTTTGGCAACACCTCTGAACTCCGCCGCACAGCCGGGGCCTGAATTGAGCACCCCAAATCATTCTGGGTGCTGTCAACTCGGTCTCTGCGACCAATCCGCGACACACGACGGCCTGCGGTGCCCTCCTGCCCCCTGGTCGCCGTGATGATTCTCCGACTCTTCTCGCGCTCGGTAGGTCTGTCGTTCTGTCGGGACTCGGCTGAGGGCTTCTGGTGATTAAAATCAATTTCCAGGGACTACTTTGAGATCCGAGAGCTCCTTCCCACCCGAGAAGCACCTGGTCTTGCTTGGGCGCGGAGACCTGCAGGAGGGGATTGGCCAGGTGATCCTCGGGACCCCAATATCGCGGGCCTCGACGGGTGTTGGGCGAGCCGAGTGCACCGCCTTGTTCTCTGCGCAGATCTCGCATGATGCGGTCGCCACTCGGGATTCGGGGTGGGGTCCGCGGGGCGAGGATAAAAGCCCCCCTCCCCCGCGCTCTCTCTCCTCAGAACCCCCCACCACCTCGACGATGTTCTACCCCCGCGACGCACCCCTGCTCATGCGGCACACTACACCCTCACACCTCCCAGCCTCAACCGGCAGCGGCGACGACATGCTCACTCCGGGTGAGGCATCCGGTTCCGACCCCAACTGCCCTCCGACTCGCAGCGTCGGCCTCACCAAGCGCGTACGGCACCTCGAAGGTGAGTTGACTTCGCCATCGTCGTGCGCCACTCTCGCTGACCACCCGCAGGATTGGCTCATGTCACTCACCTCGCTCGGCACCGAGGCACTGGCGTCGCTCACGCATCGCGATCCTCACCGCCAGATGGGCAGGCGAGAGACAGCGTGCAGCGGCTTCGCGCCGCACCGCACGTGAGGCCGAGGACGAGGCTCGTATGCACCTCGGATCACCCCTCATGGTCCTCGCTGATGGCTCTCACAAGACGCACTTTAAGCCCGCCGGTGGTTCGTGCGTCTTTCTCTCACTCTCTCCGCCAACGTCGACGCTGACTTTCGCACAGCAGCTGCGCCTTCAATGGCAATCCCCCAACATGGTGAGTTGCTCGCCTTCCTTATTGGTTTCGAATGCGATCTGACTTTGACTGCGCAGCGACCGTCTTCGAGACCAATCGTACGTACAGGCTCAGTAAGGGCGCGGCCGATCGCTTCCCGCTGTCCAATCCAGCGGCGAAAGTAGGGCATGGTCCCGCGCCAGGCAGCACGCGCACTCCCGATGGTTGCCTCTCCGCGAAGCCTGTCGGAAAGTTCAGGCTCCGGGAAAGTCGTGCGTGCCGCCTCCAGTTTTCGATTCGCTTTCTTTTCTCTCGATCTCTATCCCTCCCTCTTCCCCACACTCATACCCTCAAGGACGGCGATCGTCAGGCGGCGCGCACGACCCTATGAATGCCGCTCCGCGAACCTCGCGGAATGTTTTCATGGCTCCGGGACACTCGTACGCGCCGGCCCCAGCTCGGCCCGTCCCTGGCTCCTCTCTCTCTCTATCTCTATGTCCATGTCTACCTACGTTAGTACGGGCGACGGAGGTCCTTACGACCTCTGTTTAAAAATGCTCCCCGAGGTATCGGCGCAGGCCTCTCCGTGGCCCTCGGGACTAGTACCCGTCGCTCCTGCGGCGGGGAAGCCAACATGCGCCTTCGTTGTATTGCGTAGTCTTCAATGCGATTCGTACTTGGTACTTAGTGTTCGCTTGAACTTCATAGTGTGTGACACCGTCAACAATGGCCTAAGTAATCACGCTTTTAAGCTTTTAAATTGGCGCTTCTAGTGTGTGTACCGGAGTCGGAAGGGACCACTTCTATCCCGCCTTCCAAACATGGGGAATTGGTCGGTATTCAGCGTCAGGTGCGAGCATATGAGGCCAAGCAGTAGGGCAACCCAGAGACTCTGGTCTGGCGTGTGGCGGGTGGGGTGTGGTCCAGATCGAGATATTCCTCCTGGGAGGGTTGGCACAGTAATGCAACATCTTATGTACACGAATGTACTCGTCCGCGGCGTCTGGTAAAATACGGTCGAGAGAACCCAGCCCTCGCAGCAGACGCGGCGTCCAAAGTCACCCCTCCCGAAGCTTACATCCCCTGCACGATAGGAGCGGCGCCCTTCTCCAGGGCTGTCCGCAAGCTGCGGGCGCGAGGATGTTAGAAGAAAGCCGGGAACGAGGAGAGTGGATGGTCGCATACCTGTAGTCGTCCCCGTTCTGCGTGATGTAACGCACCCAAGGGAGCGCCTGGTAGCCGCTCTTCTCGACGATCTTGAGATATCGGACTTGGATGCCGGATACGGTGAAGTAGGGGATCTCGAATTTGACGGTGATGGGTGCGCGTTTGTCCAGGGATTCTTGCTCTGCTCGACCGTGGTATCATGAGCAAGAGGATGGCGGGAATGGGACAGAGGGGAGTGCGCGAATCAAGCTAGAGAGAGCCCGACTCACCTCCTCGTACACTGGGAAGACCGAAGTGCGCGCGCATAAGGAACTCCCGTCCACCTCCTAGCTGCTTGATCTTCCACACGAACGCCGATTTGTCGGGCACGTACGACACGCTCCCTGTCGATGCCTATCGCACAAGACGCCGCTCAGTTGCTCGCACTGCCGGGTGAAAAACAAGCAGAGGACACGTACCCTGAACTTGGGCGTGTCCGCGTCGTCCGGGACGGGCACGTAGATCTCGACGTTGTTCGCGGTGCTCCGCCGCTTGAACTGCGCCTTGACCTTGACCATGTACTCTATCCGGCTGCCCTTGTGGTGCTCGACCGCGGCCTCGACCCAGACGAGGGGCTTGACGGGCGTCGAGAGCCGGTAGGACATCAGCTCGAACTCGCCGTCGGGCGGGATGAAGGAGATCGTCCGGTCGTTCTCGAACCGGGAGAGGCGGACGCACTGGTGGAACTTCACGTCCTCCATCTCGATCGCCTTCCCGCGCGCGTTCCGGCCGGTGGACTCGAACATGACCTTATCGTTCAGCCCGAGCCGGAGCTCGGGCATGCCTGACAGGTAGCACTTCATCTTCACCGCGCCGAGGATCTCGGAGCGGACGACGTTCCCGTTTGCGTTCACCTGCGCCGTAGGTCAGCGGGGTGTGCGTCACGGTGGGACGGTGGGGAAGAAGGATATGCGACGCCTTGTACGTGCATCCCCACCGGGTTACGCAGGAGTAGAAAGGAAGACTCACCAGTAGGTTGACGCTCTCGATAACATCCAGGAAGACCTCGTTTTTCCGGTAGCGGATACCTTCCGATCTCCACGACACAGCATTGGTGACCGCGACTGGGGGCCGCGCCTGTACCTCGAGCTTGTACGACTCCTGGGTGATATACCTATGGGTGAAAGGACGCGTTAACACTCCCGGCACGGACGGAGGATGGCAAGGGGGGACGCACTCCTGGAGGATCTTGCTCTCCGTCGTCTGTGGGTAGCCAAAGTCCATCATCTCGTCCATGAGCTCGTAGATGATGACGAAGTTGTCGCGGATGGACTCCTCCTCGAGCTCCTTGAAGTACTCAACGAGGACCGAGACGAGACGGTGGAGGAAGAGAATGATCTCGGCCGCATTTGAGTTGCGTTTCGAGAGTGCGAGAACTGGGGGAGTGAAGAGAGCCCGCTGAGCCGCAAATGAAGAGCACAGAGGCAGAAGCCGATACTCACGGTAAAGATTGGAATGACGGATGTGCATGTAGTTCACGCCCTCACGCGTGAAGCACGGGGTGACCTGCTGCCCTTCTTCCTCCAGATCAAGAACTATGGGAAGGAACTTCTCGATGTATGATGGTGCGACATCGTCACGGTATGATCTTTGGATGAGCGGCTTGCCCTTGAGGTCGAGGACCGCGATTAAGCTGGCCATGGCGTCCGTTCAAGATGATTACGGGCGCAGATGCGGTGCCAAGGAGGGCGCAGAGGAAGCGCCTTGAAGCGATGACCCTTTTTGCTTTTGACGAAGCCTTGAGCAGGAGGAGGAAGGAGCGGGGAAGGAGACAGACGAAGAGGCACAGCGGCGGCGGATAGCCCTTGGGCGCTCATGCGCCCAATTGGGGAGCGCGTCGAAGGTGTGGCTCACGCGCCGCTCTCCCTCTTTCCGCCATGTCCGAGGTCTGCGTCCCCGTGCGTGCTCTCCATCTCTCCATCCAGCGACATTACGCTCACAGAAGCTGCAGATTCATGACCCATGGAGCGCTGCCCTCACCGCATTCCTCTGCGTAGGCATCACGGCCTCCTACCTCCCTCAGGTATGTGTGCAGCTGTTGCTGCGCGTCTGGTTTGAGCCCCAGTCTGAATTTTGTTCGCCGTAGCACTGGCGCATTATTGCCGCAAAGTCCTCTGCGGGCTTTAGTCCATGGTTCCTCCTGCTCGGGAGCATGTCGTCGGCGTCCGCGATGCTGAATATGTGAGTGCCTGCCGTCTTGGTGGTCTGGGGTCTGAACGGATGAGGGGTGGTAGCATCGTCATGCAGTGGGGAATCGTGCGGTGTTGCCCCGTTTGGGTGAGCACATGTATGCACCGTTTCTATACGCATTTGAACTCATACGCGGCACCTGCGACCGTAGAGCTTCGGTAGCTGCGTGGAATCCATCGCTGGAGTGTTGCAACTCATCCTGGTTTGGATCCTCTTTGTGATGATGTGCGTTTCCTATCTCTTGCGCTCGAGCCCATCCTCATCTGCGCGCAGTCTGGTACTGTACATGGTGTACTACCCGGAGAACATGAAGTACGTCGAGTTGGATGTGGACCTTCCCGGCAACCTCCCTCCGCGACACATCAAGACTCCGGTGAAGCAGGAAAACTGGAAGCTTTCCGTGACCCTTGCCTGGGCAGTGGGCATTCACATGTATGTATTCCCTTCCACAGAACGTGATCCAGTCCTTACACAATTCATTTGTAGTGCTCTCATCGCGTTCATCACGTTCATGCTTCTCTCCACTGACCCCACCCCCGACTCGACCCAACGTTCGCCCCAGATCCAACTCTGGGCGACGTTCCTCGGTCTTTCTTCCGCCGTCCTCGCCACGACGCAATACACCCCCCAGATCCTTCACACCTTCCGCCTTGGGCTGGTCGGTGCACTCTCCATCCCCATGATGTGCCTCCAGACGCCAGGTGCGATCCTCATGGTCACCAGCATCGTGGCGCGGCCCGGCACGAACTGGACGAGTGCGTACCCTCCTCTGTCTCCCCTCCTGCGTTTTCTCTAAGATGTACTGTCGCGCTCTCAGCGTGGATCTCGTACGCCATCGCCGGGGTTATGCAGGGCATCCTGCTCGTCATGTGCCTCGTGTTCCGCGCCCGCCAGCACGCCGACGGCATTGACGACTTCGGGCGCCCGCTCAACTCGCCGCCTGCGTATGCTGACAGCGACGTGGACGGGGATGCGGTGCCGGCGAGCACGCCTGCCCTCGAGGCCGCTGTCGGTGACGCGGTACACAGCGACCTGCGGGCGGAGCCCGAGCAGACGAGCGAGGCAACACCGCTGCTACCCAAGCGGGACGAGGGGCGGAGGAAGGGGCTCTTCGACTGGCTGAAGCGGTGAGCTGCATCCCTGGAGAACGGGAGGCGTTTGACTCGGTTTTTGTTTTATGGGCTTCGAGGATGCACTCACGTATCTTATTTCTCGGAGATCACCATAATATACCGGTCGCTAAGGCGGCCCCATGCTCGTGATAACCTTCGTAGCGACGCCTTCTGGCTGAAGCGGAGCGGTGGCGGCACTGGTCTAGTTCGATCGGCTTGACGTCGTGTCATCCTCACGCACAGTCGCGCCGTCGTCCAGTTCAGTCAGGCTCAACTCTCACAAGACCCCAAGCACTTTGTCGCACCACTGCCGCCAACGATATAGCCTCTTCCCGCATTCCCCAATCGTATGCCCGCGACTTTCGGAGCGACGCACCGCCAGCAGCGAGAGGAAGGTGTACCGCCAACCCAGCCTCGATCGTCCACATATGGCAACGATATTCGATCCTCTATGGCGTTGCGTTCGATCGCGCGGGCGGCGGTGCGGGGACTCTCCGCTCAGGCACAGTGGGCGTGCGTGGTCAAGTAGCCGTGAAGGATGTGTTTGAGGTAGCGTTCTGTCTTGGCGCGAACTTTGGCAAGCCGTCCGTCCTACCGCCCGCGTCCTCGTCCGATCGGACGTCCCAGCGGGACCGCTGCGGCAGGCCTCGAGCCTTTGTGGTGAGCACACGAACGTCCATGCTGCGTACTCGTACGTCAGATCTAGACGGTGCGGCCAAGGATGCGCCGGAAATGAAGTGCCCACGCGCCCAGAACATGAATTGTGTGCGGTGGTTTGGTAGATGACGGGGTCAGAAGCTCAAATTCGGACGTACCCCATTCCGTCAAGTGTCTTGTCCTAGTGCGACGCTGTACAGCTGTAAGCTTTGACAACTGAGCGCGACGCTGATCTGCCGTACCCGCCGCGCCAAACGCCGTCATCGCGGCCACCGATCGCAGCTCCGCTGCCCATCCGAGCCTAGAGCGGCGCGCGCGAGGAAGAGTGCGCGCACACACCCACACACACGCCGTGCTGGAACGCGCGCCTCGATCTCCGATATCGGACGCGTAGCGCGCCACTGGGCAGCACTGGGCGGGCATCAGTGCTACCACCGTGGGCGTCGTGCGAACGCTCCTCCGTGCCCTGGCCGTCCCCTTCGGCTTGCTTATAAGCTCGCGGCGGCCCCGATGGGTGTCAACCCGTCCCCTCTCACCCAGCGCACAGCGCGCGCGGGTCTCGTCTCCCTCCTCTCCTCGCGAGCCCGCCCCTCGAACCGCGGAAGTTCAAGTCGACGTTGTTGCGCGATACGAAATGGCGGGATACCACGAAGGCGTGAGTACTTTCACGCGTTGCATTTTCGCGGTGGGTCGCGGTCAACATGGCCCGTTCCTTTCGCACATACCGGCATGCTGGTCGTTGCCGCTCGGTTGACACTGGCAGCGTGCGCGGGGCTGGATATCATCTGTTCGCGAAGTCTGCCGCCGCATCATCCTCATCATCCAGCGGGCCCCTGCTCGCCCCTGCTCGCCCATTTGGATTGGCATCCCTGCAATGCCTCAGTGAATTCGCGATCCACGGAGTCGTTGCCAGGGGATAACAGGCGGACGGTCTGGCAAAACTGGAGCAACGGTGCAGTGAGGGCTACCAAACGCCCGCACGACACAGCTGTATACGTCGGCAAAGTACTCATCGTGGCAGCGGGCCGCGGATGGCATCTTCATCATCCATCTCCCAGCCAGACCGCCGTCGAGCCAGGGCATCCGAGACCGTGACCGTTTGAGCTCCGGCCTCCGTCGCGACGGCAGACATATCATCTCCTGCCCCGCCTCCCTTCTTCGTCCTTCCTCCGCTCTGCGACCATGCCCGCGTTCTCTTCCCCGCCCTTGTCCTTCTAGCTGCTGGCTTATTTACCTCTTCACTCTTTGCTCACCTGTCGTGCTTTCATTTCCAGCCCTCCCCCAGTCCTATGCTTGCTGCTGCCCCCAGGTCGTCCCCTCGCCTCCCCGCCTTCCTTCAGCAGACCACCGCCTCAAGATCCCCGAACCTCCCTCCCTCTCCCAACGACGCTTCAACACCCTCGGCACTCTCTCTCCCATGCACTCCTCTCGCCCCATCCGCTCCTCCCCTCTCGCCGGGCCCTCCATCGCCCCCTCATCCAACAACCCCAGCCTGCTCGGCGTGCGCAGCGCGCCTCCCACCCCCGGCTGCGGCCCGCGACACCTCTCCCCGCTCGCCGAATTCTCGATCGTCCCACTCCCAACGGACGACGACGAAGAGGAGGGCTCCGGCGCCAAGAAGCAGAAGCGCCGTCGCTCGCTCGGCGTTGTGCTCACCAAGCTGAGTTTCCCGTCGTCCTCTACCTCGCACGCCCCCGCCGCGCAAGAGCCCGCCGCCGCCGCCTCGCCGCGGCGCCGCACGAAGAGCGCGTCGGCACGCACCGCCGACGTCCCGTCCGTCCCGCCCGTCCCCGCGTGGGCGCAGCAACCAGGTCGCAGCGGCTCCCCCTCGCCGTCCGCGCGCGCTTCGTCCCCACTCCCGTCGCCCCCACGCATCCCTTCGGCCCGCGGGAGTCCCGCGTCGTCCCGCGCGTCGTCGCCCACGCCGAGCACCGCGTCCGCGTCGCGCCGGAGCGTCCACAGCACCCGGTCCGTGCGGAGCGTGCACGACCCGAGCTTGCTCGTGGCCCACAAGGGCGGCGGCGCGGAGGATAACTGGATGACGCAGGTCGCCGCACCGCGCTTCTCGCGCCTCGGGCTCAAGGCCGAGGGCGTGGTCATGCCGGTGCGCGCGGCAGACCACAAGCGGCGGTCGGCCGTGCCCCCGCAGGCCGGCGCGTCGAAGAGCATGGACGGTGTGCGTGCGCTACCGCCCTCCCTCCCGCCCTCCGTCCTGCCCTCCAGATCCCCATCCCGCACGACCGCGCCGAGTCCGCACGCGCGCGTCCCGTCGGCCCCCGCATCGATGCCGTCGCCCGCGCCTGCGCGTTGCCAGTCGTCGTCATCGTCCTCGTCTTCGTCGTACGGCCAGCCCCCGCGCCCCCCAGCACGCCGCCGGTCGCCGTCCAGCACGAGCGCGGCGTCGCTCGACCTCGACACCCCCGAGCTCTCGATGAGCCCCGGCGCGTCCGCGTCGGACGTCTCCCTCCCGGACAGCGCGCTCACGGAGGTGGGCGTGCTCGCCCACCCACCCCCAGTCCCTCCGCTGCCACCGCTGCACGTCCTCGCACGCGCGCGGACGGCATCGCAGGGGAGCGTCGCGTTCCCGGACGACTACGACCTCGGCCCCGCGCACGGACACGCGCAGAAGCCGGCCACGAAGGCGCGGGGCGTCGCGGTGGACGTGCGGAGCGTGGCGTCGATGGGTTCGATCGGATCCCTCGGGTCGGTCGGGAGCTCGGTGGGCACGACGGGGTCGCTGGGCACGGTGGGGTCGTGGGGGACGACGGGGTCGGTCGGGAGCGCGCCGAGCCCGGTGCTGCGGCGCGCGGCGCGGTCGAGCTCGGCGCTCAACCCGGCGCACGGCCGCCCGTCCGCGCACGCGGGCGCGGCGGAGGACTGGCACGTGTACGGCGACAAGGGGGAGGGCGACGCGGAGGTGGGGGGCTCGGGGCAGAAGCGGTCAAGGTCGATCGGGCGGGTGTGGAAGTCGGTGGTGCGGAGGGTGTCGATGGTGCGGCGGTCGAAGACGGCGCGGGTCTGAACGTTTGGACGCGCGCGGCCGCCCGCCCCTCGTTTCTGATAACTTATTGCGCAAGCTTTACTTCACGCCGCGCGCGGCGACATGCGCTCGTTTTGGACACTCACGCTCGTTTGCTGCGGCTACTAATTGCACGTTGTACTACATATACTTGGCGGGGGTGCTGCTTGTACGTACATATGGGAAGGAACTCGTATCTAGTCTGTCATGCATGTCGGGGCGCTGTCGATACAGCGCAGCAGTCAGATTCCTACCCAGCTCGAGAAACGAGACGACGAGCTGGATGGGAGATAGAGATTTGTATGTCGTCTACTATATACGCTATTGAATACCAGTGCGTGTTGGCCAGGCGCCAGTGGGCGGAGGGCTGGCCGGCGGCCCGGCGTGACGGCAGTGCGCGGGTTCCAGGAGACAAGACCACCGTTCCAGCTGCAGCTGGTCCTGGTGCGATCGAGGTCTTGTCTGCATCCCGTTTACCTCCACCGTCGGCCGTCGAGGTCTTGTGTCGCTCCTTTCTTTTCCTCTTCCACTTCGCACCCTTCCTCTACGCGTCCTCTCTTTGCTAGCCCGATCCTGCCAGCTGGCACTTCTGCACGCGTTTTCCGTCTGCATATGGCGTCCTTTCCTTCCGTTCTACCCGTACGCACTGAGCCCGTTCGGATCGCCGGCATAACACGTGCACTCACCAGTCACGCTCGCAGGCCACTATGTGTTTCTCCCCCAAGGGCTCAGGCAAAGCGAGCCCCAAGCGCGTCTGGAACCGACTCAGCTGGCCAAAACGCCCCTTGAGCTGGATCCCCCACCCGAAGCACGAATGGCGCTCCAACGTCGCCTCGTCGCTCTGGGTAGCCCAACCCCGTTTGCCTCCCGAAATTATGGACCTCATCATCGACTACCTTCACGACGACAGGAAGACACTCCAAAGCTGCTCCGTCCTCTGCCGCGCCCTCGTCGCCTCCGCTCGCTACCACCTCTTCGAAACCGTGGTTGTCAACCGCCGGAACTTCAAGAAAGCCAAGTCCATCCTCGTCCGAAAGGCACCCCACCTGCTTGCCTCCGTCCGCAGCCTGACGCTCGAGGGCTTGAACGACCCGCAGGAGAAGACCGTCGACCGCCTGCGCGACCTCCAAGACGGCAAGGATCTCCGACCCCTGACGCACACCTTCATCCACGACATCGCCCCTAGGGCCGTGAACGTCTCTCACCTCGGAATGAAGGACGTCCCGCTCAACGGCGCCGTCGTCGCCGCGCTCGCAGCCGCCCTCCCGCACGTCCACACGCTCACCATTTTCGACTGCTGGTTCCGCTCGAACGCCGACTTCGACCGGCTCGTGCGCTCGCATCCGCTCGTGCACACCGTCCGCGTCGGCCGCCTGTCCTCGCTGTACGGCATGACGCCGCCGGGCCAGGAGTTGCCCATCGGCCCGCCGCTGCTCTTGCCGTCGCTCAAGATCTCCGAGGCGTACTCCCCCTCGCCGTGCACGATGATGCCCTGGCTGGCGGGACACGCCGACCCGGAGCACTTCACGTACACGCTGTACCGCGTCAGTCAGATACCGACGCTCAACAACAGCATCTTCGCCATGCCGGCGCTCCAACACCTTCACCTAGTCTACTACCGGTGGCGCTACAACGGTGCGCGTCCTCCATTCTGACCGCGGACGTGACCGCTGACCGCAGCGGCAGACCTCGAAGAGGTTCAGGACGCCCCCGCGATGCTCGGGCTCGCCCCCCGCGCCCCCGCAACGATCACGACGCTCACGCTCGACGGCAAGCTCGAGTCCCTCCTGCTCGTCGTCTACACCCTCGCCCTCCTCGACGTGCACGGCTTCGCCGCGCTCCGCACCATCAACGTCCTCGTGCACGTCGTCGCCGAGGACGTCGCGAACCTCGCGCCCCACGTCTGGGCGGCCGTGGATTGCGCGCTCGTCGCGCTCCCTGCGCTCGCGGCTGTCCGCTTCGCGAACACGTGCAAGGACACCGCGCACGTCGCTGCGGGGCGCCGCGCGATCGTGCAGCGGCTGCCGGCGCTCCGTGCGCGGAAGATCTTGTCCGTCGCGAGCACCCGGCGCGAGGTTGCGGACGGATTGAGTGAGCGGCGGCTTCGCTCTCGCTTCCGTCGCTTGTGAGGCTGACGCTTGTGCAGGACCGGGCTCTGGGCCCTAGTACTGGGGCGCGCGGTGGTTTTGGGTAGGCTCGTTTTCTTGCGCACTTGCCGCGGAATCGAGGGCTGACAAACTGGTTTGCAGTGTCACTTTTTTGTTTTCGATGTAATATAGCTGGCTGTCGCCCGGAATTTACGCTGTGCGCTCAGCGCATTTAATTTGCAGCACATGAATGAAGCCTGCATCCGCGCGCTTTGCGTTTGCTCCATCGGAACACACATCCGCGCAGTTTCGCGGATGGCGGCTGACCACTGGCACTTCCGCGCGGAAGGATCGGGACCCCTGACACTGCTCCGGCCGCACTGGAGGCGGGCAGACATAGGGCAGTACAAGAAGCTGGCCGGTCGCGAGTGGAACTGCAGCCCTTCTTTCCCCACCTTCCTCACTGTTCTTCCCCTTCGTCACAAAATGGCCGTCAACGCTCAGTTCAAGGACATGACCCACCACCTTTCCCCGGAGACTATCCGTCGGAAGCCCAACCCTCTTAAGGACACCATCCGCCTCATTCTCGAAAACCCCCACCTCATCTCCCTCGCCAACGGTACGTCGCGCATTGCATTCTCGCTCGGTGACGACTTCTCACTCGCCCTTCAGGTGACCCGCACCCGAGCACGTACCCCGTCCGGAGCATGGAGTTTGAGGTGGCCGACCCCACCGGGGCCGACCCCGTCGCGACCTGGCGCGCGCTCGGCCTCTCCGCGCCCACCCTGCGCGTCTCCGCCGACCCCGCGTCGAACGCGGCGGACGCGATGCTCATCCGCTCCTCGATGCGCTACGGGCACGGCGCGGGCCTCAAAGAGCTCTGCGACGCCGTGGGCGGCATCAACGCGCGCTACCACACCGCGCCGCACCACGTCCCGACGATCTCCCTCGCGAGCGCGGACGGGATCACGAAGCTGTGGCGGATGCTCGGCGCCGTGGGTGACTACTTCCTCGCGGACGAGTACACGTTCGGGCCGATGGCGCTCGCGGCGGACGCGCATGGGGTGAAGTGGGTGCCGGTCAGGATCGACGCGGGCGGGCTGATCCCGGCGGACCTCGAGCGGTTGTTGAGGGACTGGGACGACGGTCTTGGGCGGCGGCCGCATGTGCTCTACTTGACTCCGTAAGTCGTCGCGCAGACTCCTCGCGTGTTGGTACTCATTGGCTTCCCAGCTGTGGGCAAAACCCCACTGGCTCAACGCTGAGCCTCGAGCGGAGGAAGCGCATCTACGAGATCGCGCAGGTGTACGACGTCATCATCGTGGAAGACGGTCAGCCTCCCACTTCACTACTCTTCTGCGCGCTCCTGACGCACGCCCCAGACCCCTACTACTTCCTCCAGTATGACCTCCCCAACGCCGACCCCTCCGCGCCCGAGAAGCCGTTCCCCACATCGTTCCTCTCCCTGGACGTCGACGGCCGTGTCATCCGCCTCGACAGGTACGCTCACCCCCCTCCCGTCGCGACCCGCCTGACCCCCCCTCCCCAGCTTCAGCAAAGTCATGGCCCCGGGCCTGCGCGTCGGCTGGTACACGACGAGCCCCTTCTTCCACGCGCACCTCGTCCGCCTGATCGACAACTCGACCCAACACCCCTCCGGCCTCCCGCAGGTGTTCCTCGCGCAGCTCCTCGCGCCCGCCGACGCATCCGCCGGCGGCGCGTGGGGCCTCGACGGCTTCGACCGCTGGGTGCGCAGCCTCCGCCGCGACTACCAGCGCCGGCGCGACCTCCTCCTCCGCCTCTTCGACGCGCACGTCGGCGCGTCCGGGCTCGCGAGCGCGGACCCGCCCGAGGCGGGCATGTTCGTCTGGATCCGTGTGCACATCGAGCGCCACCCGCGCTTCGCCCGCCGCGCCGCCGCCGTTGGAGAGACGGAGGGGCCCGAGCGGGAGCGGGCGGTGGCCCACCGCCCGCGCACGCCGCTCCCACAGACGAACACGGCGGCGCTCATGAACGAGTTCTTCGACGCGTGCCTCCGGGCGGGGATCGTGGTGTGCCCGGGGTGGGCGTTCGTGACGAACGCGGAGGAGGACTACGGCGAGCCGGGCGCGGTGCCGATCATCGATGTGAGTCGCGCTTGGGGGTAGGTTGCTGGCTTTGTGCGCCGAGGCTGACGACGGTTCGCGTTGCAGAGGTCGAACTTTGTCCGGACGACGTTCTCCGGCTCTGAGGAGACGATGGAAGCGGGGGTGCCCATTCTGGGCAGGGTGCTCAAGGAGTTCTTCTTGGCCTGAGTCGGGGTGGTGGGTGGTGGTGACGGGATTTGCACGGACATTTCACTGCTAGTACGGGTTATAGTGCGCGTACAGTAGTATCTATCGCTCGATCTTAAGCATATTAGACGAATTTCCCCTGCATGGCTCCGCCTCTTTGGCCGCAGCAGCTCACCTCAGCCTCTCGCGCCTCCGAACTTCAAACTCCAACAGCGCGCTGTTCTGCGAGAACCGCATTCACATTAGGCCACGCGGGCAGCGGGGATCGAAGGTTCCACAATGCCACCATGTCCTCGGCGTTGTGCGAGCCCGACGGAGACACTCCGGATACTGGCGTGTTAGTCCCGACCGTACACAGGGGTGCTAGAAGCGCCATTTCGAGAGCTTTAAAGCGTGACCGATAGTGATTACTTAGGCCATTGTTGACAGTGTCACACACTATATGAAGTTGAAGCGAACGGTGATGTGCATCCACCTCCACTGGTACGTGCACGCGTCTGTCAGACGCCCGCGCGAGCTCCGCGCCCTCGCGCACTGTACATCCTCGACCCTCGTCCCTACGGCACGCCCCACCGACCCTCGCGATCGTTCCGGCTTCATTTATAGCTACTCATCCACACGAGTTTCTTCGCCTTTTCGTCCCCTCGTATCCCCATTCCACGGCCTCCATGGTCAGCCACACGCGTTGCCCCGCTCCGCCACCTGTTTCTCTTATCTTCCGGACGCTCGCCATGACACTCATACTTGTAGACATGTTTCGGGTGCTTGTTTCGGTCGTAGTCACGCCCTCGCGCCGGCCGTCTTTGCATGTATTTAGACTCGACTCGCACTGGTTGCTATTCAGTTCATTTTCCTCGCAGTTCCGTGCGTGCGTCGTGTGCTCACTTCTCGACTTCGCCTCTACTCGATCTCATCTCGTATCATCTCGCCTTCGTCGCCTATCGCCATCGCACACGCCGCCTATCGCCCTCCGCCCGTCGCCCGTCGCCCGTCGCCCGTCGCCCGTCGCCCATCACCTTTCGTCCATCGCCTTCGTAGCGCCCGTGCGCGCCCCTCGTCCGCGTCTATCGTCTCTCTGCTTCGCTTCCTCTCCTCTCCTCCGCGTTCGCGCATTCCGTCCCTTCCTCCTCCGCGACACCCCCGGACGTTCTGTCCCCTGGTGCTCGTTCCCTCGTCCGACTTCCCGTGTCTCACGCCTACACGGACTCGACCTCAGCCCTCACCCCTTGTCGACTCTTACCGGAGTTCGCATCACATCAACGGAAGTATGAATGGCATTGAAACTACGTAATACAACGAAGGCGCATGTTGGCTTCCCCGCCGCAGGAGCGACGGGTACTAGTCCCGAGGGCCACGGAGAGGCCTGCGCTGATACCTCGGGGAGCATTTTTAAACGGAGGTCGTAAGGACCTCCGTCGCCCTTACTAATATAGGTAGACATGGCATAAAAATGACAGCGATGATGGATAGAGAGAAAACAAGAACGGGCCGAGCTGGGGCCGGCGCGTACGAGTGTCCCCGGAGCCATGAAAACATTCCGCGAGGTTCGCAGAGCGGCATTCATCGAGTCATGCGCGCCGCCTGACGATCGCCGTCCTTGAGGGCATGGTGTGGGAGAGAGAGAGGGAAGGATAGAGGTCGAGAGAAAAGAAAGGCGAATCGAAAACTGGGGGCGGCACGCACGACTTTCCCGGGGCCAGAACTTTCCGACAGGCTTCGCGGAGAGGCAACCATCGGGAGGCGCGTGCCGCCTGGCGCGGGACCATACCTTTCGCCACTGGATTGGACAGCGGGAAGTGATCGACCGCGCCCTTACTGAGCCTGTATGTACGACTGGCCTCGAAGACGGTCGCTGCGCAGTGAAAGTCAGATCGCATTCGAAACTGATAAGGAAGGCGAGCAACTCACTATGTCGGGGGATTGCCATTGAAGGCGCAGCTGCAGTGCGGAAGTCAGCGTCGACGTCGGCGGAGAGAGTGAGAGAAAGACGCACATATCACAGGCGGGTTTGAGGTGCGTCTCGCACAGCTTGTGAGAGCTGTCTGCGAGGACCATGAGGGTGGTCTGAGGTGCATACGCGCCTCATCCTCAGCCTCACGTGCGGTGCGGCGCGAAGCCGCTGCACGCTGTCTCTCGCCTGCCCATGTGGCGGTGAGGATCGCGAAGCGCGAGCGACGCCAGAGCCTCGGTGCCGGGCGAGGTGAGTGACATGAACCGAGTTCTAACGGGTTCAAAGTCAGCGAGAGTGGCGCACGACGATGGCGAAGACAACTCACCTTCGAGGTGCCGTATGCGCTTTGTAAGCTCGACACTGCGGCTCGGAGGGTCGGAACCAGATGCCTCACCCGGAGGTGAGCACGTCGTTGCCGTCGCCGTTGAGGCTGGCGAGAGGTGAGGATGTAGTGTGACGCGTGAGCAGGGGTACGTCGCGGGGGTAGAACATCGTCGAGGTGGTGGGGATTCTGAGGAGAGAGAGCGCGGGGGAGGGGGACTTTTATCCTCGCCCCGCGGACCCCACCCCGAATCCCGAGTGGCGACCGCATCATGCGAGATCTGCGCAGAGAACAAGGCCGTGCACTCGGCTCACCCAACGACCCGTCGAGGCCCGCGATACTGGGGTCCCGAGGATCACCTGGCCAATCGCCTCCTGCACTTCTGCGCGCCCAAGCAAGACCAGGTGCTTCTCGGGTGGGAAGGGGTTCTCGGATCTCAAAGTAGTCCCTGAAATTGATTTTAATCACCAGAAGCTCTCAGCCGAGTCCCGACAGAACGACAGACCTACCGAGCGCGAGAAGAGGCGGAGAAATCATCACGGCGACCAGGGGGCAGGAGGGCACCACAGGCCGTCGTGTGTCGCGGATTGCTTGCAGAGCCCGAGTTGACGGCACCTAGGAATGATTTGGGGTGCTCGAGTCAGGCCCCGGCTGGACGGCGGAGTTCAGAGGTGTTGCCAAACAAGGGTTTGGTGTGGGCGTCCTTGGTTGTGAGCGGTAGACAAATCCGACGTCGTCATTCTCGAGCACTCGAACGCCGGCCCGTGCATGTATCGTCCTGAAGCACGCCCGGCGACACATGCAACGTGTAGAGGAGGTTGTTTTTGCTTCCATCGTCTGCCAGCAAACAAGACCTCCGCACTGCGCAGGGAAGTACTAGTAGTCTGACGGCCTGTGGTGCAAATGGGCCGTCTGAGAGTGAGATACTGTCGTATCTTAGAAAAGCGGTTAGTAGAAAAAAGCCGAAGACTAGGCACACCTGCTGATTGAACTTTTGAGGGACGTGGTTGAGAAGAAGACAGCCAGCGTTCCCCCTACTAAGCGCCTGATAGCTGTAAGCGCCAGCGCTAGTACCGTCCACGGGTGAGCGTTCGATTCCATCCCTTTTTGCTTTTTGGCGAATCAGTCATCCCTGTGTTCGAAGATGTCTACTAGAACAAAACCCAGAGTTACAGTTAAACTTCGGGAAACAATCCTCTGAGTCTTAGACATCACTGAGATTCCGCGTCATCAACCGCGAGAGCTGCACAGGCTCCCCGACCAGACCCAATCATCGTCTCTATCTCTCCCCGCGCTTGCTCCCCCCCGCCACTGCCGCGCCCTGCTCGGCGAGAATCACGTCCACATCCGACTGCGCCCTCGGCGGGAACCACACGTTCCGCGACGCCATCATCTCCTCGTACCGCCGTCCCGCGAGCTCGAGGTGGAACACCCTAGTGATCACCGGGGCGAGCGTCGAGCGCGTGAACGCGAGGCGGACGATGCGCGCCCCATCCTCGTCCACGAACTCGCGCGCCCACCCGGGCCAGTCCCGCACGTGGTCCGTCGCGCAGTCGTGCTCGCCCAGCGGCGAGTCCACGTGCCACACGGACGGCGTCCGCAAGAACGTCGTCGCCCAGTGCACGGGCTCGGCGTCCGCTGCGCCGTCGGACGGCCCGTCACGGTCAGGGGAGGGGGCGGAGCAGGTGCCGAAGTGGAAGAGGATACACTCCCTCTGGGCGACGTCCTCGAAGTACATCGACGCGAGGAGCGGTGTGCCGGGGCCGTCCTTCGGGGAGCTCTTGATGAGCGGGGTGGCGTTGGTGCCGAGCCCGAGGACGAGCAGGCGGTCGATCAGCCAGTGCGGAAACCGGAAGGGCGGCGCGGGAAGAATGTTGTGCAGCGGGTAGCAGAGCGCGACGCGGTCCACCTTGCGGTACTCGGGGAACGAATCGGCGATGTAGATGTCGCGCCATTCAGGTTTGACGGGCTCCCCGAGGAATGAGAGGTTGTACCAGCTTTTTCCCAACCGGACCCGGCGCACGAAGCTGACCCCGCCGTCTGGCATATCGAAGCCCCAGCCAACGCTGTAGCAGACAGAGGAGGGGTCTGTGAGGTTGTCGTTAGTCGGATGCAATAAGAGTCCGAAGTGCTCCTGGTTATCGTCCGCCATGAGTATTGCGACGGTGATTCCTTGGACTTCGAAGACAGGGAAGCGGCATTTCATTCCGTAGTTTGTTTTGTGGAACTTCGGCAGCTCGAGGCGCCCGAAGGGGCCGAGCGTCCGTTTCTCGCTGTCGGCGGGCTCATTCTGTGAGTTGTGTCAATACAGAAGCAATAAAGAGTGCCAACGAAGCACGTACATTTTCTGGTTTCCACTGCCACGGAAGATAGGGCTGGATGCAGTACAACGTATTCGGGGAGTAGCGTATATTCCGTGAGTCACTGAAAGCAGACACGGACTGAGCGAGCAAGAAGAAGTGATCAAGTGAGGGTGCGTAGAACACGTTGTAAGTTCTCTGCCTTGTCATAGGTTTTGCTCCGTAGGTGTACGAAAACCATCGTCCCCATGCGAAGAGGCTAGTGTCGAAGGACTGGCGAATGATCTCTTGCTGAAGCCGCTGGAACGCGTGCTTGCCCTCGCCGTAAATGGTCGGCATGTTGACATGGAAGAGACCCATGAGACAGTACGCCTCGTCCTCGATGCGTGTCGTCCGACGGTTGGCGGCCCACGCCATGCGGGTGGCGACAGATTCAGTGGAGTACGACGACTCGTTCTTGAGTGCTTCCTCCCGTACGCCCGTGATATCAGCCAGGAGGCCGGCAAGCTCGATTTTGTTGCCGATGACCTGCCAGTCTTGTGAGACGAAGAGAAGAAAGAGGGGGGCGATGAGCTCCTGCAGCGTCCATCCACGCGTGTGCCAACGGGCCTTCCTGAACGCCGAGCCGGGAGCGTGGAGCGCGTCGTCGGTGGGGACGTCGGCAAGGTAGGCGAAGCAGACTTCGGATGCGGCGTACCAACGGAACATGGAGTTGATCGCTTCTGAGAGCTCTGTGCTGCTGGTCTTGTCGATGCAGCATGCGTCGATCCAGACCCATTTGAAGCCGTGCCTTTCGGCGAGGAGACAGGTGTGTCGGATCTTGGGGGAGACGAGGTTGCGTGGGATCTGATTTGTGACTTTGCAGTGCTCCTCTAGCTTGCGGATCTGCTGGTACGTTTGCTCCCCTTGGTCTTCCCATGTATGCGAAAGGATGGCGTAGCCGCCGATTACAGCACCTGGTGCGGAGAAGAAGTGGAGCTCTGCGCGGTCGGTGCTGAGCAGCCACATCTTTGGAGGGTCCGTAAGTCGGTAAACCAAAGGTATGGGCACTTTCAACGCACTTCAGGTTGTGGAAGGTTGAGACAAAGACAGAGAGATGGTGAGCCACGTTGAATGGGGCGCTCGCTAAACGCGGGCAATTCTGACCGCGCGCGACCCGGGAAGCGCCGGTGTGACTTGATCGTGAGCGCGCCGGCAGCTGGTGATCGGTATCCAGATATCCAGCCCTTGCTCGTTTTCCGTGGATAATGTTTTGCCCCATGAACGATATTGGCCATCCTGAATCCTGAATCCATTCCTTGCTTGAAGCTTGAGGCCTCGGAGGTCCATTAACATTAAGCATAGGGACACACGGGGCCCTGCTCTGTAATTTAGGCATCCCCAAGGCAGGTCGGGTCGAGAGCATCAACGGGGGCGCACTGTTGTCCCTTCCCCTTGTCGACGACCAAAAATATCGCATTTAAACTCGTCCGATAAACCAATGTATCCTCCACAGCTTCTCCAACCATAAATTCCATGCACCTTCGCGCGTAGAAATGGCTTCGACATCTGACCAGTGGGGGCAGTGCAGGGGATTGCACGTCTCGTGGTATCAGACTTGCGCTGAAAAAGCTTGACGCGGAACTGGAGCGCGGTCACCGGTGTGAGCGGCGAGCAGAGGAGGAGGAGGAGGAGGAGGCGGAGGCGGGTGAAATACGAGGCGCGCGATGCCCGTGTTGCAGACTCGGTCTGCGCGAGTCCTGGACGTGAGACGTCGTGCAGTCCCGCGATTTCGGCGTGGTGGTCCTTGATTAATCCGATCCAAAAAAAAGAGAGGCGGCCTTTAACGCATCTTGGCCAACAGAACAAAACAAACATATATGTATGAATGCGAGTCAAAAGATGACCACCGCAGGACTCGAACCTGCAGCCTTTCGGTGTCACGTGACATAGTAGCCGTTGGCGATCGAAGCCGAACGCGCTACCATTGCGCCAGGTAGCCATGCTAAGGTAAAAGCATAGTAGCAATATATACCTTTGTTTTACAAGGGCCGTCTACCAACTCCTACCAACTCCCTCCACTACTTTCACTGACACCCCTCCTTCAATCCCCTCGTTGTGCTGGCTGCCGGACACAATCATCTCTGTCCGTGAATTTACCCATGATGTGCGAGCCGCGTCTTCCACCAGCGTTTCAGATGTGACATTTCGAGAGAATGAAGAAGGGCGATAGAAGTCCGGGATCAATTGCGCGAGGACCAGTCCTGGCATTCGTCCTGCTCTCCTCCACTTCTTGAGCTCCCATCTCGCGCCCGATGCGCTCCGGGTCTGGAAGCGCGCCCTCTCCCCTCCTGCGCCCCGTTCGCACCGTCGCCCTCGCCTTCCTCCCAGTCTACGACGACCTTCCACTCTAAGACGACCTTCCACTCTAAGACGACCTTCCAGCCTCCCACCCACCCGCCATGCCCCCCTTCGCCTCTCGCCTCGCCACCGCCCGCGGATGGGTCGACCCCCACGCCCTCCCGCAGTACATGGACGGCGCGGCCGTCGCGGGGAACGCGCCCCCGGACGCGAAGCAGCTCACCCTCAACACCCTCGGCGCATACGGCGTCGGCACCCCGGACTCGTTCGCGCACGCCGCCGGGCGCGAGATCCGCGTGACCCGCATCGACGTCGAGCCCAGAGGCGACAAGCTCGAGGCCGTCGTCGTCGCCGAGGTCCAGGCGAACGCAGGTGCGCGCGGGAGGGTCTGGCGGCTGGCTGGATCGCGGGGCTGACTGTGGCTGGAGGGATGCTCAACGGCGCGGGGCTGGTGCACGGCGGGTGTCTGTGCTATCTCGTCGACCTGTGAGTGCGTGTTACCGGGCTTCCTCTGCGTGTTTTCTCATGCTCGCTCCCCCGTGCGCCGGGCTCAGCTGTGGCGCGATGCCGCTCGTCGCGCTGGGCGTGGTCCAGAACACGAACGCGGTCGGCGTCACTCAGGCGATGAACATCTTCTTCCACTCTCCCGCGTCCTTGTGAGTGCCGTGCTTGCCGCGCTTCACGGGCGCTGAGAAACGGGCACAGGGAGACGTGCATGCAAATCACGAGCACCTCCATCGTCCTCGGCAGACGCATCATGGCGGCGAGATGCGAGGTACGTACGCGCGCCCGGGTCGCGCGACGCTGGGGGCTGATCCGGTACCCGTCTCCAGATTGCGGACAAGGATTCGGGGCGCATGATCGCTACCTCTCTGCTCGGGAAGATGCAGCCCAAGCTGTAGCGGTGTGATGCGGATATATTCGATTTGTAGCTCGTTCAATACAATACGTCGTGAAAAAACCCGCTCGCGAGAAGCGTCGACAGCTGAAGGATATTACATAGCGGGGCGCGAATAGGGTACCAGGAAGACGGGATCGGATACAGCGGAGGCGATTCAGAGCACAAAACACGCATTCGGGTCAGGGAGGCGGGAGGTATCCAGACGCGAGGGATGACGGAGGGGGCATAGCTATTGGTACAACGTGGTATATCTCGACGCGAGCGTCGACAAGAAGACTCTAGAGGAAACTTACGGGCCGGAGGAAGAGGACGCTTGGCTTTCGGGGACCATCGTGTACTGTCTGTACAGCTCATTGACGATCGTCCCAGCGGCTTTGAGGAGGTTCGCGGCGAAGCCGTCTTCATTCTGCAGCAGTTCGATCCAAGTGTCGCTTTCGACCTAGGACATTGTCGTGTTAGCACGGGGACAGCGGGGCGAAGCACTGGGGGCACGTACGATCCTCCCCTGGTCGAACACGAGCTGCAGAAAGGCCGATCAGCAGCGGACGACGCCCGACACTTTGTCCACTCACGACTTTATCGCAGTCTTTGATCGTGGAGAGCCGGTGCGCGATGACGATGACGGTCGTGTTTGTCCGCTTCATGTGCCTGTAGAACGCCTTCTGGATCCGGTCGTCCGTTTGGACGTCTGTGCGAGTCGTTAGCACCACTGCTCTCAGTGCGGTCGCAAAAGTGGCTCGCGGCCCGCGCACCGATCGAGGACGTGGCTTCGTCGAAGAGGACTACCTTGCTCCCGCGGACGATCGCCCGCGCGATGGTGACGATCTGGCGCTCGCCGCTGGAGAGCTTCGCGCCGCGCGCGGCGACATCGCGGTCGAGCTCGAGCCAGGGCCGCTTGTCGTCGGTTTCGGGGTCGTCCATCCCTTGCGCGGCCAGGAGCGCTGACGCGCATTGCTCGTCCGTGAACTCGTTGAAGGGGTCCATGTTGCTGCGGATGGTGCCTTCGAAGAGGTCGGACTGACCGGCGTTCAGTGAGGGTTCGTCGGCGGCGCGGCGGCGAGGGAGGGCTTACCGTTTGAGGCACTATCGTGATCTTCTTCCGGAGCGTCGCTAGATCAATGTCTGCGATGGACCGCCCGCCTATCTTGACGTCCCCATGGGATTGGACGAAGCGCAACAAGGCGAGGAGGAGGGTGCTCTGCGAATGCCAACGCTCAGCCGTGGGGCGAGAAAAGGAACGGTTGGGATCACCTTGCCGCTGCCGGTTCGGCCGACTGGTGCGAACGGGTGAGCAAACGTGACGGGCGCACAGAGCGTCGTTCGTACCTATTCCGACACGCGTCCCAGGAGCGACGTTGAAGTTGATATCGTGGATCACTGTGTTGTTGCCGTATCCAGCATACAAGTTCGTGACATCGATAGAGCCCTCTTCGGGCCATGCGCTGTCTACTTGCGTCGCACCGACCGTATCTTCCTCTTGAGGGATGACCAAGTACTCCTGGATCCGCTCGAGACTGTCGCGCCGGTCAGGAAATGGTCTCTTAAGAAGGGGGAGCGGGCTCACGCGACGCCAGAGAGCTCAAAGTTGTTGAAGTTCCGGACCCATTCGAACAGCTGAGTAGTGAACGCAACTGAAGCGCACCGTAAGTGAAGCCCCGAGTTCAAAGGAGATGCGGCAACTCACTGGCCATGTTCAGAGAGAAACCGATGTTGGACGCGCTTGCGGACGAGAAGTACAGCAGGTAAGCCGCGAGGGAGACCGTGAAAACGGCGCCTGTGAGATTGGCGCGGAGGGTGACCCAGCTGTGGGTTTTTGGTAAGTCACTGTCGTACGCCGCGCTGGAGATGAAGGACGTACCGGTTGAGATCGAAGAAGGTGTTCCCTACCCGCGTCACGTTGTCGATGTCGGTGTGCATGCGGTTCCGGAAGAGAATTTCGGCTTTGTAGGCGCGTACAGACACTGCGAGACGGCTGTCGTCAGAATCGAGCTCACAGTGGCGTTAAGGAGGGACGCACCGAGTCCCTGGAAAGTGGTGTTGATGTTTCCGAGGAGCGGGGCGCGCAGACGGGATTGCAGGCGGTTGATGGGCAGCTGTGCCTTCATGTACAGTCGGGTGATGATGCCGCCGATGACGCCGGTGACCGCTACTCCGATGCTGAACAGGGGCGCAACGACGGCGACCAGCGCTAGGCGCAACAGCAGCGCAGTCGAGGATTGAAGCAACGTGAAGAGGGACCCAGCGACTTGTGCATCGACTACACACGTTAGTCAAGTAAGTAGTGAGAACTTTTAGGCTCAGTGTGAGCAGCGTACCGAACCCAATGTCGCCAGTGCATCGTTGCAGGATGTGCTCCGTCGGTGTGTCGTCGAGCCATCTACCAAAACACGCATCAGAACGCGTTCGGAAGCTGCTGAAACTCCGAGCACGTACTGAAGCGTTGTCCCCAACAGCCTGGACACTAGCTTCTGGTGGATGATGCCGGATGCCCTTAGCGCACCGTGGAGGTAGACCCGGTTGGAGAACACCGCGAGAACTAGTGACGTGATCATGAGAGCGACATATGAGAGCATGATGCTGTAAGGGGTGCGAGGTGAGATGAGCCCTCTGTGAAGGGTTGGAGAGCTTACAACAACATTGTCGAGTCGGATCCCAAGGCTTTGACGACATATTGATCCGCCCAGTATCCGAGGAGCCATACTTGCGCGTTGAGGGCGAGGCTCGCGGCGAAGAACGACACCACCAGGCCGATCCAGAATAGACCAGGAGCAGCGCTCATGTTGCCGAATAATAGAGTGACTATATAAGATCCGTGAGCTCGAGCGACGCCCACCAGGAGTGCAACTTACTGGCTTTCCAACCCACGTGGCCCCTTTGCTTCTGCTCTTGCTTCCGCGCAGTTGGGCTCTCGAGGTGCACCTCCTCGTCAGCAATGTTTTGGTGAACGGTGGCCGTCTCAGCGTCTGCAACGTCAAAATCGAAGGAGCACTCGTTGACGACACCCGTGTCAGAGAACGTTACGTATGCTTGAGCGTATCTGTGGACGACGTCGGTTTGGTGGGTCTACGCGCAATCAGCTAGAGCGTGAAGACCAGATGTTTTGACACTCACAACGAAGATGACAGTACGCCCCTTCAAGACGCCGTTGACACCGAAACAACGCTCAAGGATATGGGCGATGGTCTCGGCGTCCACCTGCGAGAGAACCTGGGTGTGGAGTCAGTACCACCGAGATGATGTTGGGCGGATAACACATACGTCATCCAGAAGCACGATGTCTGCATCAGAGTAGATAGCTCTTGCGAGCGACAGCCGTGCCTGGAGCGAAGGGATGAGTTTCACATACTCGTGGAGAAGCTGGCTTCGCATTTACCTTCTGTCCGCCGCTACACACCAATGATCGAACTAGAGTGTGAGGATGGGGTGGAAGCATGATGGTACACCTCTACGCACCTCAGTGTGACGCCACGTTCGCCGACGCGGGTCTCTGCGCCGTCTTTCCAGTCTTTCATGTCCACCTCGAAGTCGACAGCATTCATGACTTGGCGGAACCACCCTTCGTTGTATTGAGTGCCGAAGACGACGTTGTTCTTTACCGTGTCCGAGAGGATCCATGGGCGCTGGGCGCTGTACGCGACCTTGGCACGCGGCAAGTTGACGTAGGAGCTGTTGCTGCCAGGGATGTAGTGCATTTCGCCGAGCAGCGCGAGGAGAAGGGACGTCTTTCCGCACCCCGTGGCGCCGCTAACCATGTTCAGCACGCGTGGCTGGAACGTGACGGTCTTGGGGACCTCGAGGATAAAGTGCTTGTGCTTGTCCGCAGGCGCGACGCTACCTTCGGTCGAACCTTGAGGCTCGTCGGCGAAGGGAGCGTCGTTTACCGTCCAGCTGAACTTGGCTTCCTTGATCTCGATCGCCTCGGGGTCTTCAGGCCGACCCGGGCATCCGGGGGTCACGTGCTGATCCAGGAGTTCCGTCTGGAAGGTGTCAGAGGGGTGGCGAGTAGCTTGAGGGAAATCACTGACCTCGGTCAAGAATCGGTTGATCCTATCGAGTGAGATTTGGCCTGTGATACAAGTCAAATCGATGAGTGAAGCTCGAAGATGAAGGCTATGGACGCACCACTCGACAGGATCGGGAATCGGAAGAAGATTTGTCCAAGTTGAGCTCTCAGGGTCTCGAACACTGGATTGAATGAAGTGAGGACGGTGGCGAACGAGATAAGATTCTCGCTGCTTACGCGAAATGGAGGAGAAGACGATTGATGCTAGGAAATATGGTCAGAAGACGGTCGCGATGGTCTACAAACGCGTGACGCACCAGTGAGATCTCGCTGCATGAGGAACGTCTATGCACAAAGTCAGTATATGCTATATGAATGCCGTACAGTACGCTCACGAAGGTCGTGTAGCTAGCAAGCATGACGAGCAAGGGGAGGAACACGCTGTAAAGTGCGATTAGTTCATCCCGTCTCGACGCCGGACCAAAGAGGACATACGTGACTGCACGGACCCAGATCTTCATGTACTCGCTAGCTGCTGTAGACTCGAGTTCGTCGTCTCGAGCTTTCTGCAGTTTTTCTCCCTGCTGCTTTTGCCATCCGAGGAGCTTCACGGTGCGGATGGCTTCCACGGCTGCGCGATGGAAGATGCTCAGAACGGGCCGGTATGCCTCCTAAATACAACTTACTTTGTTGCGTCAAACTCACACGGACATCCATCTATGACGGCTTGTCAGATGGCGACTTGCATGTCAGACAAAGCGATCATACCTTGGTTGCCTCTCCCTTCCGGTACTTGGCCGCGAGCTCGGTGAGCATTGTCGGAACAGGGAAGAGGAAGATCATCACGCCCACGCCGACAAACGCACTACAGCATATAGTCTCAGTCATCCGAAGAAGCACGCGGACTGTTTACGCACCTCCATCCGAGAATGACATACAAGAAGTACGTGGAGAGGACGAGCTGGATTGGCGTTTCAATGAGGATGAGGAGCACGAAGGTAGACGCGTTCGTGACCGCCATCAGATCTGTGGTGACGAGGTTCGAAATGTTGGGTATAGGCGCTTGCTTGATTGCACCGTCAGGTATGCGCGACGTGTAGTGGGCCGCTCGCAGTTTCAGCGAGTGCTCGAAGACGCGATTGGTGATGATCGCTTGCGTCCGTGCAACGACTTGGGTCTGATCGGACCAAACGTTAGAAGTGCCTAAGCGATGTCGGATGAAATGCAGCACCCACCGAGACATATTGATAGAATTGATAGAACATCGGGTTCGCCAAGCATCCAACGAAGAGGATGATGAGCCACACCCATGGTCGGACGTTGTCGTCGGAGACGCCGTCCTCAACGAAGCTGCGTCGATGAGGACCATATGTTCAGCGGTATCGAAACACCTCGAAGGGTTTGCGCTTACGAAAGTATATGCTTGAGCGCAAGAGGTTGTAGGAATGTGGAAGCGCTCTGTAAGAAGGCGATGAGCAGACTGAACTGCCCCACGCCCGAATACTGGTAACTTACCGCAAGCACCACCGCACCCGCTTCGATAGTCAGGTCCTTCCCTGTGAGACTAGTATCAGTTTAAGGTTCGGCCCGAGTTGGATAGTTGCGTACTGAATAGCCATGAGAGCTCCCGCACAAGCCTGTCTTGACGGGCAGAGAAGAGAGTGGAGATTCCTTTCGTGACGGCATCTTGTTTCTTACCGGACATCCATGCGTACACCCAATGGATGGGATTCAATGACCATCTGGGCCTTGACTGGTCTGCAGGAGCGGTCGGGCCAGACGCGGGGATCGGACTTGCGGTCCGGCTTGGGGGTCTTCCACCTGACTGTCCCGGAGCATTCGAACCCTGGGAGAACGCGGCGTTAGTAGACGCGTGCGAAGAACGTAGCGATAAGCGCACCTCGCGCGCGCTGTTGATCAAGTACCCTATGTGATTGTAATCGGCCAGCTGCGGCATCTCATTGACTTCAAACGTTTCCAGGCCCTGAGCCTTGAGGATGAGCGGGTCCAGCCATGCATACGTGAGGAGCGAGAGGATGGAAGGGGTGAATTCGACGTGGTTGGACTCTTCATGGTTTCCCTCATGCGCCACTCGGCGGTGGCGCGGTGAGATGAGTGGCAGAATGATGGCAGAGAATGTGAGCACGCCGATCTTCGCCCATAGAATGTCGCCTTCGGCGGCGACGTCCATGGGGACACCGTTGTAGGTGGCCAGAGGAAGGAGATTCCGGTATGCGTAAGTGGACCACAAGCCAAGGAGGACTGTCGTGCGGGCCCATGACCACAGTGGGCGACTCGAATCCCTTCGTCGAGGAAAGAATGTAAGAATGAAGACGCATGCCTAAAGAAGAGTGGTCAGCTCGGCAGGAAATCCGCTGGAACGTGGGCTAACCGTGACGACAACTTGGGTAAAGTATACTGCCCATTCAAAGCTTATACCGGACGGAAATCGGGGGATGGCAGGAGTGGCAGGGATGACGAGAGCGAAGAGCACGATGAGGCATAGGGCCGAAGCAGCAGATATGAGGTCGAAGATACTGTCTTCCGGCATGTCGAAGGGCCTGTAACAGGCCTGGATTGTAGAAGCCGAGCTTCTAGGAGATTTCTCCAGACGAGAGTCTGTGCGAGAGGTTTGTTGTAGAGATCGAGGCGGCTCTGAGTCAGACATGTGGAGCGGGGGGTGAGTTACGATTTGCTGTGAAGGAAGGAATCCAGCGAAACGTACGTTGAGGGCTTTATATATGTGCCGTTCACAAGTGGCGGGCGTGTGCACGGCTTGGTCGCGCCACAGACCAAGAAGGAGGCACAAGAGGGATGAGTACAAAAGGATCAGACGAGCCACGTGTTTGACGCGGTTTGGGCGTGCGAAGATGACGCAACAAGGATCTTGTCCGATCTTGCTTGTGGCTGGCAGACCAAGGTCGCTGGCGGAGGGATACGAGTGTCGGGGAAGGGAAAGAGGAGGATGCCTGGATGAGACAGCTGGCAGCCTGCAGGTGTCCTCGGACCGCGTGGGAGGCACAAGCGCGGGCGCGCGTGAGCGAACGTGGAGAAGGAAATGAGACTGGGAGAGCACAGCGGCAGCCGCGAGAGTCCTCGAGGTGCTGGTCCGTGCGCGATTGAGGGCACGATGGCTGCAGTGCAGAGGCGTGGGCCAACATGCACAGCCTGCTCCGACCCATATACGGACACCGGCGTCTCTGATGACAAGCTGTTCACCACAGGCGCGGCGCACCAGGGTACCCAGCGTCCTCTAAATAGGCACCGATACAATTACTTCCTCGTTGGATTGGCGCATGAGAAGACCAGCCTGTATCGTGTTACAACGGGGACCCCTCGTACGTGAGCCGCGCAAACCATGAATATATTCCAAGTCTCTTGGCACGCGCCACGCGCTCCCCGAAGCTATTCACCGCCCGTCAGGGGTCAAATGGTTAATGCCAGCGTCACCAAATGGTCCGTCTTCGACATGCAACCTTGCGCAGCGTGCGGGTACGACTACTGCTAGTAGTTGATGCCATGCACGTGGACAGAACAGTCTCAGGAATATGGCCCAGCAAAGCCGAATATCCGCCTATGTAGCGTTACTTATCGTCTGAACGATCTGAGATGGTCCGCGATTGGCAAGTAGCACGGACATATGTTTTCAAGGCCAGATCCTCCGAGTCCAGTCGGAATAGGAATTGGACCGCAGACAATGGGTGGCCCGCCGGCCACGGACTCTGGCCACTGTATGCGCCCTTCTCACAGATTCTCTTCGCTTTCTGTGGGATTCTGTGTGACGAGGTGCCCTAGCTGAGAGAACAGCTGCCGGGTCACCAGCCCTCACATATATGCACGTCCTAGGGCCAACGCAATCCAGTTCCCCCTTTCCCCCTTCCCCCTCGGCTCAGGCTCTCATTCTCCGTCCATCCGCCCGCCGCGGCCGTTCGCCCTCGCCCTCCGCCCATCGCCCGGCGTCCGCCCGTCTCTCGATCGTCTCTCTTCTATACACACACTCCCGCTTGTCACCCCATCCATCGACGACTCCACGCGGCTTGGGACGACCCACTCCAACACCGCACATTGAATCATGCTCACTGAACTTGCAAAGACCTGTTTCGAGTCAGTATTGGATTTGTCTAAGTTCACAATCATTTTGGCACACGGCAGGACTGTATGCTAACTCCCGATTGTGTATCAAGGATGGAGCTTGAATCCTCCTCTTAATGGCACACTGTTGTGCATAACGCCCATTTGAACGAAGCAGAGCTCGGATGGATCAGAACAAGGTCGGCACCTTGCAGAATAATCGGGTCTCACATGACGCAATGAAGATACTCTGCTGACTCCGACTCCGGCTCTAGCGCACGCTCAGCCTTTCTACGGCGTCCGTATGCACATGTCACGCAATCGCGAGACTGCCCTGTGCCTTTCCAGTGCTCGATATGAACAGGTATTTTTGCGGTTATCTCCAATGGCATCTGCATCTACCCATGTTCCTCCACTCTCCGGTCTTATCGTGCCGTGCTAACCGGGTTCCTCTCTACGCACCGACGGCTTTTCCGCTATCAGCCAGCGCAACTCAGTCGGCCAAGGGTGATAAGCAAGCATCAGCAAAACATTTGGCCATCAGCCCATTCCACAGATAAATGTCGCGGTGAAGGGGATGTTCGAAGACACGGCTCACACTCCTCTCCGTTGCTGCCGGTCGTCGCAATGCGTCTCAGCGTGCTGTCTTTGGTCGTTCTCGTCGTGGAGCTCGCCGCCGTCGGCGCCAAGGTCCAACGCGTCGCACATCCCCGATCGAAGCAGGCCACGCGCGTCCGCAACAAGCGGCCCGGCTCCAGCCACGATCCGTCCGGCTTCACCGGTACCGGTTGGGCCGCTCGCGCCCCGTCCACGGACGCGCCCAAGGCCAACGTCTGGGACTTGCTCTCCAACGACGAGGCCGCCGATGTCATCGCCTTCCTCCACAAGCAGGACGCCCTCAACCTCACCGCCGCGGAGAATGGAACCAGGTTCGTCCCGCGTCGCGCTCATGGGAGACGTGTCTGACTCGTCCTCAGCTGGGACAACACCATCCAGGTCGTCGACACGCTTCTTCCCAACAAGACGGCCGTTCTGCCGTACCTCAGCGGGAACGGAAGCAAGCCCGATCGGTACGCAAAGGCCATTATCTGGTTTGGCGCGTCGGAGGAGCCGTGGCTACAGGAGTTCCAGGTGAGCAACGCGTCTTCCCTCTCGCGCGACGTTCTCAGACCCCGGCTCGAAGGTCGGCCCTCTTCCCATCTCGAACACGTCCACCTACACCTCCCTCGACTGGGCAACCACCAAGGGAAAGGCCGTCCAGCGCAACTACAACGCGGACGAGGACCTTCAGTATGAGTTCTTCGTGAGTTCTTTGGTCCTTCGTCGCGTATCCCATCTCGTTCAACCTTCGCGTGCACGTAGACCAACGTCTCCGCCACCGTGCAAGACATTCTCACCGACCTGATCAACGGCACTGCGAGCGGCACGGACGACGACAACCTCGACATCTGGGGCGTTGACCCCGCCTGGCACCCCGACGAGTACACGACCCTCATGTGGGTCACCTACTGGCGCATTCCAGAATCCATCTTCGACGGCGAGACGCTCCTCCCCCAGGGCATCTTCTTGGAGACGAACGTTTCCGGTCGCGATCCTTCCCTGTGGTCCGCTCTTGGCTGGTTCTACGCGAATACATACTACAACTCCACGGAGTCCTTCCGCGCCGCGTGGGAGGCTGGTGAGCTCCCAAAGCTCGAGAGCAACCTCGAGGGCGACTGGATCGGCAGCGACTACATGGGCCCCAAGACCGAAGGCGGCGAGAACAGCACGATGTGGGGGAGCGAACGCGCTCCGCCGCTGCAAGTACCTGTCGGGGGCGCCGAGGGCCTGCGGTACAAAGTCGACATCGACGAGAAGTATGTCGAGTGGAGTAAGTGTTCATCGCTCGTGTTCCGGCGTCCATCTTGCTGACTCTGGCGCCGCAGTGGACTTCTCGTTCTATCTGGGCTACTCGCGCGACACTGGCCTTCGTCTCTTTGACATCAAGTACCGTGGCGAGCGTATCGTCTACGAGCTTGGGCTTGAGGAGGCTATCGCGCACTACGCGGGAGCAGACCCTGTTCAGAGTGGCGTCGCTTACCTCGACACTGTACGTGCTCACACGAGGATGGAGTTGAGATTTCTGACATGTACCGACAGTACTACGGTTTTGGCCCCTACGCGTTCGAGCTCCTTGCAGGCTACGACTGCCCGACCCACGCCACTTTCCTCAACACTAGCTTCCACGCCAGCGAGATCAGCAGGACGCACCCTAACTCGTACGTCTTGGTCGACAGACTATTCGTATATTCGTTGAACTTTCGTCTCCCAGGATCTGCCTTTTCGAGTACGACACTGGATACCTCATCCAGCGCCATTCGAACGAGGCGTACGTGTCCGGCACGAAGAACATCGCGTTCGTGGTCCGCTCAGTCAGCACGGTTGGCAACTACGACTACAACGTAAGTGCTCTCGATGTCTAGCCCCTGTCGCGTACCTGATGGCACATTGCAGTTCGACTACACGTTCTATCTCGACGGCAGCATCGAAGTGACCGTTCGTGCCAGTGGCTATATTCAGAGCACGTACTACTACGGCAATGAGGACTACGGTTCGTGGATGCCACGTAGCCACTCTGGATGTTGCTCAATTTTTCCTAGGTTACAAGATCCGCTCCGGCCTCTCTGGCTCGATGCACGACCATTGTCTCCTCTTCAAGGCCGACATCGATATTCTCGGGACCGCGAACTCGATCGCCAACCACACCGTCGTCCCCGTCAAGGAGGCCTACCCTTGGTCCCACGGGGTCGAGCGCAGCACGATGAAGCTCGAGCGCTCCTACCTCCAGACCGAGGACGAGGGCAAGATCCAGTGGACGGCAAACGCGCAGACGATGCTCATGGTCGTCAACCAAGACGAGGAGAACCCGTTCGGGGAGCCGCGCGGGTACCGGATCATGCCCGGGCGTGGGAGCGGGATGCACCTGACGATCACCGAGTCTTCGGACCTGCTGGCGTCGCAGAGCTTCGCGACGCACCAGCTGTACGCGACGGTGCGGAAGGACACGGAGCCGCGCGCGGCGCACTCGCTGAACGGGTACGACGTCGCGAACCCGGTCGTCAACTTCGGGGAGTTCTTGGACGGGGAGAGCCTCGTGCAGGAGGACGTCGTGCTGTGGTTCAACCTCGGCATGCACCACGTCCCGCACACGGGAGACTTGCCGAACACGGTGTTCACCACGGCGCAGGGGTCGATGATGATCCTGCCTCACAACTACCTCCTCCACGACCCGTCGCGGGACTCGCGCCAGACGGTGCGCGTGGACTACAACAACTCGGGCGTCCAGTTGGTGAACACGTTCGGCTCGGAGATGTCGAAGGGCGGCGCGAACCTGGTACGTCGTCTGCTGAGATCTGAGAGGTTGGCATATCGCTTACGGGCGACGACGCACAGACCGCTGCCGTCCCCGATTTCTGGGCTTACCGCGGCGACATCTCGGTTCGCAAGTTCCCCTACGATCGTGAGTTTTCCGTCGCTCATGGCGCTGAACAACATCCTGACTCGATCGGCCGCAGCTCAACACCCGTACAACGACACCGAGTCCATTGTCTGAGTGCGACAGACATGATGTACGATGACTACGGATTCACGAAAAGACTGCGGCCACGGTGGTTATTACCCGCCCAGCGATGTTACAATAATGACATTAAGATTTCACTCTACGTTTACGGCGTGTCGCGTGTTTACATGACCGAATCATTACGGAGTCGCGCGAAAGCGGACCCTTCCGCGTCCAGCAGCTGCGCCGGGTTCCCGACCTCGACGACACTCCCCGCGTCGAGCACTGCGATCTGGTCGTAGTTGACGATCGTCTCGATCCGGTGCGCGACGGTGACCACGGTGCAGTCCTTGAACGCCGCGCGGATGGTCTCCTGCACGGCCTTGTCGGTCTCGACGTCGAGGTTGCCGGTCGCCTCGTCGAGCAGCACGACCTTGTTCTGGCGGAGGAGCGCGCGGGCGAGCGCGAGCAGCTGCGTCTGGCCTTTCGAGAGCTCGTTCCCGCGCGCGCTGAGCGGCTGGTCGAGCTTTTCGTCGAACGCGGTGACGACGTCCTTGAGCTGAGCACGAACCGTGAGCGAAGGGCGTACGCGGCGGGAACGGGAGGTCGCACCTGCGCGCGCTCGAGAGCCTCCCAGACTTCGGCATCGGTCTTGGTGCCGCTCAGGTCGACGTTCTCGCGCAAGGTGCCGTCGATGACCAGCGGGTCCTGGGGGACGACGGTGATGTTCCGTCGGAGGGTCCGACGCGAGACCGTTCTTGTGTCCTTGCCGTCGACTGCGAACATGAGTACCAGGGCAATGGATGAGGAGAGAGGACGTACTAGAGATGACGCCGTCGACATCGAGCGCGCGCAGGATGGCGAGCAGCACGGTGCTCTTGCCCGAGCCGGTGCGTCCGCACAGCCCCGTGTTCGAGCCCCCCTCGACGCTCAGAGAAATGCCCTTGAGCGCTGGCTCCGTCTGGCCCGCGTACCGCGCCACGACGTCCTGGAACTCGATCGCGCCGTGCGTCGGCCAGGCGCCCTTGTCCTCGACTGCGGGGACGAGCGCGCCGTCGTCCTCCGGCGCGACGCGCGTGTACTCGAGGTTGCGCTCGACGGCGACGGCGGCGATCTCGAGCTGGGTCCAGCTCGTGAGCACGAGCGAGATGATGTCCTGGAGGGAGACCGCCTGGGAGAGCCCGACGGAGAAGAGGCCAGCGGAGGTGGACGCGCGCTGGGCGACGGCGATGAGCACGAACGCGGTGTTGACGGCCGCGGTGAGCACACCGACGGTGGTCGCAAGCCAGAGGCGCGCGACGTTGGTGAGGTAGAACGGGCCCTGGGAGCGCGCGAGGAGCCGGGAGTTCGCGGCGGCGTAGTCGGCGGACTTGTGCGCGGCGCGGATCGTGAGGAGGCCGTTGAGCTCGACGGTTTCGGAGAAGAGGGTGTAGAGGGGGCCCTTGCTGGCGAGGTCGAGGCGGCGGAGTTGCCGGGAGGTAGCCTGTGGATGAGCTTCGAGTCAGAGAACGTAGGGGCCAGAAGTGGAGGGAGAAGACGTACGAGGTAGAACTTTTGGATAACATAAACGAGCACGAGCATGGCAGCAACGACGATGGCGAGATACGGCACGGAGACGATCATAAGGATCGCGCTGCCGACCATGCGCGTGGATTCATACCCGAAGTCGTGCATCGCGAGCGGGAACTCGAAGTCGACGATGAAAGTATCCTGGCTGAATCGGCTCACGACCTTGCCGACGGATGTGCCCCCGAAGAACGACATCGGCGCAGCCATCACTGCCGCAAAGGCGTCGCGGTGCAGCGCTGTTGACGCCCCGGAGACGATGCGCATCACGAAGAAGTAGAAAACGGTGGAGAAGGCGATCGTGTATGCGACTTCGATCGCCGCGTAACCACCGAGGTACTTGCCCAAGACTGATGACGTGGACACGGCTCCACTGTCGTTTGCCGCGGCCCAAAGCTGGAGGTATACAGGAGTGACGATCTGAATGCCGACGGTGACGAAAAGGAAGATGGCGTAGATGAGCATCGAGGAGTACCCCGCGCCGGCGAAGTAGTGGAGGTAGGCACCGAAGCCAGAGGAGCCATGCTGAATCGCGTCGATCTCCTCTTGCTCAGCGTCGGCCTTGTCCATGTCGTCGATGGTGTCGTCAAAGGTGACAGCTTGAGGGGCGTCGTCCACGGTGCCGGCTGAAGTTGAGGAATGATCGCGGATGAGAGTGCCAGTGGGACCATCGGCGACGGAGAGCTGCTCGAAGGATCCTTGTTCGAGCACACCGCCATCGCCGAGCATGATGATCTTGTCCATATGCTGTAGGTGAGAAACTGGGGCCTGATTAGACCACGAAGAATTCTCTGGTGGAAAAGTGCGCACCCTTGTTGGTTGTGAGCACGACCGTTCGACCCTTGAGCAAGCCGTTACGACCAAGGAGGCTTTCGAACACAGCGATCGAAGTCGTGGCATCCAAAGCCGCGAACACGTCGTCTAGGAGATATGTGTCGCACCTGGAGTACATCGCACGAGCAAGGGCCTGGAAACAATGAGATGACAGCCACATTGACAGAAAACGTATGGACTTACGATGCGTGCTTTCTGGCCGCCACTCAACCCCTTCGCAACCCTACTGTCGAGTGCGCCGGCACCAAAGTCTATATCGAGCGCGCATGCGTGAACCACAGTGTTGAACCACGCGCGATCCATCGGAGAAGAGAAGAGAATGTTCTGCTCGATAGAGAGGGTAGAGCGCAGCCAGGGCGCTTGCGAGCAGAACGCGGCAGGGCCATCGAGTTCCGTCCGCGTGCAGTCACCTGTCTCAGTGGCCTCTCCTAGGAGCGAGGCAAGGAAAGTCGTTTTTCCCTAGACCATCCTGGGTCGTCAGTGTTCGGGGGTCCACGACAAATAAAACTGCGTATGAACTCACACAGCCCACGCGACCGACCACGGCAGTCGCCTTCCCGACTGGAACGTGGACATCGATGTTCTCGAGCACCTTCTTCTCGCCCCACCCGAAAGTTCCCGTGAGGCGAAGTTCGCTTGGCGATCTGTGCGAGGCCTTCTCGGAAACGCTTTTTTCCTCCCCAGCTTGAACTGCTCCGATGGTGGGCGCCAGGTCGGAGCGCTCGGGTGCGTTGAGGAATGATTGGATGCGTTTTAAACTGCTATACGCGGCAAGGACGGTGGCGTAGTTTTGCCCTACGGAGAAGAGCGGCGCGGCGATGATGGTGAGGACTGTGTACGATGTGAAAAGTCGGGCAGTGTCCAACGAGCCCGACTGGGATAAGAAAGACACGATGGCGTAGGCTCTGCAAATACAGGTAAGACGACAAATTGAAACCCGGGCAGGGATGCGTACCCGAGGGTGAAGAGACTGAGCATGTTCATGGCCGTGTTGGTGACACAGACGACGACCGCAAGATCCTTCCAGAAGCGCTTCATCGCGCCGAGCTCTTTGTCCCGCACGTTGTCGACCTTCCGGACCAATTCGGGCTCGTAGGCTGACAGCTTCACGCCCGTGATTTGGTGTAGCACGCTCGAGATGAGGCGCACGCGGGAGTCGGTCACCGCAGACCACACCTCTTGCAGGTCGTCGATGTGCCATGACAGCAGAGGGGTGGCAACCATACACACCGCGGTAACGACCACGGCGGCGACGAACGAAGTGCCGATCTGCGTCCAGAGGATGTAGAGGCCGATCGCGATGACGATCAGCGATGTCCAGAGTTCTGTCAGAGCGGTCGGTGAGCGGCCTCGGGGGAAAGGCGGACATTAGCGACTCACGGTGCAACGGATCGATGGCGAGCGTGATGCGCTCAATGTCAACACTAAACCCAGACCGGATAGGCACCGTGCGGGAATAGTGAAAGAATAATGAAACACGGACCTCATGAGGTTCGAGGCGTCTCCACCGGCGGCGTCAGAGAGCGCGTCGGCAGAGAAGCGGAGGGTCTTGTGGTAAATCGCCTCAACAAGCGCGGCACGCACGTGCGCTCCCCCCTTGTACACGTAGTAAAAGTATTGACCAGTCGCGCCTGCGAGGCCCAAGAATACGATGGCGAAGGCGCCGGCGAGAGCCCATCCCCATTGTGCTGGTTCGGGCCGATCGGAGGTCGAGGACGTGTAGGACTGGAGGAACTGAATGATTGCGTTGACCATCACGGGCTGCACGGCCTGAGCGAGCGCGCGGAGGGCTCCGGGAGCTACAGGGCCGAGAAGGGTAGGGTAAAATGCGCGCAGGAGGGCGCGAGCCAAGGATGCGTCTTGGCCGTGCTTGGACCTGTGAATGACGTGACAATATGAGCCGATGGGAACGGAAGGAACAAAAAATGGCTGTTGGGTGCATACTTCTCCATGTTCCAGTGTGCTTCGAACTGTGTGTATAGAATGGAAGTGTCCATGTCTGGATCAAGTTTTGGCAATTGCGAGAGCTCCAGGCTGGAGTGTCGGCCCCGCCACATGAGAGGGAGCGCCCATGTGACGAAGATGTGGGACAGAAAACCTGTTCCTTCCAGCGTCGCCTCCTGTGATGAGAGTAGCGAAGGGAAGGCGAGCACGACCATTGCAATGAAGCGACACACAAATTGCGCGAGAAAGGATGCGTAGAAGAATGTGGACGTGGCCGAGGTGCCGATGATAGTGAATGTCCGAATCCGCGCGGTGTCGAGAATCAAGGTGACGACGAGGTACAGGGATGCCACAAAGAGGATGTATCTCGACCGACCGAACGTAGGCGAGAGAGCCAGTATAGCGATCTGAGAATCCGATCAGAACCACATATTTGTTTTGCATGCAAGAAGACTTACCGCGGAAAGAAGTGAAAGCACCAAGGCACTGGTTACATTGGACCTCGCAGATGAGGGGAGCACCACGGGGGCGGACAGCCAGGCGGCGAGAGAGAGGACGGAGGAAATGAAGAGCATCAGAAAGGGGATGATCAAGATCACATGGCGCAAGGAGAGTGACAGCAGTGGACGCGACTTGAGTGCAAAAACGAGGCACAGGATGAGGAAAATGACGCTGGGGATCAACGAAAGAATGCTGGAGACTAAAGTGAGTAAGGCTGGTATATGTGTTGGCTGCACACAAAAGAGTAGCCCGCACCTGCTCTCAAAGACGACTGTGAAGTCAAAGCCGCGACACTGAGTCTGCGGCCCCTGTGTTTACAAATGTTAGAAGCAGAATCATGGCGATAGGAGCGAAGAGGCGTACGAAGGAACCGTCGGCGTCGCAGAACGACATCGCAGAGCAAGAGCAATGTGCACCGTGAGGCACCCCCTCATTCCGGCAGGCTCTTTGTTGTGAGAAGAGTCGCCCACGGAAGATCTTCACGTTACGCGATGGTTGGAAATGCCCAGCGCTCCGGAGCTGAGAATCGCGGACGACGCTCGGTCGGCGCCGAGGCAAAGGAGCCTCGTCGACGTCGACAGCCAAGCGGCGGTAAACATGCAGGGTGTTTCATCATGGCCGCATTTGTCGCAAAGGGCGCTGGCATGGGCGCGTTGCGTGGACTCGGCGTATGCGCGGAAAGTGGAATGGACTCGGAACTCGTGGGCGAGTTCGAGGACAGGGAGGGGTATAGCCGGGGGCGGGACCCGGAGCAGAACCGGAAGGCCGAGATGGCGAGGCCGGGCTCGAGAGGACGGGCTCGCGGTCTGGCCGAGGGGTGGAAGACAAGAGTCGCGCGCTGCAAGGGCGAGCAATGTTGTGGACACGGACCCCGGATACCGCAGACGCGCATTCATCGGACGGCGGTGGCAGTGCTTGCTCTTGGCGGCACACGGGCTGCCTCTTTCGGTAACATCGCTCGCTACATCCAACTCCCGTCCCGAAGCACATCATGGCTCCCAGCGCCCTCCCTCCGCTCCCACCTATCACCCGCCTCCACACCCGCCTCCGCTCGGACCTCGGTGGAATCAAATCGGGCAGACAGCCGCTACCATCGGTTCAATGTCGCAGATGCTGTGTCTCCCGTTAGCGAGGTGGCGCGAGTGAATGGAGCACGTACTTACATCACGCTACGCTCGCTCGGTTCAGCGCCCGATTTCTCTTGCATGACCGGACCCTGGGGAATAACGTTTAGACCTCTGAACGTTGCTCCAGATCACGCCCTGGCTCACCGCATAGTGGGAACACTTCTCATCGTAAGCCGCCCAAGTGTCCAGCGGAGACTCCAAGTAGAACCTGAGCGAATTCAATCCAAAGCGCTTAGAGACGTGCATGGAGAAAATATGTTCACCCACCGTGCGAGCACATCGGGTTCAGGGACGTCCTCTGGCTGCAGCCCGGCGTATTGACCACCCCGTCCAGCGATGACGTTCACACCACCAGCAGCGTTGCGCCGCCGGACCAGGTGCACGAAAGAGAACTTGTGCCCGTCTTGATGCAATGCGTTCGGTGTCGTCGTGGATACTGGATATTTCTCGGACGGCTGCACAAATCCGCCCCAGGTCATCGTCGGCAGAGCGCGAAAGTCGTACATGAACTCACAGCAGTCTTAATGAAATGCACACCGACGATTATCGGGTGCCGGAGCTCGTCGATAGACCAGTCGCACAAGGAGACATCGGTCAGAATGAGCTTCTCCAGAAGAGGACTGACGCGCATGTGGGGCGGAATGGAGGGCATCCCGCGTCGCTCAGAGTCATGCTCCGGGTTGAAAACGCCTAAAGTGTAGGCAAAATATCAGGACACCTATTTCCGATATATCGCGGGGCGGTAAACGGAAAACCTTGGTTGTAGTACGTGATATCGCTTCCGTCTCGAACATGACCCGGTGCCCAATAAACGCGGGGCTTGTCTTCGAAGGGAAGGACGAAGGCCCGTGAGTACTGGCGGAAGCGCGCGGCGCTTACGGGTGCGTTAGGGTCTGCAGGGAGGACGTCGAAGTGAGACTGGAGCGAAGCGACCCAATCGCGGAATTCAGATGAACTGGCAAAGGATGGGTCCGATGACGGGTTGAAACGGATGAAGGAGGCGTTGTTGAGAACGGGGAAGGATCGACGATAGGATCCGAGGGTAGTGGGGAAACTGGTGTTGAGGTGGGCGGCCCGGGGGACAGAAGACCGCGAACACGAATATTTAGACACGCATTCGGAGGTGACACTGGCCAGGGTGCGACGGGATACACGCGGGAGCGTAGCAAAAGCCTGACGGGAAACGACGAAGCGTTGCATCCTGGTACAACAAGAACGACGTCAGAGGAGCGAAGCGTGAGTGAATTAAGACAATAATTACACAAGCAGAAGCAGATCAGGTAAGATGATAGAGGTCGGAGGTCAAGAGAGTACTTGGGTTTGTATGTTGCAAATTGACGATGGAATATATAGCATCTGAGGCAGAGCCCTAGGTCACGATCGAGGGCGAGCCAGACTTGAGGTGGATTTGAAAGCGGCATCCAAGCCGAGACGCGGGAGCATCTGGGGATCGAAACGCCGATTGTGACTGTGTGGGGTTCAAGCATCGTGAACATAGAGGGTGTGCCCTGCGGACCTGACGCGGACGTTTCAAGTTTGAGCGAGCTGGCCGAGCCGGAAGACACATAGCGCCTGGAACGCACCCTTTGCATCATTACCCAATATCTACGCCACCGGCCGACGGAGCGGTGGGGGTCCCTCAGCTTACACTCGGCCGAGTTTGCCGAGAAGGGGGACGAGCAATGAGGACGAGCGAACAAGCGCCGACCACACCGGAAGGCTCCCACGGTCCCCTAGCGCCGAGTGGTATCCGGGGTCTGCGCTGTATTTTGTTCGTGCCAGAGCCTGACGACGCCGGTTCTGGTCGCTCCGCGATGTCGCGCGCCCCGTTCAGATCGCCTGTTTATTCTGACCAGCTCCAACACACCGTGGAGCTCTCACTGCGGCTGTCATCGTTTCTTTCCATGGCCTTGCGTAATGCCGCGGCGGCTCAAGTGACTCTTCTTCGATCGTCGGCAGACTCACATCCCACCTGCGCTTGTTTCGGAAGACGTGAGAGTTTGCCGTGCTTGGATCCCTTTTGGTGCGCGCTGATTCTGACATGTTCCGCAGATCCATGTGAAGGACAGTTACGACATTCGCAGCGAAGGGGTGCTGTACACTATTTTCAAATCGGAGCGCTGCTGCAACCTTGGCCAGCCGACCAGCGTTGCGAGTCCATATGCAATTGCCCCTTTCGCGGCGGGGCCCCATCGGCGGCGCTTGGGTATCTTGGTCTGGAGTGCGGAAGGACCTCCGACACCATATCGGACCAAGTTATTCTCCAGGGTTCTTGCTCAGTGTCCGACCTGGCTCCCAACACACTCTCGTTTCATCACCTCTAGGACACGAAGGCATAGATTCGACTCACCACCTCACCACTCCGTCTCCGGAGCTCTGAGTTATCGACACTCTTACACTGCTCTCCTCATATCCACATCCTACTCCTACCTGGGTTCGTGGTGGCCGACACGTCCTGCGACGGTGATCTGCTTTAGTACGCCACTCTCCTCTTTCTTACACCCGTCCAGACCGTTTACCACTTGTCCGTTTCTCCTCAGTATCTCCGTCAACACTGGGATTAACCCCGCTATTCCACAAGAACAGCTTTGTCCTACCTTTTTTCGACGCGCCTATCATGTCCCTACCACCCTCCAATATCCCCTCGACCGAAACCCTCGAACCCCCCGAGTCTGATATAGAGGCTCTCGTCGCCTTAGGAACAGACTTTTCTCTACCTTCCGAAGTCACCCATTCATGCCTTCATCGCTACTTCGAGGATGTCGCACGCATACACACTGATCTCCCCGCACTGGCATTCGACGTGCAGGGTTTGGTCATTACTATGTCCTACGGGGAGATGAATCGCCGCTGTGAAGAACTTGCTCACTATCTTGCTTCAACACACGCGGTGGGCCCCGGAGTGATGGTCCCCCTCTTCTTTACTCGTGGGATCGACATGATAGTCGCGATTTTCTCTGTGGTATGTACTTGACTTTATCCGCATTTCTATCGAGTTGCCGGTGGCTCATATGTGTTATCTCCGATTCGCAGCTTAAGACAGGCGCTGCTTACGTTCCTCTCGACATTGAACACCCCACAGAGCGCACAACCTCTATTGTCGACATCGTGGGTGCACAGCTAGTGCTGACGGAATCACTGCTCCTCGGAGACCTCCGACACCGCTTGCAAGAAGAGGTCAATGCTATCGCTATCGACGCACTTCCGTCGCTGCCGGATCCCGTCACCAACTTCTGTTCGCACGGCGCCGGGGAAGACATCGCGTATGTCATTTTCACATCCGGGACAACGGGTACTCCCAAAGGAGTCGCTGTGCACCACACCGCGGCTGTGAGCGCCGTTATCGACGGTCCGCGACTGAACCGTGGACTGCGCTCGCGCAACGACCTCCGGATGTTCCTTCCTAATAACTACGCGTTCGACTTTGTGAGTGAACTTCTTTGCTCGTCAAGGACTTGTCACTCACGCCATGCGCAGACCATCTGGGACATCTTCATCCCTCTCACGTCCGGCGGGTGCCTCTGCATCGCCACCAAAGAAGACATGTTCGACGACATCAACGCCGTCCTCCGCCGCCTCCGGGTCAACGTCATCATGTCCACCCCCACGGTCCTCAGCCTCATAGAGCCCTCCCAAGTCCCCACCCTCGACACCATGTGCAGCGGCGGCGAGATGCTCACCGTCCTCGTCCGCGACCGCGCCTTCGCCGCCGGCCTCAAGCTCGGCAACGTCTACGGCCCCACCGAGGCCGCCGTCTGCTGCGTCTTCGCCGAGGTCGACCCCGCGCTGCCCGACCCCGCGATCATCGGGCGCCCGTTTGGCGCGAACAGGGCGTACGTGCTCGACGAGGACCTGCGCCTCGTGCCGCGAGGCGCCGTCGGCACACTGTGGACCGCGGGTCCGCAAGTAAGCAAGGGGTACCTCGGACGCCCCGACCTCACCGCGGCGACGTTCCGCCCGGACCCTTTCGTGCCTGGGGAGCGCATGTATAACACGGGGGACCTCGTGGCGTGGACGGAAAGCGGGAATCTGAAGTGTTACGGCCGGGCGGACCAGCAGGTTAAGGTTCGCGGGCAGCGGATAGAGATCTTGGAGATCGAGACGACGATGGCGGAGGTGCGCGGGGTGCAGAACGCGTGCGTAGTCAAGCGCGCGAGGGGCGGACGCGAGGATCTCGTCGGTTTCTACTCTCCTGAGGTACGTCGTAGGCGCTGGTATTCGAGAGGCTCTGTACTCACTTTTGTCCTGCAGCCTGGAACCGACGTCGATGTTGCCCACGTTGAGGGAGCGATTATGCTCGCGGTGCAGCGCAAGTTGCCGGTGTACATGCATCCGTCCGCCCTCGTCCACCTCGGCAAACTTCCGGCGACCGTAAATGGCAAGGCGGACCGCCGACTCCTCGGTCAATGGGCGCTTGACCTCCCGCTGGTCACGGAAAACGTTGCTACGTGCGACAACGCGGAGCCGCTATCAGTACAGAAGCCACCGTCGCGGAGTGCTGGGCAAAGATCCTCAAAATTCCCGTGGCTTCTGTACCCATCGACAGACCGTTCTACCAGTGCGGCGGCGATTCCATCTCGATTATCCACCTCGCGGCAGCCCTCCGCGTGAAGGGCTTCGATGTCAAGACAAGCGACCTACGGAAAGCGACCACAGTGAAGGCCCAATCACGTTTGACGATGTCGTCAACACACGCGCCTCTAGAACAATCTTACCTTCCCTTGTCTCTCATGAGTACTGCGAAGGTGACTCTGGACGACGTTGCGGAGCTTACCGGATGGGAAAAGGACTCCATAGAAGATGTATATCCGTGCACTCCGTCAGTGGCGGGTCTCGTTTCGCTTGCTACGACAAATCCTCAGGTGCGTTGCTCTAGCTGCTGCGATTGATTCATGCTAATGTGGCACCTCCAGAGCTACTTGGCTCAACATGCTTTCCGACGCGCCGGCCGGTACAAAGCTGACGCATTATGCGCATCTTGGAAAACCGTAGTTGCACACCATCCAATTTTACGCACGGCCTTCGTCATCCCTCCCGCTCCCGCCACAGACATCTTGCAGGTTGTTCAGAAGTCCGATGCGCTCGAAATGTCCTGGACGTTCCACTCGGCCGTCGACGATGCGGCCTTAGATTCAGCTGTCACCACCTATCTCGAATCCTCGCGCCGAGCCGGATTCCGCATTGGCGCCATCCCCACTCGCGTCGGTTTGTTCGAGGGCCCGACATCATCAGTCATGGTTTTGCAGGTCCACCACTCGCAGTATGACGGTTGGACCCTTCCGATCATCCTCGAAAACCTCCAGAAGGCCTATCACTCCATCGTCGAAGGTATCACTCGCCCACACACGGACCACCAAACCCGCTTTTACGCGGAATTCGTGCAGTGGACTCTACAACAAGATACGGATGAAGCCCTCTCCTTCTGGCGTTCTGAACTAGAAGACGCAACGCTCCTATCTTGGCCGAAGGTCCCTCACGATGCCGCCGACGTCGCTACCGACATGCTAGTCTCCGCGGTTTGGACGCCTCCTGGACTTTCCTCGCTGGCAAGCTTCTGCCAGGACCATAACGCGACACCGTCGAGTCTCATCCGTCTGGCGCTATCTATCGTGCTAGGTATGCACGCGAACAGCGACGACGTTCTCTTTGGCATCGTGGCCTCTGGTCGGTCCGTCGACCTCCCTGGCATCGAAGACGTCGTGGGCCCATGCATCACCACTCTGCCTTGCCGCGTCCGCCTCCCTCCAGACGCGTCACTCGCGACCCTCCTTACGGACATCCAATCGCGTTCCAGCGCCACAGCCTCATACGAGTACTCCGGACTGGCAGACATTATCCGCACCAGCCCCTTCAGTCGCTCGCGGAGCATCTTCCAAGTGCTGCTCACGGTGGAGAACATCCCCGAACTTGACCTACACGCGCACCCACTCTTTGGAGAGGACATCCACGGCCACCAGATGGAGATGAACTACGCGCTTGGCGTGACGGTCTTCCCGCTCCAGAACGACGGCGGGCTCAAGTTCGACATCGAGTACGACAGCCGCCACTTGTCTGCCGCGGACGTGCGCTGGTTCCAGACCCACCTGCTCGCGACCCTGGACGCCATCCTCCGCCACCCGACGTCGACGCTCGCGAACCTCGACATCGTCTCAGACGAAGAGCGCGCGTTCCTGCAGAATGTCGGCATCGGACTCGCCCCCGACCCAACGCTCGCGGCGGAGCCCCTCGTCCACCGGCTCATCGAGAAGACCGCGGTGGCGCACCCCGAGCGCGTCGCCGTCGAGCACTCGGGCGGGCGCACGCTCACGTACGCGGAGCTCGACGCGCTCGCGGACCGCGTCGCGCACGGGCTCGTCGCGCTCGGGGTGCGGCACGAGACGCCTGTGCCCGTGCTCTTCGACAAGGACGGGGACCAGACGGAGGCCGTCGTCGCGATCGTCGCGCTCATGAAGGCTGGGGCCGCTTTTGTCCCGATTGACGTGGGCTGGCCTGCGGCGCGTGTCGCGGCGTGCGTGCGCCAGTGCGAGGCGCCGTTCGTGGTGTGCGACGGAGTCGGGGTGCCGGAGGTTGCGCACGGGCTGGGGGTGCCGGTCCGGACGGTGGGAGAGCTTGCGCGCGGAAGGAGCCATGGGGGGCGGTGCGTGGTTAAGGAGCAGACACCGCAGTCGCTGGCGTACATCATCTTTACGAGCGGGTCGACTGGGGAACCGAAGGGTGTTATGATCGAGCACCGGAACATCATGGGCTATGTCGCAAAGTATGTCTTTTATTCGCTTGTGTCTCTTCCAGTCTTAGTTCTGACTTCGCTTCTAGTGGCACGACGGTATATCCCATCCAGGATGTCAAACGTCTTCTGCACTTCTCTCCCTTCTCCTTCGATCAGGGTCTCGGCGACATCTTCATGGCGCTCACTAAGGGTGCTACCCTTGTCCTCGCGAACATGGCCGACGTCCTCACCGACCTCTCAGAAGTCTTGAATTCAACCCGCGCCGATTACACGGTGCTGACTCCTGCTATCACCCAGCTCATCCGAGCCGATGTCGACCATCCACATCTGAAGAGCCTGCTGGTGGGCGGGGAGAAGCTCCCCGGTCAACTCGTTGACCGCTGGAAGGGGAAGGTTGCCTTCATGGACGAGTGAGTGCGACCCTCTTATCGGGCATGCACGTCCTAACGAGCTCGCGCAGCTACGGTCCCACCGAAGTCACGGTCAGCTGCGTAGGAATGACCTTCACCGCGGACACCAACGTCCCTGCGGGCGTCATCGGCAGCCCATACGGGGACACCCGGGCGTACATCGTCGACCCGCGCCGCCCAGACACCCGCGTCCCCGTCGGCGCCGTCGGCGAGCTCTGCCTCTCGGGCAACCAAGTCGGGCGCGGATACCTCGGCCGCCCCGACCTCACCGCCGCCGCCTTCGTGCCCGACCCGTTCGCGCCCGGGCTGACGATGTACCGCTCCAACGACCGCGCTAGGTGGACGAGCGACGGGCTGATCGAGTACCTCGGCCGGCAGGACGACGCGTTCGTGAAGCTGCGTGGGCTCCGCATCGATCCGGGCGAGTCGGAGGCGCGATCGCTGGTGCGGGGGTGGTGGGGCGTTCGCGGTCGTCGAGCTGCTGGAGCTGAGAGGGCAGCCGCATCTCGTCGCGTTCGTCAGCAAGGCGCTCGCGCCCGCCGGCGAGGCACGGCTCGTCCTGCTCGACCCGGAAAATGCGGATGCGGATGCGGACGGTGCGGACGCGGTGAAGCCGTGGCTCACGACCCTGATCGATGCCTGTCGGCAGGCCGTGCCAACGTACGCCGTCCCGACGGTGTGGCTCGCGCTTGCCGCGATGCCGCAGAACGCGAACAGCAAGTTTGACCACAAGCAGCTCCGGAGGTTCTGGGGCACGCTCGAACCCGCGCGCATCGAAGCTGTGTCCACGGCGCTCACGCAGACACACGCGCCCCGCACGCCGGAGGGTCGGGCGGAGCAGCTCATCGCGCGCGTGTGGGCGGATGTGCTCGCGCGGGATGCCGAGGCGCTGTCGGTGCACGACGACTTCTTCGCGCTGGGAGGCGACTCGATTGGGGTGGTGCGCATGCTCGCGGGGCTTAAGGCGGCGGGAGTGTCGATCTCATTGAAGGACTTTGGTGCGGACCCCACGGTCGTTGCGCTCGCGGCGCGGATCGACGAGGCAGTCCTCACGGGCACATCGTCGCCTCAGTCGAGCGACAGCGGTCTCCCCGGAGTTGCAAATGGGCTGGCATGGCAAGTGCAAATGGGTGATGTCGATGAGTCCGCGGCTCCGCTGTGGCTCATCCATGACGGTGGAGGACTTGGGAACGAATGTAAGTCGAGTCCATGCCTCTCAGCACGCCGTACTTATATCCTTTGCAGACGAGAACTTGGGGCCTCTTTCCCGATCTGTCTACGCCGTGTCGAATCCAACATCGACGCTGGCCGAGCTGGAGGCCCAGTTCCCTACTTTCTCCAGCTACGTCTCCGCATACGACCCCTCCTCTCCGACACACGCAACATCTTCCTCGGCGGCTGGAGTGTGGGCGGAACCCTCGCCCTCACCCTCGCCCGCGCCGCGCCGCCGCCGGTCTTCCCGTCCATGGCGTGGTCCTCCTCGACAGCTACAACTCCGAAGGCTGGCGCCGCGCTCGTGCGCCCGCCGCGCCCCTCCCCGCGCCCCGCGAGAGGCCCGGCTGTCGGCGGACGACTACGCGCGCGCGCACCAGGCGCACTTTGACGCGCTCGCGGGCGAGTTTTCCCCGCGCGCTGCGACTTCCCCGTGCTACTTGTGCGCGCGGGCGCGAGCCGCGCGAGAGAGGAGATCGAGAAGGCCGGCTTCGTAGTGCCGTACGCGAGGGGGCAGCGGGGGCGAGCGTTGACAGTGGGATGGCGGGATCGTGGACGAGGGCGGGAGCGAGGAGCTGCTGTTTTGGTCCAGGGCGGTCTTGCCGCAACTTGAGGTTGTCACCGTCGGGGCGCGGACCATTACAGCCTCATGCGGGACCGGGCGTTGTGCGCGGAGGCTTCGAAGGCAGTGGATGAGTGGCTCCGTCGCCAGACGTTGGCATCGTCCTCTGTTGCGTAGTTTAGTGGGTCGAGCTCGTCTACGCTATCGGATATCAAGAAAGAGGAAAGGAGGACGGATCGCTCGCCAGGTGGGAATTTTGAGCCATAAGTAAGACGACCGCATGCTTTGAACGTCGCTGTAGATGTCAACGAGACCGAAAAGAAGCAGGCTGTGGGAGTGCGGCTACCACAACGGTACTTGAGCTTGGGTTCACATGAGCATGCCCGCGACTTCCAACTTTCAGGCGATCGATGCCGGGAGGTTTCCTGGCGTACGCGTTTGAACGTCTGACGAGAACCCGTTCTTGATAGCGTTGTTGAGACGAAATCACAAGTTAAACGTGCGTGCTCGTGCGGCGAAGTGTCGGAATGAACGCGATGAGTGCGGCAGAGGCGTTCAAGCGGCGAACGAGTCCGCCGGCGGAGAGAAGAGCGGGCACCATGGGCAGGAGAAGTGCCGGGCCCGGCCGTGAAGCGCCGATCCACGCGTCGGTGACGTCGCCAGGCGCGTCGGACGTGGTCGAACGGCGAGCAGAGCGTTGTCCGCAACGACGAGCATCCCGGTCGCCGCGTTGCCGTCACCGTGCTCGTCTTGTTCCTCCATCCGCTGCTCCTCGTGGTCGCTTTCCTCTTGCGTGCTCCTGGCCCAATCTCGCCTGATCCCCGGAGCATACTTTATACAGCCCACCATGCTCTCCCTCCGCTCCTCCCTCTCCTCCGCGACCGCCGCCCTCCGCTCTGCCCGCGCCCTCCGCAGCTCCGCCCCCCTCTCAGTCCGCTTCATGACCACCACACAGTACGAATACATCCTCACCTCTCGCCCCGCGGAGGGCGTCGGCCTCCTCACCCTCAACCGCCCCAAAGCGCTCAACGCGCTCTGCACCCCTCTCTTCAACGAACTCAATGCCGCCCTCAAGGAGTTTGACGAGGATGACAGCATTCGCGCGCTCGTCCTCACCGGTAGTGACCGAGCGTTTGCCGGTAAGCACCTCTCTTCTCAACCTTGTTCGATGCTGGACCGGAGCCGTTGTGTCCCAGCCGGCGCGGACATCAAGGAGATGAAGGACAAGGAATGTGAGCAAACACTTCTTCTCTGGCCACGGTTCTTGTCGTGACACGAGACGCTGCCTAGTTCCGACGTGTTCAAGGGCAAGTTCCTCGAGAGCTGGTCACGCTCTCCACCATCCGCAAACCAATCATTGCAGCCGTGAGCGGATATGCGGTGAGTCCCCGGCTAATCCTTCCTTGCTTCCCTTCCTCTGCGCTTTTTGTGCGCATCCCGGTTCACTGGAGTACACACATCGCCCATTGAGTTGGACCCATCTACTGCGAATACATACAGATGAAAGGTTCATAATGCATATATGGTCATGGTGCATAGCATGAACCCCGGAAAAAGGCCTCGCACCATCCAAAGACGCATATATGTTCATACTGCATGAGCCGAGGTTATGACCGATGCTATGCATTATAAACTTTCCATCTGTACTGCATTCAGGCTTGGCGCAATCTGTCATTTACCTCTGACAGGACCATTCCGCCGTTCGCGCTCCTATCACTGCGTCTGGACCCATACTCATCCACCTGCTCTCTCTCCAGCTCGGCGGCGGGTGTGAGCTCGCGCTCATGTGTGACATCATACTCGCCTCCCCCACCGCTACCTTCGGCCAGCCCGAGATCAGCATCGGCGTCATCCCCGGCGGCGGCGGCACCCAGGTCCGTCCCCAGTCCCTCCCGCTCCGCCTCACCAGTCCCTGACCTCCGCGTCCCCAGCGTCTGGCGCGCACGATCGGCAAGTCGCGTACGATGGAGCTCACGCTCACCGGCCGGAACTGGTCCGCGAAGGAGGCCGCCGAGTGGGGCATGGTCTCGCGCGTCGTCGGCGAGGGCGCGGGCGTGGTCGTCGAGGAGGCTGTCGCGCTCGCCGCGGTAATCGCGAGCAAGAGCGCGATCGCCGTCCAGGCGAACAAGGAGGCCGTCAACGCTGCGTTCGAGCACACCCTCGCTGAGGGCCTGCGCTACGAGCGCCGCATCTTCCACTCCATGTTCGCGACCAAGGACCAGAAGGAGGGTGAGTGTTTTCGCGCCTCGCCAGGCGTCCGGATTGCTGACGTGGTTTCGCGCAGGGATGAGTGCGTTCGCGGAGAAGCGCAAGCCGACTTGGACCCACTCGTAAGCAGCTGGGAGAAGATTATGCGTATCTGGATCACGCTTGTATTATGGGTGGATTTAAAAGAGCCGTGGTATGCTCGCATCTCGTAAGCTCGACCGATGAACAGGATTAGCTCGCGCCTTTGTCCGCGGGGTTTGAGAGCGCGCGCGCGTCCTTGCATCATCATGTGGACTCGCTGTCTGTTGCAGTAGTTGCATTCCCACAGCGTGGTTCTTTCCATCGCCTGCCTTCCTCCACCCCCCAGTAGGAGGATGACATAGGTGGCTCGTGAGTACGAACGTTTTTTGCGCATATCAATTGCTAATGTATTTGCAAAGTGGTACGAGCCAATCGGTGGCTCTAGTTGAAAGTTTATTTAGACTATTACTCAGTGTGAACGCCCGCATTGTACCAACCGGGAAACACGGACAGAAGCCCCGGGAACACCTTCGCCATCTTCTCTGTCGGACCTGGAACCCAGACCATCGGGTACCAGGACACTATATAAGAAGACCTTCGCGAAGGCCTTCGCACTCGTCAGCCCGCCTTCCGCCAATCCTGCGACGGAGTGAAGATGGTTCGGGAAGTACTAACCGCCTTTCTGGTTGCCGCGTGCTTCCAACCGCGGGTCCGAGGCGCTCTTTTCAGCGACCCGGCTCAACTTCCGTCTCACAAGACGTACGACTACATTGTCGTAGGAGCGGGTCCTGGTGGGGGTACGGTGGCCAGCCGCCTTTCGGAGAACCCCAAGACCCAGGTGCTGTTGATCGAAGCGGGGCCAGAGCGAGTTTTTTCTATTATTCATCGGTTCACGGGCTGACGTTGAAACCGACAGCGACACGAACGTGCTCAATATACACGTCCCCTATCTCGGGTACACGCTCAACCCGAACACCCCGTACGACTGGAACTACACCACGACGCCACAGGCGGGTCTCGACGACCGCGTGTTGACGTACTCCCGCGGCCGCGTGCTCGGCGGGAGTTCAAGCATAAGTGAGTCGTCGAACCTCCGGTTCAACTCATATCGGCTCATGGTCGCGATGGCAGACTTGATGGTTTGGACGCGGGCCTCCCGCGACGACTGGAACAGGTACGCGAACGTCAGCGGGGATTCGGGCTGGTCGTGGGATGCGATCGAACCTTACTACCGCAAGGTGAAAGGGCTGAAGTCCACCAAGCGCGATGGACTGACCTCGTCTGTGCAGCTCGAGCACCTCGTTCCTCCGACCGACCACCACAATATCTCAGGCCAGATTCTACCTCACATACATGGACACGATGGGCCTGTCAACTTCTCTCTTCCTGCCATTCCGTTCCCGACGGACGATAATGTGATCGGTGCTACGCAAGAGCTTGCGGATGAGTTCCCGTTCAACGTCGATCAGGGATCCGGTGACCCCATTGGTATCGGTTCGTCGTCTCAACGCTGCCAGTTTATTCTTTGGAACTGACTCGGGTGTCAGGTTGGGTGCAGGGCACGTTTGGGAATGGGATGCGCACGAGCTCAGCTACGGCGTACATTCACCCGGTGATTTCCAGGCCAAACTTCGATGTGCTACTGAACACCACGGTCACTAAGCTTATTCAGACCGGAACGCACGGTGACAAAGCCGTATTCCGCGGGGTTCAGTTCACACAAAACAGCACCAGTACGTCACGTTGGCGCGCGACGAGCAAGGGCCGCTGAACGTCCCACCTTCTAGCCCCGCTCTACACTCTGAACGCAACAAAGGAGGTCATTCTCTCCGCCGGGGCGATCAACAGCCCCCAGCTACTCATGCTCTCCGGCATCGGTCCCGCCGCGCACCTCGCCGCTCTCGGCATCCCGGTCGTGCTCGACGCCCCCGCCGTCGGGCAAAACCTGGCGGACCACCCGCGCGTCGAAAGCCAGCTCGGGCTCGTGCACGCGGAGGACGACCCGCTGGACCCGATCGCGCGCAACGCGACGCTCCTCGCCGAGCTCGTCGCGGGCTGGGAGCAGAAGCACGCGGGGCTGATGGCGAACGGCGGCACGAACCAGGTCGCGTGGTTGAGGATCCCGGCGGACGACGGGGTGTGGGCGACGGAGGAGGACCCGAGCGCGGGGCCGACGTCGCCGCACTTTGAGATTCTGTTCAGGGTGCGTACGCGCGTCGTGTGCGCGATCGAGGGCTGACTTGCATGGTGGTTGCAGCCTGGCTTTGCGTCGACGGTGGGGGACCCGGTGCCCGCGACGGGCGCGTTCTTCACGCTGAACACCGTCCTCGTCGCGCCCTCCTCTCGTGCGTCCGCTCCGAGCTCTTGCAAGCCACGCAACTGACCCACACACGCGCCCAGGCGGCTCGGTGACCCTGAACTCGTCGTCCCCGTTCGACTTCCCGGTCATCGACCCCGCGTTCCTCTCGACTGCCTTCGACGTGCGCGCGATGCGCGCGGCCCTGCGCGCCTCGCTCCGCTTCGTCGCCGCGCCCGCGTTCGCGGGCGTCGTGTCGGGCGCAGCGGGGCCGTTCGCGGACGTGGATGTGGACGATGACTCGGCGCTGGACGCGTGGGCGCGCGCGCAGGCGGCGACGATCTGGCACCCGACAGGCACGGCGCGTATGGGGGCGTGTGCGGGGGCGGGGGCGAAGGGCGCGGTGGTGAACCGGATCTGCGTGTGCGGGGTGTGGAGGGGCTGAGGGTGGTGGATGCGAGCGTGTTCGTGAGTCGGGCGGTTTCTTTCCTTGCTGTTGTGTGGGGTCGTGCTCACGCAGGGGTTCGCGGTTTGCAGCCGTTCATCCCGGCGGCCCATCCGCAGGCGGTGGTGTACGCGTTCGCGGAGAGGGCGGCGGATCTCATCAAGGCGGGGCACAGAGCGTGTTGAGAGCGTCGTGGTCGGAGTCTGGGACGAGGACTAAGAATATGTGTCTATGTCGGGGACCCGAATGATTCGTGCAGGCGTGCCGTTGATTTCCGCTGTAGGTAGCGCTCGAGAATGCCGAAAGATGCCGACACGAACTATATCGGGGGTAGGTATATATAGCACCCACGCCGATGAGCGTCATCGCGTTGCCCCATACGCACGGGATGCATGGGCGGTCGGTCGCTCGGGTTCACACACGCTTTCTCGCCCTCCGCAAGTCCGTCTCTTCCTTCCGCCCACCACCGCCCTCGTCCGACGCTCCTTTGCTTCCCCAGGACACCCCTCGATCAGGTCTAGTCTAGTGGTCCGCCCTTACCACCCTCCTAGCTTCACGCCTCCCCTGCGCTTTCACGATGAAAAATCGCCAGCTTGCTCTGCTGGCTCTGTCGCTCGCTGCGGCCGCCTCCGCTCTCGGTCCCACGTTGCCGGCTCGTTTGAGCCAGGAGGAAACACCCAAGTCAGCGCGATGATGGTTAGTCGCTTGCCTTTCCATTCCGCGTCTCCTCCTCTCAAACCGGCCTTCATCCATCCAGATGTTCCTGGGAAACCTTGAAAAGGTTTACATCCTCGACAAGTCCGAGGCCAACCAGGCCACCTTCAACGGCGTCCCTGCCATGGGCGCCGTCTACGACATCGCCTCCCGCACCGCGTCCACCATGGGCGTCAGCACAAACGTCTTCTGCGCGTCCGGCCTCCACCTCCCAAACGGCTCCTTCGTCACATTCGGTGGCAACGCGGCCGTCGGCCCTGGTGGCGGCACAGGAGACCCCGCTTTCAACGCCACTTTCGGTGACTTCGACGGCAGGAAGGCCATTCGCGTCCTCAACCCTTGCGGCTCCTCTGATGACTTCAGCTCCCCCCAGTGCCAGTGGTTCGACAACTCCTCTCTCCTGTCCATGCAGAGCATGCGCTGGTACTCCACCGCGGAGGCTCGCGCCGACGGTTCCATTGCCATCATCGGTGGCATGACCGGCGGTGGTTACATCAACCGAAACACTCCCAACACCGATCCCGCCACCCAGGGGGTGGTGCCAACCCGACCTACGAGTTCTTCCCTGCGAACGGCCCCCTGTTCAGATGCAGTTCATGGTCAAGACCTCGGGGCTCAACGCCTACCCCCACACCTTCCTCATGCCCTCCGGCAAGATGTTCCTCCAGGCCAACTATTCCACAAGTCCGTGCTTGACTCGGCCTCTCTTTCTTCGCTCTAACCGTGTCTCCTCTTCTAGTGCTCTGGGACCCCGACACTAACACCGAGACTGACCTGCCCGACATGCCCGGTCAGATTGTCCGTGTCTACCCCGCCTCCGGTGCCACCGCCATGCTTCCTCTCACCCCCGAGAACAACTGGACGCCCACCGTCATATTCTGCGGTGGCATCTTCATGACCGACGACCAGTGGGGCAACTATCCTGGCCCTGGGCCGACACCTGGACCATCCCCTCGTCGAACAAGTGCCACACTATCACCCCGGAGCCCACAGATGGTTCTACTTCGGTGGACTACGTCGAGGTTGACGACATGCTCGAGACGGGACGCACCATGGGCCAGTTCATCGCCCTCCCCGATCTCACCATGCTCGTCATCAACGGCGGTGGGAACGGCACTGCCGGCTACTCGTCCCGCACTCTCAACACCCTCCAGCTGCCGTTCGGCGAGTCGCTCGCTTCCGCCCCCGTGGGCAAGCCCGCGATCTACAACCCTCGTGCTCCCGCCGGCTCACAGTGGTCGAACGCTGGCTTCGACACCTCGTCAATTGCCCGTCTCTACCACTCGTCTGCCATCCTCCTTCCAGATGCGTCGGTTTTGGTCGCCGGCTCAAACCCTAACGTGGATGTCAACACGAACGTGGTTTTCCCGACCACGTATACCGCCGAGGTCTTCTACCCTAGCTACTTTGCGGCCTCGAACCGGCCCACCTTCACCGGCGCTCCCTCGACGCTCACTTATGGCGGCCAGTTCTTCGACCTCACCCTCCCTTCCTCCGCGTACACCGGCTCCGCGAACGACGCGGCGGAGAACACCACCGTTGTCCTCATCCGCGGCGGCTGGACAACGCACGCGATGAACATGGGCCAGCGCTCCATGCAGCTCAACAACACCTACACCGTGAACAGCGACGGCTCGATCCAGCTCCACGTCTCCCAGCTCCCGCCCAACCCGAACCTCTTCCAGCCCGGTCCCGCCCTCCTCTTCGTCACCGTCTCCGGTATCCCGTCCAACGCGTCCTGGGTCACCGTCGGCTCGGGAACATCGAGACGCAGCCGACGCGGTCGCGGTCGCGCTCCCATCGTCCGTCGGGAACGACAACGTGACCGGCAGCGGGTCCGGGAACAGCACGGGCAGCGGCGACAGCAACAACAACAACGGCAAGAGCGGCGCGTCCCACACGGGCGCCATCGTCGGCGGAATCATCGCGGCGATCGCCGCCGTCGGAGTACTCGGTGCGCTGTTCGGGGTGTGGCGGGCGCGGCAGCGGCGCGCGGCCGCGCGACAGGCGTCGTCCGCGCGGGGGTACCCGATGGGCGGGACGACGTCTGTCCGCGCGGCCGCGGGCGGCGCGGGGGGTCGTGCGCTCAGGGGATCTGACTCGAGCGCGTTCGCGCCGGTGCCACAGGGTAGCTTGAACGAGGGCGGGGCGTGGGCGGCGGGGGCGAGCGCGAGCGCGCTGAGCTTGGACGGGCGCCCGCCGTCGCCGTACTACGACGACGCGCGGTCGCACAGCGCGGAGTTCGACCCGTACCACCAGAACGCGCCGAGGGTGAGCAACGCGAGCGCGCGGCCGGGGAGGTTTTGAAGAGGGAGGGGGAGGGGGTGGACAGGATGGTGTGCGTGGCACGGACCTTGTTGTGAGTTCGGAATATACTGTATACCTCATCGCTGTGTCGTTTTGCGCCGGGCGCGCTATTCACTTGCTTTTCATCACGCTCCCACGGACAGGTATCGGGCCCGCTTTTGACTTCCTGTGGGCTCCATGCCCACTGCGGCCGCCGAGCTTCCGCTGTTACTGCGTTCTGTATTTTTGTGCTCGCCATGACGCTCGTATACTCCATCTTTGTCATATACCCTCTCCGCTCACGACCTTCTGACGATTTCTCCTCTCTCCTAACACTGGCTATCTTTACATGCCGAAGCGCGTTCGAGAGCTGCGACCACGCCGGGAACACGTAGGAACATGCACGTCTCCAGGCGATCGGAGACGCTCTGACCGGTGAGATCGATTCATGCCGGGAGACGCGGTACTACGCCGCGTTTGAAGTCTGACGGAATTTCCAGACCGCGTGGAGTGCAGAGATACTGCTTGAGGCTGCGCTGAAGGACGTCCAGCAAGTACTATTGCAGTCCCCACAGGTGCAGAGGGTACGCGTCGCCGTTCGACGGATGCGCCAAGTCGTGGCTGGCTCCCGCCACTGCCCAGCCTGCTGAACTTGGAATTCAGTGGAGGAATTTGATGCTGTGCAGGCGTCGTAACATAGGCGCCTTTAGGATCCGAGCGCGGGGCGGGTCTCCTCGTGACTCCCACTTCGGACACCTGTCGCCGCCTTCCGCCTCCCAGTGCACTGTGCAGCGCTCGGCAGGGCGGTCTCCAGCGACTGCTACACCCACTGCCGTCGGTCCTGCAGTCTGTTCCAAGGCTGGAGGCACCGGGCTACTTACTATATTTGAGTACTTTTTGCGTATCCATGATGCCATCCGACTCACCCGCAAAACGGGCATGATCTCGGAGCAGGTCCATGCTTTCGTCGTTCACCCGGGCTGAAACACGGGGGTGGGTAAAGTGACAGGACCGCGGCTTGACGCGGCTCCGATCTCCCCAGCTCCCCAGCTGCTCCCCGTGCCGGTCTCAGCGGCCGGGCGACGCGCTCGCTACCTCCTTGCCGGTCATCGCTCCGGAGCCCACCCGCGCTCATGGGCTGCTGTTCCCGTCCGTCGCCTGCCGGCGACAGTTAAAGACGGAGCACACTCGTCTCTGCTCCCCGGTCTCTCTTTCTTCTTCGTCCTCTCCGTTTCGGCGCACGGCTTCCGCGTCTTCCAGGAATGGCCGCCTCCTTCGCCAAGGCCAGCGTGCGCGCGGCCCTCGCCGCACTTTCTCTCTTTGTTTTGGTTTCCGCGCCTCCACCCCAGGTCAACCTGCGACCCAGAACGCCCCCCTCGGGCAGTTCAAGATCGTGGGGAACAGTATCGTCAGCGCTCAACAGGTCCGTCTTCGGATCGCTCGGATCCTCGGTTTCTTGGCGCGCGCTCACGCTTCGGCCCGATGCCCAGCTCTTTCTCGGGACCTTGGACAAGGTGTACATTGTCGACAAGGTCGAGAACAACCCGACCCAGATCAACGGACACCCGGCGTGGGGGGCAGGTAGGGCGCGACCGTGTGCGGGGATATGCTTGGTGCTCACGCTCACGCGCAGAGTACTCGGTCAGCAAGAATGACGGCCGCGCGATGGACGTCGTGACGAACTCGTTCTGCGCTGGGGGCACCGTCCTCGGAAACGGGACGTGGATCAACGTCGGCGGCAACCAGGCCGTGAAGACGGGCGGCGACCCCGCGGACAGCCAGAACGGCGGCGGGGTGTACGACGACCCCGACGGCGGCAAGTCGTGCGTCGTCTGACTTGTTCTGTCCGATTGGGCTGTCAGACTGAAGCATCGCTTTACAGGATCCGGTGAATACAACTCTGGCGCTGAGGAGAACTGTCGCGCTCACTGTAATGATTCAGACTCATCGATCCGTGCGACGACGAGAGCTGCAACTGGGTGCTCGTACAGCCTATGACGACGAGGCGATGGTATCCAACTCTGTCAGTGATTTCGGCGACTGCGTGGCCGCCGTGTTCTGACATTGATCTCACGGTGCAGGGAAACTCTTGCGGATGGCTCTGCAATCATCGTGGGCTTTCTCGTCGGCTCACCAATGGCAGTGATGCTGATTTCTCTCCGATAGCTCGGAGGCGACCTGTGGGGCGGCTACGTCAACAGCGCCAGCCAGGACAACCCGACCTGGGAGATCTTCCCTCCCACGGACGACGGCATCGTGACCTCCAACTTCCTCTCGAGCACCCTCCCCGTCAACCTGTACCCGCTCGCATGGTCGCTCCCGTCCGGCAAGGTCTTCCTGCAGGCGAACTTCAAGACCGTCCTGCTCGACGTGAAGACGCACAAGGAGACCGCGCTGGACGACATGCTCGACGCCGTGCGCGTGTACCCGGCGAGCGGCGCGACGGCGATGCTCCCGCTCACGAAGGCGAACAACTACACCGCCACGCTCCTCTTCTGCGGCGGGTCCGACATCCAGACCGACCAGTGGACCCCGGACGCGTGGGCGATCGTGAACTACAACGCGTCGACGTCGTGCGTGCGCATCAGCCCGGACGCGGACGGCACGTACGCGCGCGACGACCCGCTCCCCGAGGGCCGCTCGATGGGCCAGTTCATCGCCCTCCCCGACGGCCGGCTGCTCATGCTCAACGGCGCGCAGACGGGCACGGCCGGGTACGGCACGCAGTCGTGGACCATCCAGGAGTCGTACGCGGACCACCCCGTCCTGCTCCCGGTCATGTACGACCCGAGCGCGCCGGCGGGCAAGCGGTGGTCGCGCGACGGCCTCTCCGCGAGCACCGTCCCGCGCATGTACCACTCGAGCGCGACGCTCCTCCCCGACGGTGAGCGGCTCGAGTCGGGCGAGCGGAAGGGCGCGCTGCTGACCTCGCCCCCGCAGGCTCCGTCCTCGTCTCGGGCTCGAACCCGCACGCGGACTACGCGGTCGACAACGTGACGTACCCGACGGAGTACCGGGTCGAGTACTTCTACCCGTCGTACTTCAACCAGCGCCGGCCCGAGCCCGCGGGCCTCCCGAGCGCGCTCTCGTACGGCGGCCCGTACTTCAACGTGTCGCTCACGAAGGACGACCTCGCCGGGGACCAGGCGAACGTCAAGAACACCACCGTCGTCGTCGTCCGCACCGGGTTCTCGACGCACGCGATGGTACGTCCCGCACGGCTGAGGGGAGCGCGTGCTGACTCCGAGCGCAACAGAACATGGGCCAGCGCATGCTCGAGCTCGAGATGACCTACACCGCGCAGACGAACGGGAGCGCGACGCTGCACGTCGCGCAGATGCCGCCCAACGCGGCGATGTTCCCCCCGGGCCCCGCTCGTGCGTTTTCCTCTCCCTTGGTCTGTCCGCTCCGCGCCCGTACTCACGGCGTCGTGACCGCAGTGCTGTTCGTCGTCGTCAACGGCGTGCCCTCCGTCGGCGTCCAGGTCATGGTCGGCAGCGGCAAGATCGAGACCCAGCCGGTCAGCGCGGCCGTGGCGCTCCCTTCGTCGCAGACGCTCTCGGACACGGACTCGTCGAACCCGAACGGCCCGTCGGAGTCGAACGGGAGCCCGGACGTGACGAAGCCGAACGCGGCGCGCGGCGCTGCACGCGCGCCCACCCTCGGCGCGGCAGGCGTGGTCGCGCTCGCGCTGCTGTGTGCGTCGTGGTAAGTACTTAGGACGCTTTGCTCTCATGTCTGCAGGACTGTGACGAACCTCGACGACCGTGGACACTGTGGGACTCTGACGCCCCGTGCCAGACACTTTTACGATGATTCAATATGGCATGGTGTTCTACTCCCGTGCTAATAGTGTATCCTACTGCAACGTCGTGACTCGTATCTCCGTGGACTTTTCTGCATTACATTCATACGTCGCCATTGGACCTTCTCCCCTTGGACATCTGTACCCTCACACCGCAGTGCTTGTTCGCACGGCTTGGCCGCTTCCCTTCTTTTCGTGATTACTTTAGGTCCATAGTTAAAGGCCCCCGCGCACTTGCACATTGCAATCGATGACACCGTCGCATATCGCTGAGGGTTTGAAGGAGAGGAGGCAGAGCACACAACCGGAGTCTGCGAGGTTGACTGGCTCTAGGAGCACTGTGCGATGCGAATAACATATGTCTATGGTACACTATATGATTGCCACCACGTCCATCCGAGACCAAGCACGATCGACAACAGCACCGTCCAGCGCACACACCTAGAGGCGCGAAGAGCGCGCTCCGACCCGAAAGCAAAGCTGGACAGACAAAACGTACACCGACACTCAAGTACTCAACGCTCGACCCCCCACCCGCTCCCCCCGGCGAGCGGCGCTACGCCTGCGTCCCCACCCGCTTCGGTGCCATCGCAGGCAGCTGCATCCCTGGGGAAGGCTCCATCTGCGCCGTGCGCACCGCGCTCCGCGACCCGCCCCGCGTCTTCTTCGGGGACCCCCACTCCGCCCCGCGCGCGCGGAGCACCGCGCCTCCGCCCCCGCCATCCTCTTCCGTCTCCGCGTCCGTCTCCGTGTACGGCACGACCCCCGCGCGCCCGCGCGGCTCGTCGCTCCCGCACCCGTTCCGCCGGTGCGTCGGGTGCGTCGGGGGCCGCCACGCGTCGAGCTCGACGCCGTCGCGCTCGCCCGCGCGCCGGAGCGCGCCCGCGGGCGCGTCGTTCAGGCTCGCGGACGCCGCCCGGCGGTCCTCCGCGGGGGCGCGGGGGCGCGGGATCGCGACGCCGGCCCCACCGCTCGCACCCCCGCTGGGCCCGGCGTGCTTCCGGCGGGAGCGAGTGACGTCCTCAAGCTCGTGCTCCCAGTCGAGCTCGTCGCTCGTGCTCGACGGCGTCCCGCTTGGGGGCGCGGAGTCGAGGCTGAGGCGCGCGGCGAGCGAGGGCGCGCCGAAGAGCTGCGCGGGCGCGTGCGGGTGGGGCTTCGCCGCCGCGGAGCGCTGCAGGCTGGACGCGAAGGCGTCGAGCAGGCCTTGAAACGCGGAGGGCGGCGGGGCGGCTGCGGAAGCGCCGGCGCCGCTGAAGCCGGAGGGGAGCGCGGAGCGGCTGCGTTTGGGGCGGCCGAGCGCGGTGGGGAGCGTGGCGGCGGAGGAGAAGGCGGGGAGGCGGCGCGTGGACTCGAGCATGGGCGAAGGGTGGGCGGGTGGGGGGAAGTAGGAAAGCTGGGAGGCGGGTACTCGCCGTATGGTAAGCTTGCCGATGTCCGGGAGGTCAGAGTTGGCGGCTTTGGGACTGTCGTCGAGAGAGATGAGAGGTTGGGAGGGTGGGCTGCTGGAGCGCTCTTGGGAATCCGGGTACGAGGAGAGCGGTTGGCCGTCGGCGGCGGCCCGTGTGGTGAGATCTATGAGGGCGCCTCTAAGGTGTAATGCCTGACGGGTCTTGTCTACTGGGATATAGAGCACCTTGCGGAGGTGTATCGAGTCTGATGTCCACATCTGGTTCGCGCGCCGAAGTTCAGGCAGGGTAATGCCGTATTTGAGGGCGACGCCTGCCAATGAATCTTTCGGTTGGACCTACGAAGAGAGCATGTAAGCGTGCTGGACCTGCAACAGATAGATGAGAGGAAGAAGAGAGCAGTTTGAGATGAAAATATGCATGGGATGACGAGGATCCATTGGCTTCGTCGAGTCTGATCTCCACGATGCCCGCCCTCGAAAGCTCACAGGAAGGCCAGTCCGGTGGCTGTCTACCGGGAAAATATCCGGCGGATTCATGGGCTAACGTGCATTAAAGACAGCGTGAGGGAGAGGTGTCGATCTTGGGAGGACGTGGGCTCGAGAGCAGACTCCGTCACTGAACTCACCTCATGCACGATCACCAAAGTCTCCCGGTCGTTCGCATTCGAGTCCGCCCCGGTATCCACCGGACTATCCGGCACATCGTCTTTGGCACCGTTCGTGGTCAGCACGCGTCGCATCGACGGGCGGGTGCCGTGCTCGCTCGTCGACGCCCGGCTTGACGAGTGCTTGAGCGGGTGATGGGGCGTGTTCATCGAGCCCTGCTTCGCAAGCCAGTAGCCCCCTGCGCTAGCGTGGTCGTCGAGCGTCCGGGAGCGGCCGTGAATGGGGCTCGGGGGAGCGTCGCCGTCCCGGTCGGGAGACGGGTGGTCGATGCGTCCGCGGCGGGCGAGGGTGTCAGAGCCGCGTCTGCGCTTCGAGGTATCGTTTCTCCGGAGGGCGGAGGACGAGGCGGAGGCGGAGTGAGAGTGCACCTGGGGTTGGGAGGTAGAGGCGGAGGGGGAGGGAGCGTATGGGTGCGAGGGGTGGGGACCCGCCTGCGGGTGGGTGTCGGCCCAGACGGCGGCGAACACATCGTCAGCGGGGTCGAGAGTGGAGGTGGCCACGCGCGTCGCCATGGGGCGCGAGGGAGGGACGGGGGATGGAGGAGGAGGTTGGTGAATGGGAGAGGAGGCTTGCAAAACGGCATCTTGAGGCGGTCCGCCGTCCGACTCCCAGGCCCCGCGACGTCCGTTGCTTCTTCCGCCCTTCATCCATCCGCGCCATGGCCACCACCGTTTCCCGTTCGAAAAGCTTGGTCCCATACAGTCTCCCAAACAGCAAGCTCGTGCACAGCGACTCGTCCCTATGTAATTAGGCGTCTCATCCGTGGTGTCCAGCCAACGTCCCCGTGTGTCTATATTCGTCCTACCAGCGGCCCGTCACGTGTGGCTAGAGACGCTGTTGTAGTCTCGGGATTGAAACCCCGAGTCAGACGGTCAACGTCTGCTCGCCCTGGGGTGGTCCAAGCTTAAGCGTACATCGCGCATCCACCTCGGACTGAGCACGAGGTCTTTTCGCTTCTCCGGCGTACGACCGCAGGCGCCTCAAACAGATGACCGGCGACCGTGACATTGTTCCGATTCGATTACCTACAGTACTTGGTGCCCCTGTCCAAAGATATGAAGGGCTCCAGCTTCAGGAGTGCAGGTCGCGGGGGGCGTGGTCGGGCGGATAGTCGGACCGGCTCATAGGCGAGCCCAAGACATACGCAGTTCCAGAGGATTGCTTTCCGCGAGGCTGAAAGGGAGCAGGGGAAGTCCGACGAATGGACCGGTCGGGATTAGACAACCCCCGTCCGAAGACAACCCCCGTCCGAATTTGTAGAGCTCTCCCCTGGGCGAGCCCATTTCTATGAATTTGTAGAGCGCGCCTCGAGCCCATGTTTTGGGACCTCGGAGAGGGCGGCCCGCGCGCCTGGCGCCATTTGGGGAATGGCCGGCGGGGTCCGCGCGGATTCACATGCGTCGCCGCCGGGGAGGCCTCCTCCGGCCTGGGGCGTATAAGACATCCCCGCATACAGCCACGTCGTCCACTCTCCTCCCCACCCTCCCCCACATACCCCGCTCTATCACCATGGCCCAGGTTATCGTCGTCGGTGGTGGTCTCGCCGGTCTCTCCGCCGCCCACACCCTCCTCGAGCGCGGGGCCAATGTCCTCCTCCTCGACAAGCAGCCGTGAGTACTCTTGCACCCTCCCTCTCGCTCTCTCGAGAACTTCGCCGCCGGTGTCCCTCAGTTCATCTGGCGAACCGTGCTCGGTCACGATGCGGAGCAGTACCCCACTCGTCGATCCCGTCGGTTCCACGCTCGTTTCGGGTTCTCCTGCTGACTGACTTCTGCTCCAGTTTCATGGGTGGCAACTCTACCAAGGCCACCTCTGGTATCAACGGCGCAGGAACCCAGACTCAGCAAGAGGAGGGCATCCCCGACAACGCCAAGATCTTCTTCGAGGACACCAAGAAATCGGTCAGTCCTCCCCTCCCAGTCCCTCCCCCAACGCGTCTCACCCCACCCGCAGGCACGCGACCTCGCCCGCGACGATCTCATCCGCGTCCTCACCGGCCGCTCCGGCGACGCCGTCAACTGGCTCCAGGACAAGTTCGCCCTCGACCTCTCCAAGGTCGCCCGTCTCGGCGGCCACACCCACCCCCGCACACACCGAGGCAACGCCCAGTTCCCCGGCATGGTCATCACCTACGCCCAGATGGAGCGCCTCGAGGACCTCGCCGAGTCCGTCCCCGACCGCGTCCAGATCAAGAAGCGCGCCCGCGTCTCCAAGCTCCTCAAGGACGAGGCCGGCGCCGTCATCGGTTGCGAGTACGTCTTCAACGGCAAGACCGAGACCGCGTACGGCCCCGTCATCCTCGCCACTGGCGGCTACGCCGCCGACTTCACCCAGGACTCGCTCATCAAGAAGCACCGCCCCGAGTACTACAACCTCGCCACTACCAACGGCGAGCACTGCACTGGTGACGGCCAGAAGATGGCTGTCGCCGCGGGCGCGAGCGCGATCGACCTCGAGAAAGTGCAGGTCCACCCGACCGGCCTTGTCGACCCCAACGAGCCCGACGCGAAGGTCAAGTTCTTGGCCGCGGAGGCGCTCCGTGGTGTCGGCGGTCTGCTTCTCGACAACACTGGTGTTCGTTTCGTCGATGAGCTCCAGCACCGTGACTACGTCACTGGCAAGATGTGGGAGAACGGCAAGGTAAGTTCGACTCTCCATTGCGCGTTTTCCGTCTGCTCAGCGTGCACCCTCCAGTTCCCCATCCGTCTCGTGCTCAACGGCCCCGCGTCGGCGGAGATCGAGTGGCACTGCAAGCACTACGTCGGCCGTGGCCTCATGAAGCGTTACGAGTCGGGCGAGGCGCTCGCAAAGGACATGGGCATCCCCGCCGCGACGCTCAAGAAGACGTTCGACGACTACAACGCGGTCGTGAAGGCGAAGAAGGACCCCTTCGGCAAGAAGTTCTTCACGGACGCCGTGTGGAAGATGGACGACGTCTTCAACGTCGCGATGATGGAGCCCGTCCTGCACTACACCATGGGCGGCCTCGAGATCGACGCCGAGTCGCGTGTCGTCGACACCAAGGGCAAGCCGATCCCCGGCCTCTTCGCCGCGGGCGAGGTTGCCGGCGGTGTGCACGGCGCCAACCGTCTCGGCGGTTCGTCGTTGCTCGGGTGCGTCGTCTTCGGCCGTGTGAGCGGCGACTCGGCGGCGTCGTACCTCCTCCACCGCATCGGGCCCCTCGCGGCACAGGCAGCGGGCCGTCTCGGCGTGGTCGCAGGCCACCTTGGTGCGGAGAGCTCAAGCTCGAAGGTGCGTCACCCTCCCCCTTTCTCGACCGTCCAGCTTGCTGATCTTGCGTTTTCTGGTGTCCAGCCCGCAGAAAAGAAGGCGGAGGCAGCGTCCGCGAGCTCATCAAGCTCGGGCGGCGCGTGGACGGCGGAGGAGGTCGCGAAGCACAACAAGAAGGACGACTGCTGGGTGATCATCGACGACAAGGTGCTCGACGTGACCGGATTCCTCGCGGACCACCCCGGCGGGGAGAAGGCGATCCTGCTCTACGCCGGGCGCGACGCGACGGAGGAGTTCAACATGCTCCACGACCCGAAGGTCATCCCGCGGTACGCGCCCGAGTCGGTCATCGGCTCGGTAAAGAAGTAGGCGCGTCCGTGAGATGGACTAGGGAGGGTTTCTCGTCTTTGCGTAATTTACTGCTTATCCACACTGCTGTACCACCCCCCACCTACGTACTCATTCACGCCTTCGCCCGCTGAGGCTTGTAATCTTACGCACTCGGTGCACCAAAGCCCTGTCGTGCGCACCCGTGATATCTGTCGGGCACCTCGTCTGCCCACCACTTGTCCCCCGCGACACAGGATGCCTCCTCTACCTCCCGAATACCCACTCCACCTCCCTCCCCTCTTTCCGCGCCAACAGGGCGCACAGCCGGCAGAACGCCGCCCGCTGTCCCTGCGAGCCCTCGACGCGTGTCGCGAAGGAGCTCGCCCCGAGCACGCGCACGCAGCGCGCGCACTCGATCCGGCGCGCGTGCGGCTGCGGCGCCCCAAGCACGTCCAGCGGCATGAACTGGGTTAGGTGCAGCGAGAGGTGCAGCGCGCGGAGCTCGCGGGTCTGGTACACGGCGAGGTACCGCGCGGAGATCTGCTTGAGCAGCTCGGGGTTGCGGAGGTAGCTCTTCTGCTGGAACACGGCGTGCATGTGCGCGAGGAGCGCGATGGTGCGCGCGGCGTGCTGCAGGAGGCGGGCGGGGAGCGGGCGGGTCATCCACATCTCGGAGCCCTGCTCCTCGTGCATCTTCGTCACCACCGCTGGGGGAGACGTTAGCACCTGAGAGGGGAGCGCGGCCGAGAGGAGGGCAGCGTACGGTCTTTGGTCCCCTTCTTGTCGACGACTTGGAAGAGGGCCGCGCAGTGGTCGAGCGTGAAGAGCCGGTAGATGCCGTCGAGCATGGTGGGGTCTTGGGCTATTTCTGCCTTGAGCCTCTTGAAGAAGTCGGAGGTGTGCCGCAGGCGGAGGCCTGTCTTGTTCTTCGAGGTGAACTGGCGCTGGAAGACCTCCGCGACTTGGAGGTCGAGCACCCCCCGGACGACGACCTCGAACGTCTCGACGAGTTCAATCGTGTCGGCACGGCCGTCCCAGACGATCTTTGCGATGTCCCCGCGGTGGAGGAGGCGTCGGAGGGGTGCAAGCAGGGGTTCTGTGGGTCGGACAGCGTGACGGCGTCGAAGAGGTATATCCGGGAGGCGTCTTCATTGCCGAGAGCTAGGAGCCCTAGCGCTCCGCCGGGCATGCCGAGGTTGCGCCCCTCGCAGCTGAGGAGGAGCGTCGGGGAGGAGGCCAGTTCGCCAGCTGCTATGGCGGCTTCCTCGTATGTCGAGCATAGTTGGAACGTAGTCATAGCTGGACGTTGGTGGGAGTGAGTGAAACGGATCAGCAGTTCTGAGCAAACACTTACTTTTGGCGGCAGGTTAGACTGGACGACGGTAAGGAGAAAGAGAGAGCATGGTTGGTGTGAGCGGCGAATATTGGCGCATTCTACCGCAGCACCGTGTGCGTCGATGAACTCGTGCCATACAAACAGGTCTGGCGAACGCAAGGCAAGTCAAATAGACTTGACGCTGGGAACCTCAGGTTCAAGGTCTCGATACAATCGACGCCGGAGAGCAGGCCGGAAAGTTCAAAAGTGGAGGAACTGCGAGGAGTCAAAGATACGAAGCCGCTCAGCTAGCACTCATACAACGTATTCATGGAAGGTGAATTGCCGCAGTATCCACCGCAGCACCCTGAGGAATCCTATGGAACCCAGACTTCTACGGCTCGCCTACCCACTCCACCTGCTCTCCTTCTTTCCGCACCAACAGCGCGCACAGACGGCAACATGCCGCGCGCTGCTTCTGTTTGCCTTCGACGCGAGTACTGAAACAGTCCGGGGAGAGCCCGCGGGTGCAGCGCACACACACGATCCGGAGCCCGGGCGAAGGCGCGCGCAGTACGTCTAGCGGCATGAACTTGGTCAGGTGCAGCGGGCTGTGGAGCGCACGGAGTTCGCGCGTGGGGTACACATCGAGGTAGCGTCTGCTGGTCTGCTTGAGCAACTCGATGTCGCGGAGGTAACCATTGGAGCGGAACCGCCTGTGCATGAGCGCAAGGAGCTCTATGTCGCGCGCGGAGTACTTGAGGAGATGGGCGGGGAGAGGCCTAGTCATCCACATTTCGGACTCCTGCTCCTCGTGCATCTTCGTGACGACCGCTAAAAAAGTGGGCGTCATCAGAGAGGAGTAGCAACTTGGGGGAAAAAGCACGGACGATCTTTTCCCGCCTTCCCGTCAATGGCATGGAAAAGCTTGGCACATCGGTCGAGCCCGAGAAGCCGGTAAATGCCTTCGAGCATGGCGGGATCCTCTTCAATCTCCGATTTGAGCTTCTTAAAGTAGTCTGGAGTATGTTGCACTCGGATACTTTTGGTGTGGGTCTTCGGTATGTTTTGGCGATGGACCACTTCAGCCACTTGCAGATCGAGGACTCCACGGACGACAACGTTATAGGTCTCAAGGATCTCGAAGGCGTCGGAGCGGCCGTCCCACACGACTTTGGTGATGCCGTCATCGCCGAGGATTCGCAACAAGGGTTCCAGAAGCGGGTGCCTCGGGTCGGAGAGCGCGACGACATCGAAGAGGTAGATCAAAGAGGCCTTTTTGTTGCCGAGAGCCAGGATGCCTAGCGCACCCCCGGGCATCCCGATGTTCCGCCCCTCGCAGTCAAGGAAGATCATCGAGGAAGAGGCGAGTCGCTCAGCTGCTTTGGCGGCGTCTTCGTAAGTGGAGCATAGTTGAAACTTCGTAGTCATTGCTAAGACGCTGGACCTTGGCCTGAGTGAGTTGCAAGAAAAGAAGGAACTTCTGCAGAGCAACTACTCACTTTAAAACGACAGGTCAGACCGAACAATGGTGAGGAGAAAGAGAGGGCGGCGCTGGCGCTGGCTGCGTGTTCTACCGCAGCACCGCAGGAGGAGCCCCGCGAGACGCCCGTGCCGTACAATGGCGAGCGCGAGGCGGATAAGATAGACTTGACGCTGGCAACCTCGGGTCGACCTCGATACAATCGGGTGAAAAGTGAAGGGACTGCAAGAAGTCAATCATATCGGAGGAACCCTGACATATACTCGTACTACTCGCCTACCCACTCCACCTGCTGTCCTTCGTTCCGCACCAACAGCGCGCACAGACGGCAAAATACTGCGCGCTGCTCCTGTTTTCCTTCGAGGCGAGTACTGAAGCAGTCCGCTGAGAGCTCGCGCGTGCAGCGCGTACACACGATCCGGAGCCCGGGTGAAGGCGCGCGCAGCACGTCTAGCGGCATGAACCTGGACAGCTGCAGCGGGCCGTGGAGCGCACGGAGCTCGCGCGAGGAGTTCGTGGCCATATAGCGCGCGGAGATCTCCTTGAGTCGGTCGAGGTCGAGGAGGACGTTCTCCCTGCGGAAGGTGGCGTGCATGCGCGCGATAAGTTCGATATCGTGGGCCGAGTACATGAGCAGCCGGTCGGTGAGGGGGCGGGCCATCCAGACATCGGTACCGTTCTGCTCGTGCATCCGTACCACGACCTCTGGGAGTACAAGGATCAGAAGAGAGAATGTAAAGCGAGAGAAGGCGCGCACCGTCTTTACCCGCGTCCGCAAGCTGGAAAATCTTCGCGCAGTGGTCAAGTCCGAACAGACGGTATATGCCGTCAAGCATGGCGGGGTCCTGCCGGATCTCCCGCTGGAGCACTGAGTTCCTGAAGAATCTGGTGGTGTGGTGTGATCGTATGGCTTTGCCATCGTTCATCTTCGAGCCAATCTTCCAGTGACGCTGGCATACTTGGGCAACCTGCAGATCGAGGACCCCCCGAACGACGATACCGTATACCTCGAAGATCTCCAGAATATCGTTACGTCCATCCCAGACGACTTTGACGATATCTTCTCGCTGAAGGAGCTGCAGCAGGGGGGCTAGAAGTGGGTGTTTCGGGTCGGAGAGCGCGACGACGTCGAAAAGGTAAATCAGGGATGCATCCTCATTTCCGAGAGCCAAGAGCCCCAGCGCGCCGCCGGGCATTCCTATGTCGCGCCCTTCACAGTCAAGGATGAGTGTCGAGGAGGAGGAGAGTTCTCCAGCCGCCTTGGCAGCCCCCTCGTAGGTTGAGCACAGCTGGAATGCGTTCATGGCTGAGATCAAACCTGCTGGTGAGATACACAGATGTGGGGAGCGAACTACCACTCACTTCTGGCGGTGGAGGAATCCGGGAGATGGTGGGAGGAGAGAGACGGCGCACTGCGGCAGGCGTGGGCGATGGCTAGTTTCAAGGGCTTACCGCAGCAACGAATGTTCTCCGAGGCAGCCCGTTGCAGGAATGTGTTCTTCCATAAGTGCCATAGAAAGCACATAGACGACATTCACGGCGAGTTCCGTGTCCAGATAGTGGAAACAGCTGCGCGCAGTTACTGGGACCGAGCATCCGAACGATCTCATTGAGCGCCGAGGGTTCTCTTCCAGTTCGTTTCTGAACGGCTTGAAGTATTCGACGGTATGAGCCACGCGCCATTTGATGATGCTTTTCAGTGTCTGGCACTGCAGAGCTTCCGCAACCTGTATGGCGAGAACGCCATGCACCACGACACCAAAAGCTTCCAGAATTCCCATGTAGAAACCGCGACCGTCCCACACAATTTTTGTAACGCCCTGATCTTGGAGGAGGTGCAACAGGGGGGCAAGAAGGGGATTGTGCGGATCGGTGGCGAGGGCGGGAACCTCAAAAGCATGAATACGGGACGCGTCTTCATTGGCGAGGAGCAGGACACCGAGTGCGCCTCCTGGTAAACCCATGTCGGAGCCATATCATTCGAGCAGGATGGTGGAGGAAGAGGAAAGGTTGGAGACCGCGGGTCTGACCACGACGATCGCTAAGGAGGGAAGGTCAGGCGGTGAAGTTGATTTATGACCTGAGGACCTACCGCAGCACTGTAAGCTTCTTTGGGGCCACGGGAGTAAAAGTTTGCACGTTCTGACCTGAGGTAGTTGTGTGAAGAGGATCCATTTCAGCTTCTCAACATTTACTCTTTGAACAGCTACACTGAGCATGAGCAATGAGTCCCCAATCCGCCTTCCACGAGCATCAGCGTCATCAAAAAAGAGGAGGGCGATGGGATATACACACCGAAAAGCTGCGGTTTTATGCCACCTCCACCCACCCCGTCGCCCCTCCCCCGTGTTGCTTGACCATCAAGGCGCACAGTCGACAAAGTGTCGCCCGCGAAGCCGTCGCATCCTCGCTGCTCATAGCAAAGCAACCAGCGGAGAGGACGCGCTTGCACCGCGCGCACTCGAACTTGCACACGCCCGGTGCTGGTGATTCGAGCACGTCGAGCGGTACGAATAGGAGCATGCGGAGGTCTCCGTGGAGCGCGCGTAGCTCGCGGGAGGGAAATGATTGTATGTAACGCTCGGAAAGCGGCATGAGCAGATCAGGGTCGGATATGTAATTGAGGGTTTGAAACCGGACGTAGAGGCATGCGAGCAGCGCGAGGTTGTCTGCGGTATGAAGGAGGATGGAGGAGGGAAGGGTACGTTGCAACCACATGCCGGCACCGAGGTTGCGCCGCATATCCGCCTTGATCTCCATCCGTTTCTTGAACTCGGCTGGAGATCGGTTTAGAGTAGATAGCTCTCGAAGGACAGCCGGGAACTCACGGCTGCGGATACGTTCGTTGTCCGCTGTCAGCAGGAACCTGCGCGTGCTGTGGTCGAATCCGAATGTCCGGATAATTCCGGTAAGCAACGAGGGATCCGCTTCGATTTCGTCCTTGAGCTTCTTGAAGCCCCCCTGAGTATGCTTCCACCGGGGTTTCCATCCCTTCTTCATGGTCTGACGTTGAAACGCTTCCACGACCTGCAGGTCGAGGACCCCGCGAACGACGACACCAAATGCCTCGATTATCTCCAAGACTTCCGCACGGCCGTCCCAGACAATCTTCGTGATGTTGCCGTTCTGGAGGAGGCGGAGCAGGGGTTTGAGGAGAGGGTTATGTAGATCAGAGAGGGCCAGAGCGTCGAAGGCATGGATACGGGATGCGTCTTCATTGGCGAGGAGCAGGATGCTCAGTGCGCCTCCTGGGGAACCCATGTCGGGACCGTAGCAGTCGAGCAAAAGGGTCATGTAAGAGGAAAGGTCGGAGACCGCATCGGTAACAGCCTCATATGTAGAGCATAAGGAGACCATGATTATCTGGGCCAAATTTGAGCACGGAGCAAATGCTAAGTAGGTGAAACGCAGTCACTCACAGCAGCGGGATGGCAATGATCATGTGGTAGTTGCATGAAGAGATGCCAGCGGACAGAACCTACCGTAGCAGCGCGCGCGTGGGACAGTCACACGATCTCTGTACCTTCGATAGCACGTCGATACATGAAGATGGCCTCTACGTCGTGTGTATATACTCTGAAAAACACCGCGTCAGCAGTTGCCGGGTTCCAGTGTGACATACTCACAATCGTACACACCCAACCCGTCCCCCCACCACCATCCACAAGCTCATCTACTCAGCCCTCCACCAATCGTCGCCACGACCACGACGAGTAACGTGATGGTGACGACGCGCGCGAGCACCGACTCCCGCGCGACATAGTCCGAAGCCCGTGGTCCGTCACCAGTCGGTAGTGGACCCCGCCTGCCGGGCGCGTGTGGGTGGTGTATCCCTCCGGCGCGACCGTAGCCGTAGTGGAAGGACGCGCCGTCGTAGTGCCCGCCCGCGCCGGGCGCGGACTGGGAGGAGCGGGCGTGGTTCGGGCGGCGGGAGTACTCCCAGGCGTGCGTCGCGCCGCGCCTCCGGCCCTCGTGCGAGTGCGCCCAGTGCGAGTGCGGGTGCTGGTGCGCGGCTTCGGGGTTGGTGTACGCGGTGCGAGCAGTGGAGGACGAGGGGGACTGGGTGCGGTCGTATGACCGTCTGAGGGCAGGGGGCGCGTTGAGGGGAGAAGGGGGCTGAGGAGGGAAGGGAGGACGCGTACCGTTGCCTGTCGTCTCCGAGTACTGCATATGCGGCGCTCACAGCTTGGAAGCGGTCCTTCGCGGCTGGATCCTTGTTTACGTCGGGGTGGAACTGTTTGCTGAGCTACAGGGTCTGACGGGGTTAGTGTGCGTCAGGGGAGGAAGGCCCAGCGTTTCGTACCTTGTAGTAGCTGGCCTGCGTGAGATGAGCTTCCGTACGACGCGAGGCCAAGAAGAACGGACCTTTATTTGGCTCTTGGTGGCATTCCTAGGCACGCCCAGTGTCTCATAGTGGCCGGAACATGACGAAGAAGACGTGAACTCGCGTCGTGGGAACCTTGGCAGAGAGGAGGTCGATGGTCTGCTGTGGTGAGATGGCGCCGCGCGAAGGGAGGGCATCAACGCCTCCTGGGGTGGGTGAAGGGGATGAAGAGGGATGACGGCGGCGGAGAGCAGCTTGCACCACGCTCGCGTCCCACCGGAGCTCCCGGCCCGCTCTCCACTCGCAGACCATTCTGACTAGGTTCAATTCAATATTCAATGCTATCACTTATTGGGGACAAGTGTCGTGCAGCACAGGGTTGGAAATGCCCCCCATTGATAGGTCGGAACCTCTGCAAAATTCGCGCTACATCTGGTGGGTACGGACACGGACACGGCAGCCATGATTGGGACCCCACAGTGCACACAGTAGTACAACGAGAGAATACAGAACAGTACCGCGTGCTCAGTCGAACAGACTGAGACCCTGCACTTCTTGTCAATGGTTGCGCTCTTTGGATACGGACGAGAAGAACGCACGATGTCGTCATCGGAATCCTCCTCGTCCTCCTCGTCCTCCTTCTCCTCTTCCTCCTCTGGCGCTCCCGCGGCGGCACCAACCGCTGTGGACGCGACACCAACGGCCGGGCCAGCACCACCCGCACTGACGTTGGAGAGGAGGTCCTTGACGTCCTTGCTCTCGAGCGCCTTCGCGAGGAGAGATGCCCAGATGGGCTCGAGCTCAACACCTGCGGCGGTCGTCAGCGCGAGGATTTTGTCGGCCTGCACTCGAGCCTTGGGTCAGCACGAGCACAGGACATAATTATCGGGGTGACTGACAGTGATTTCAATGCCATCGTCGGCGAGAATGAGGGCAGCGTAGGTAGCGGCAAGTTCAGCCGTGGCCTGGGGACATTCGTCAGTTGGCGTGCTGAAATGACTAAGGTTGCGAGAGCAGTGCGTGGATTCGATGCTCACCATTGCGATGGTTTGTAGGGATGGGTTCGACGATGGTGACTACATATCAGGTGACGCTCGGTTTTGAAGTAGCCCACGGACGTCCATCGCGGGAGCGAAGAGTCCTGTGCAGGGATTCATTCTGACTGTATGCTTGTGTAAGTGACACGGGGTGACTCTTGTAGATGCAACAGGACTTGCCTCGCGGCCCCGGTCGCTTGACAGTTACCTTGTGAGCCGATGGCGTTCAAACAGTCTTGAACGGTCAGACTGAGACAAACGTTGTCCGTCAGCGGAAGATGGCACGTGCTCTGCCGCTGAGTGCCGGATGGGGTCTGGGGAAGAAGGCGCCGGACTGCAGCGTGCTTTCCTCGAGGCCACCACCGCCCACCTCCCCCCGCCGTCGTCTCCGTCGTGCGCACGTTCAGTCGTGTCCCGCGCGTCGGTCCTTCTTCCATCGGTCCTCATGACGCTCAACATCCTTGTCTCTTTCTCCCTGCTCGCTCTGGTCGTCACAGCCCGTCCTCTCAATGACGCGCCACAATCGTACGTGGCCACTCTCCCGCCTCTCCACTCCTGCTCATCCCATCTCTCGCAGCGTGAAGCGTTCCCTTCAGGTACAGAATGCGGTTCAGGCCCTCTTCGAGTCTCGCACAGGGTCAGTACACTTGCATCTTCGTCACCCTCCTTCCCACCGCGCCCGGCGGGCACGCCTCTCGTTCATATCAATCTGTCCAAGGAGGTTTCCGAAGCTCATTTCCCCATTCATCTCAGGCGATCTCCCGATTGCTTAGCATGCGAAGACAACGACGACGTCCACGTTTCGCTCACCACTTCCGAAGAGCAATCTGCTCTCCTCGAAGACCTTGAGGCCCTTGGCGCCGTAAAGGCCGTCATCCCTCTCAACGTCGATGGCACCCCCGCCGAAGACGAGCAGCAGCTGTATGAGATTCTCAAGGCGATCAACCTCGGTTCAGGATTGTCGCTCGAGGACCTTGACGGCGATACCGCCCTCGCCACCCAGGAGGACGCCCCCGCAGAGATCGCCTCTGAAGACGCCGTGACCGAGGAGCGCTCTCCCTCTCCGGAAGAATCCTCCTCGGACTTCCTCGACGTTATCTTCGGCGAAATGGCGTCGCCTCCCCTCGCCGTCCTCGCCGTCTCCTGCTTTGCAGCCTTCCTCGCCGTCTTCTGCGTCGGCGCAGGACTGTATGCATACAACCACCTTAACAAACTCATGAACACCTCCGATCTCGCTTGGGACTTCCTCCCGCGCCTCGAGAAGCAGATCGGCCTCGACACGACTCACGACGATAACGACAACGGCCCCGACGGTGGTGTCCCCGAGAAGCGCAGGCTGCTCGGCGACGGCCCGTTGGCGCCCATGAACGTCTTCCCGGAGAAGGCAAGCGACGATCTGAACGAGAAGGCCAGCGAGTTTGCGGACGCCGAGGACCACCTTTCCGACGACGAAACCGATTTCGACGACTCGGAAAAGTTCCACGACGCTCCAGAACCCTCGTTGCTCTTCGCCGGTTCGGACCAGTCGCCGCAGTACCAGCCCCGCCCGGACGTTCCCACCATCGTTATCGACGAGCACGCCGACCCGGACTTCCTCCCGCTCCCGGACATTGAATCGCAATCGACCCCGTTCGCCACGCCGCTTCGGACACCCGCGCACTCACCCGCACCGCAAATGCGGGAGATGGCGGGCAGCCCGACGATGTCGAGCAAGCCGCTCTGGTCGCTCCGTGCTGCCGACGCACCGCGCTCGGACTCGCGTCGCCTATCGCGCGCAGCGAGACCCCGATGCCGGGGGCGCTGTTCGTAGACGACGCGCCGGAGATGACACAGGTGCAACGCCCGCGTGGGCGTCCGACGCCACGGCAGCCAATTGACATCGCGTTCGCGCTCCAGCTCCGTCCGGGGCTGGGTGCGGGCGCGGACTCGGCATGGCTCGTGCGGTTCCTCATGGCGATGTTCGGGTGGATGACGTTCTTCGTTGGTGCACCGAGGGAACAGCAGCAGCGCCGCGCGATTGCGGCGTGAGTTTGTGTGCCCGGATCTTGAGGTTCTTGGTATCGGTTTGGCACCATCCTGCATTTGCGTCTATCCCGGCACCCTATGCATCCACCCTCCATCATTGCATCAGCATCGTTTTGCATTTTTACCCACAATTGACACTCATCCCGTTCAAACAGCTCCGCACCTCCCCCTGCATACACCTCCCACCCCGCCCGTCCGCAATGTCGATATGTCTTCTATACTGTTAATTAGCTGCGCAATGCTGTTGCTAAAGCCCTTCTTTCATTCCCCTTCTACTCGCCTTTGCATCGTCCCGTCCCCGACACGTACGTAGTCGTTCCCGACCCCGCGACGGACCATACGTGTGCGGGACGGTGCATATCCGTACGCTCCCTGTTCTGAGTCCGCCATACCCCTGACACTGTGCCGTATGTTAGTGTACCCTACACGCATTAATGTTATTGTCAGGGTGCGTGTTTTGCCCAAGATGAGGCTTGCGGCTTGCCGCAGTCGATGGTCGCGGGACACGTGCACTGTAGGGCAGTGGTGGGGTTAGGGTTCGGCGGATGGCTTGGGGTCGTTTTCTGCAGGCTGCAGCTCTGTCCCCGACCGTCTATGCCGCCCCGCCCGCCGCTCCTCCCGCCCGCCGGCTCATTCTACCCTCCCAACGATGGAGCAACTTACCGCGACCTGCTGCTCTTTGAGGAGCGTCTCAAGACGAACGCCATGAGCCTCACCCGCAGAAAGCGGCGGTATCAACGTGCGTGAGTTGCTGCCCGTCCGTCTCGTCCTTCCCTCGCCGCCTGCTCACCCTGGCCGACGCGGGTGGCGACACAGTATTCCTGCTGCAGCTGCTGCTGATTATCGCCTTCCTGCTCTGTGAGGTCGGGCTGCAGACGAACCTGCTCGGCGTGCCGTACAAGTGGCTCCTCCACCGCGCCCTGCCCGACCTCTACCCCGCCGACGCCGCGGTCCGCGTGCACCCCTACTTCGCCTCCGGGCTGCTCTTCGTCAGCGTCACCACCCTCGTCCTCTTCTTCGCCAGCGGCATGTACGCCGAGAAGATCGGCTACGCCAACCGGTACGTCTCTGTCCCCCCCTCCTCTCTTGCACACGCACGCACGAAGAGCCTGACCAGCCGGGCAGGTACGTCCCCCAGGCGAACCGCGCCCTCCGCAACTTCAACATGCACCTCAACACCCGCCAGCCCCCGCTCCGGGCCAAGCTGCCCTTCAACCCGTTCGCCTTCCTCTTCGCCCGCCCCCCACCACCGCCCGCGTCCCCGCCCGCATCGCCGACCCCCGCGATCGTCCGCCGGCGGAGCCCCTCCCCGTCCCGGTCTCCAGGAGGAGCAGGGGGAGGCGCGGCAGGCGGCAGGCGGGGCTCGAGCGTGCCGATCCCGCCGATCCCGCCCGCGGCGAACGCGCGCGGGGAGCTCATCTTCAGCTCGCGCGTGGACCGCGCCTTCCGGGAGGCGTACGACCGGTACCGGGCGCAGTTCGAGCGGCGACGGGAGGAGAGGGAGCGCGCGGCGTACGCGCGGACGTGGCTCGGGTGGGCGCATCTGCAGATGCCGTGGATGCGGCGGCCGGTGGGGGGTGCGGGGCAGGGGCAGGGGCAGGGGCAGGGGCAGGTCGGGACGGGGACGGGGACGGGGACGAACACGCCGGTGGGGAGCTTGAGGGGCATGCCGAGGACGAGGGTCGCGAGTTCGCCGGCGGGGTCGAGGAGGTCGAGTCCGGCGCCGGGGAGGAGCGGGAGGAGGGCGTCGGGGATGCTGCCGGGGAGTGCGGGGGTGGAAGAGGCGTAAGGAGGGGAAACAGATGAGTGGGATTTGTGCGCCGTGTAAACCAAGTCAGTCTGTTGCTGGGCTTTTGCTCTCCCTCTACGCGTGCTGGACTGCGTCCTTTCGGATTGTGCAGCGCGTCCGTAAGTCAGCTGTTGCCTGCGGTCGACGAAGGCGCACCTGGTTTGCGGCGTGCCCCGACGGGGAGCGAATCAAGCCGGTCGTGAACCACGATCCCTCTTTCCAGTACTCGATCGCCGCTCCGCGTTCCACGCCCTCAACACATGGCTGCGGGACGGACGACAGGGCGCAGACGGTGCCGTTCGTTGACACACTACTTACGCCCCACACGACATACGCCCCGAACCGGGCGCGCACGAGGGTCTGATCGGCGGCTTCCGTCCTCGATAACGCTCAGGCTGAGGCTCGTCGTCGACCTCGAGAACGTGGAGAAGCAGCGCACGGTGTCGTGGCGCGGGACGGCTTCGGGCTCGGGAGGCGCGCTATCGCCGTCGTCTGGTGTGCGCTGTACGTACGCGTGGGACGCGTCGCGCGTCGCGCGTGCGTGCGCGAGGACGCTAGCAGTGTGCCTCGCGGCTCGCGGGAGGACGAGGCGAGCCCCCCCGTCCGTCCGTCGTGCACTCGACTCAGGATGGGACGGGGGCGGGACTTGCCGGCGCGCACGCACGCGGCGGTGCCAGGCCTGCCACACGTGCGGGTGGGGGACGGGGCGGTTAAACGGGGGGACGCGAGGGTGATGTGGTTTGTTCTTTCGAGAGGGTATGTACGGTGCGTAGATGGATCGCTGTCTCGACTCTCCAGCCCGTCGGCGTTCGGATTCCGATGCCACAACCTTATCCGGACCAGACGGCCTGTCGGTCGGATGAGCAACGGCGAAGAGAGAGAGACGCGCACGCACCGGGCCAGGCTGGGTGTAGTTGACCGGGATCGGCCACTGGTAGGGGTGAGCACGCGAGAGACCGAGGGAAGAGAGAGGGGACGGACGTTGATGTTGATGAGGATCCCCGGCTCGTGGCCCGTGTACACGCCCGGGATCGACACCAGGGGCCCGGGCGTGCCGCTCCCGCCGCCGGTGACCTGGACCTGGCCGCAGGAGATCTGTCGAGGGCGGGTGGGTGAGCGGAGGCAGCCGTCTGCAACGACCGACGTACGTAGAACTGCGCGCCGCCGAACGTCTGGGCGACGTGGAGCGCGATGGCCTCGACGCGGACGAGGTACTGGCCGCTCGGGAGCGCGCGGGGGACGGTGAAGGAGACGGAGGGGAGGTTCTGGGCGGGCCAGGCGATGCTCTGCCCGCCGTTCGTCTGCGCGGAGAGCTGGTGGACCTTGAACCAGACGGGCCCGGCGCCGTCCCAGGCGGCGACGGGCGTGGAGGAGGGCGCGCGCGCCATGTAGACGTTGAGCACGCCGGGGTGGTAGATCGTCTGGTCGCAGGCGATCCCGAGCGTCGCGCCGGCGGCGACGGAGACGGTCGTGGCGGAGGCGGCGCCCTGGGAGTTGTAGCAGCGGAAGTCGGCCGAGGTGACGTCGGTGACCTGGGGTGGGACGGGTTAGTGGAGGAGGGGAGCGGGTGGGAGGGGACGGACGGGCGCTTGGGTTTGGTAGTTGTTCGTGCGCCGGACGTTCACCCAGTCGGGGGTCTTGGCGCCGTTGACGATGAGGTTGGGGAACGTGTCTGGGCGCGGAGTGTGAGTTGGTGGGAATGGTCGAAGGAGAAGGGGACGGACAGTGCGCGGATGCCTGCGAGGCGAGCGTCGCGAGGGCAAGGACGGAAAGGAGCATGGTGGATTGGGAGTGCGATGTGCGACCTGAAGACCTCGACTGCAGCCCGTATGCTTATAAGTTCTGTGAAAAAGTCTGGGAGAAAGTGTGTGTGTAGCTTGATCAAGAGGGATCGTCGCTACCGAGACCGAGGTTGTATGTCGAGACATCATCCGCTCCGTCCAGAGTGTATTGGCGAGCGCACCGATCCCAGCCAATCGCGGGTTTAGCCCGTGGGCGTGCTCACGGCCACGAGCGCGGCATACACATCGACATGTATTGGCGGATCGAGCACGGAAAGATTCTGTTCAGCGCGGCGTCAGCTGACGCGCTAGAAGATGGGCGAGCGTACCTCGCATCGAATAGACTCGGGCGCTGGGGAGTCGACCGACGAACTCCTCTTCTAAATTTGAATGGGCGTCCTCGGTTTGTCATCAGCTGTGCCGGGGCGGAAAGTGCCTGTGTATGAAAACAAGGGAAAGTGAGCGCCGCACAAGAGACTTGGCGGGCGGACAGAATGGTCGGTGTGTATATGAGACGAGTCACGAATTTCCGGGGAAGAGCCATGAATACAGCGTGCATGCTCGAGTCCGTGCAAGACGTGTCTTACGAGCGACTCCAACGCTTTGTGTTGCGATACGCGAGGGCCTTGGAATCGATGTCGATGCCACCTTGACCGGGTCCGGTACCCATCGTTAGACCAACCAGCGACGCCTCGCTCAAGGCCAACCGTCGAGAGTCGAGAGTCGAGGCTCGGGGCGACCCGCGCTCGTGCTGATGGTTGGCTGATGGCAGTTCAGAGCGAGGTGACGACGCGAGCGGCGCGTGGCGCGGGCCGATGGGGGCGCCCGAGACCACCGCCCGGCCGAAGTTGGACAAGTGCCAGAACCACCAAGCAGACGCCGGACGGCCGGAGACTCGAGAGGACGTCTCGACGAGAGACTGCGGTTGTGCATTGGATACGAGTACGACATGAACACACCCCGGCTACCGGACGACGACTCCCTACTACACCGTCCACCACAGCTACGCGACCACCACTGCGCCGCGGGAGGAGGGGACTACTATGAGAGAGATACGTACCACGGTGGTGCTCGTTGGTTTCCCCGCCGCCGCCGCCTCTGGGCGGCGCGGCGGGTACTCACCCCGGGGGCCGCGAGAAGGCCTGCACCGTGCCCCGGGACCTCTTTCGACCACTGACCCTCTGCCGCGCGCGGTTCGGGTTCGGAATACGTTCGGCGCTCGGCGTCCGTCGCACCCTCTTCTTCGTCTCGTCGTCAAAGGTCGGAGTCGTGGCGGTGGTCGTGGTCGTGGCCTTGCACGCGAAATCGAAATAAAAAAGCGAAACAAATGTGCCCAGAAGTAATGGGGCAGCGCCGTGTCCCGGATGCAGGCTGCATGACAGCGCGGAGCTTGCCAGAGCAGGTGCGGCGGGTGTAGTCGAGGTCGTTCGTGTCCGATGCCGGGGCGGGAGGGAGATCGCACCTTTCGTGCGTGTAGTGAAGTAAAAGTAAGAGTCGAATGTGTGATAAACGAGTGGCGGCGGCGGCGAGTGCTTGGCGGAAGAGTAGTAAAGGCGGATTGAAGGCGGGCGGGTCCGTGCGCGTGCCGACCTCTCGCGGTTCCCCGACATCGCAGACGACCCTCTGAACGGGGCTGACCAGAGCGGGACGGTCGCCGTGCTGCTTGGCCTTGACTCCCGGCACAGTTGAAGGCCGAAGGGGGTGGCGACGAAGGAGTGGCGTGGGGGACGGCGTGCTGTGGGCAGTGGCGGGATCCCAAACGCGGGTGGTCAGCTCGCCGGTCGTCGGATGGAGAGGGGCGCGGGGCGCAGGAAGGGAGGAGAGGGGCGGGGGAGGAGGGTGGGGGACTGACCGATGGCGCAGGGATGGGTGGAGGAAAAGGAGAGGGGGCGGGGCCGTGCAGGTTCATATGGGCGGGCGGAAAGAAAGTTCGCACTCCGCAGGCCCGCCGGGTAGAGCGAGAACGAGGGTCGTGTGATGGACGAGATCTGATAAGACGCGGAGGCGAAGGTGCAGGCCGCCCTGGCGCGCTGGGGCCGCATTCGTTTGTTCCCCCCGGCAAGCACGTTCTGGGGCTGTTCCCCCTGGATTTCTCCGCCGCTCGTTGGGTTTAGGGGGGAACAAAGAGGGCGCAAAGCAGACGGGGGGATCTGTGGGTGCGTGGGGGGCGCGGGTGGCGGCGTCGCACGGGCGGAGGGATGGTGTTTACCACTATTTGGTCGTGTGGGTGTCACCCTCCAAAAGAAGTCGGATAGGGGGCTTCTGGGGATGAAGCTCGCTCTGTGTGTCTCCTAGGACGGACGGGTGGTCGTGTGGGCATCCGGCTTCGATCTGGCTGGGAGGAATGGAAGGGAAACGGAGGCTGGGAGGAGGGAGGAGGATGAGCGGGGAGAGCCTAGGAGACCGGCGCCTAGAGATCGGTCGGGACCGAAGCCGTGCCGAGCACGGGGCTCGCGGCATGGCTCGAGCGGGGCACGCGGGAGGTCGTTTCTCTCCTTGCGCGCGAGGTCTGGGCGAGAGCAGGGCCGGGAGAGGCGATGGCGCGCACCACCGAGGGCGGCAGTCGCACGGTCAGGTGATCGCGTCGCGGACGACGGGCGTCGGGCGTGCGAGCTCGAGGGGGCCGTGGGGGACGATGCGGGGGGGTTGACGTACAAAGTACGCTTGGGGACGAACGTGCTCCCAGCCATTCTCCCGGGCGCGCGGAGTTGGATGGGTGGGGCGGAGGGAGCGGGGACGGGGGCGCGGTCAGCGGGTGTGCGGGAGGGGAGCGGGGCCCCGGGGAGTGGAGGAGGAAGGGGCGAGGGCAGGGGTGAAGGGGCAGAATGGGAACGGGGCGCGCGCGAAGCCGGTGGGCGAGCGCGGGAATGGTGTGGCGTGAGCCGGAGCGGGGAACGCTGATGAGGCCTTGAGGCTCGGTGGCTGGGGGGAGGTCAGAGTCTGGGTTAAGACGAAAGGGTGCGGATCGTCTTCCGGGGAGGGCGGGAAGCGCGTCGTCGCGACGGTCGCGCAGGGCGTCGGGCTCGGGATCGAGGGCAAAGTGGGGACTGCGCGCGCCGAGTACGTACACGTTGAATGACCGGGCGCGGGATCGAGCTGGGCGGACTTGGTGGGCAGGATGGCGGGCTGCTGGGGGACGAGGCAAAGGCGAGGCCGTTCGCGAACACACGTTCGCTTCCGGGCGGGAGCGATGGCTGGGATCGGGGCGGATCCGGCATATCACCGTACCATCCGTCGAGCATTTGCGCGGTGGCAACGGGCCCTGCAGGGTGACGGCGCGCGGGAGACATCTGCGCGGCGAGGGCGAGCGTGGCCGGTGCGCGCGCGGTGGGCGATCAGCCGCCTCCGTCAAGGTTTGCGCACAGTACCGCGCGGCCGGGGACGAACAGACCGATTTGGGGACGGCGCGCGCGGAGAGGCCAAACGGGTGCGCGAGATACGGCGCTGGGGATGACGTCGCCGGAAGCTGCACCAGCTGGGCCAAGAGCCCGATCAGACCACCCCGGGCGCCGGCCCAGCTGCCGTAAGCCCGTTGGACGCCGCCTCCGCCCGCCTTCCCTCCCCCGGCGCTCCCCGGCCCGCCCTCGCCCCCCCCGCCCCTCCCGCCCTCTTAATCCCCGTCGCCCTCCCACTCCCCACCCCCGCCCCCGCCCCGATGCCGTCCCTCCTCACCCTCCCCGACGACGTCCTCGCCGAGATCTTCTTCCGTCTCGCCCTCGTCGACCTCCTCGGGCCCCCCCGCCACATCGTCCCCTTCCTCCAGTCCTGCCGCGCCCTCCACCGCCTCCTCTCCCTCGACTCCAACCTCTACCTCTACGCCCACATCTTCCGCGCAAAGTTCGACTACCGCGCTCCCGCCCGCCGTCTCTCCGACCGCGCCACCCACGCCGCCGCCCTCGCCCGCCAGCTCGTCCGCGCATGCCGCACCCTCTCCTGGTTTCGCCGCGCCGACCTCGACGGCCCCCGCGCCGTCCAACACCTCTGCCGCGCCTTCACCATGTACTCCGAGAACGACGGCCGCAACGCCGCTCAACTCGCCTGGGCGGGCGTCCCTGACTTTGCAGAGCGGTACGTCCTCGACCGCCTCTGGGCCCACCGCGAGTCCACCTCGGGCTGGCCCGTCGAGAGCCGCGAGAACGCGTTCGCCCTCTGGCTCTACTGGTTCTCCCTCACCCCCGGTACGTCCCCCTTCGCCCTCGCTCCCCCGCGATCCTCATCCCCCGCGCAGAAAAACTCGCCGCCCACCCGCCCGCCCTCCGCGCCAGGCTCGCGAAGCACGTCCGGCCGTACGCCATGTACGGCTTCCGCTATCCCCCCTTCCTCGCCCCCGACAACCACTTCCGCTTCCCGCTCCCCGCCGACCCGACCACCTACCAGCACCACTCGGTCGAGACCCCCCACGGCTTCTACCCCCTCTACCGCGAGCCCGAGTACCTCACCCACGAGTTCACCCACTTTGGCGACCGCGTCCGCATCGCCGAGCCCCCCGTCGCCCTCGCCGCCAAGCTCCTCCTCGTCGCCTTCGTCGAGAACCAGAGCTTCGAGCTCCCGCCCCCCGGCGCCCTCCCCCTCGACCGCGCCGAGGCCGAGGAGATCCAGTTCCGCGGCCCGACCATGGCCGACTTTGACGAGTACCGCACCGTCCGCGCCGCCCGCCCGCCCCCACACGGCGACTGGGACTGGCGCGCCGCCCTCCCGGACCGCGCGCAGGGCCGGGAGGAGGACGGGCGGGCGTGGACCGACCGGCTGACGAGCCTCAGCGCGCGGCAGGAGAACGACTGGGAGCGGTGGAGGGCCTGCTTCGACCCCTGGGCCCGCAGCGTCCCCCTCGGCGGCCCCAAGTTCACGCCCGGCTCTCTCTCCGGGCTCTGGGCGGGCCACCATCTCGTGAGTCCTTCTCGCCTTCTCTTCGCGCTCACGCTCACGGTGTGTAGGACCCGGACGTGGACGGGCACGCGCTTGCGGTGCACTCGTACGTGTTCGACGCGAGGCTGGAGAATCCGCCGTTCTCGGCCGCGGCCCACGCCCTCTTTTTCGACCTCCGCGAGCACCACTGCGTGTCCCCCGCCCAGCCCCTGCCGCTCTGGGAGCCGAGCGACGCGATGGACGAGGGTGCGTTGAACGCGTACTGCCCCCGCTCCTTCCCGGACGCGTACGCCGTCCAGCACACCGGGGGCGCGCGCGGCGGGCGGCGCAAGGTGCACATGCGGCGGCGGGGCATGCCGGAGGAGTGGGTGTACGAGACGTACGTGGAGGGGGAGAGGAACTCGCATGAGCCGGAGACGTGCGAGATGTGCGTGGCGAGCAGGGAGGAGGAGGAGGCCGAGGTGCGCGCGAGGGTGGCGGATATCTTGGCGGCGAGGGCGGCGGAGGGCGACGACGACGAAAACGAGGACTTGGACGTTGAACTGGACGACCACGACCACGAGATGGGCGAAGAGCAAGGCGGAGCGGCGCGCGTCGACCGCGTGCGCCGGCAGGTCCAGGACGGGCTCGACATGGACGTCGACGAGCTCATCGACGCCGTCTCGAGCGAGGACGACGAAGAGCACGAGCCAGAGGACGCGCACTCGCGCGCGGCGAGCCCGACGGACTCGGACATGGACATCGAGCGGACGTGCTCTGGGATCAAGGACATCTTCGTCACCGGCGAGGTAACGTACTTTCCTCCGTCCGCTCTCCTTTGCTGACCCGCTTTCTCTCCGGTGCGCGTCCTGACCCCTTCCTCCCTGTCTCGCCTCTTCTTCCCTCGTCATCTCCCCTACACGCTGCACGCACGCACAGACCCCGGCGCGATATGCGCAAGCCTGGCGCGCGTACGCGCTCTACGGCCGCGTCCGCCCCTGGGACGGCCTCGTCGTCCTCGTCCGGGTCCAGATCCCGCCTGCGGGCGGCGGCGCGAGCGGCAGCGCCCTCCCCACCGTCTACCGCGGGTACGTCGTCGGCGGGCGCACGCTCGTCGGCGCCTGGCGGCACGCGACCGCGAGTGCGCACACCGTCCCGCTCGAGGGCACGTTCGTCGTCTCCAAGGTCGACCGCCCGCCCGCTGCTGCTGGGGAGGGGGTCGGGGTGGGTCCGGACACAGACGCAAACCGCTGACGGGCCGGGGCGTGAGTAGTGCGGCGGCGACGGGCTGGAGAGGGTGCGGAGAAGGGCGAGGTGCGGGAGAGACAGCCGGGGTCCTCGAGGCCTCGCACGTACGCCTGGGGGGAGGGCACGTTCGTGCGCCGTCGCCCGTTGAGGGTGGCGCGCTCGATGCGGTGCGCGAGAGGACCGGGAGACGGACGGGGGCGCGAGGGGCTCGAGAGGGCCGCCCATACGTGCTTGCACACGTTGGCGTGAGTGCCCGTCTGTGGCCCTCCGGCGCGAGCGGCGTGCGCACCGGCGAGCTCCGCCGCCTTCGCCTTCGCCTTCTCGCGAGGGGCGTGCGGGGCGGCGATTACGTCCTGCGCGGGCTTCGTGCGCGCATCATGCGCCTGCGCCCGGCCTGCGCTTCGGGCTTTGCGCGCACGGTGGCAGACTGCTCTCGCGCACAGGCTCTGGACTTTGGGATCCGCGAATGAGGTGAGCGAGCGAGAGTGTACGTACGATTAGCCGCTCGAGTGCGCGATACCAGACTCTAGATACGGCTCTGTTCCCCCATCCCTCCCCACGACACCTTCCATCGACGGACGCAGACTCGGTACTCATATACGTCTCAGTACGAGCTCTCCCCGTCTCCTGCCTGCGTACCCGCGTGCCCGATATGTGAGCATTCGGACGATCCGATTCTCAAATATCCAACGAACGTCCGCTCCGCGTGCGTGTGTGCGTGCACGACCCCACCGCTAGCCACGAACGACGTCGCGGCCGTGGAAGCGAGGCACGTAAGCATGCACGTACGTACGAGGAACGAGAGACGCGAGCCCTCTGACGATGACAGCCCGTCACAGGCGCGGACGTGCGGGCGCGGATCCAGATTCCACGGGCCACGGTCTATACTTGCGTGTAAGTATATGGAGCCACTTATCGCCCGACGGTCGACGCCGCCGCGGGGCGCAAAACGTAAGACGTAATGCCGAAAGTCGTCCCTGGACGCCCCCCTCGTTTGCGTGGCGCGGGGCCGCGGCTGGATGGGATCTCTGCAAGATGGGCTGAGATCTGAGAGGGGTTGGGCGCGGTGGGAGCGCGCGTACGTGCGGTGCTGACTCGGTCCGCGGGTGGGTGTGCTCACGATCCGATCGGGCTTGGTGCGGCTGGACGATGAATGGGCCATGGCATTCGACGTGCACGACGAACGGCAGATGCGGCGGGGTGGCCCCACGACGCGGGCGGGGGCGGGCGGAGGGCCGCGTGAGAGCGGTGCACAGGGCAACGGAACGGATGTGAGTCTGGTGCGCTTTGATGGGCGGTAGGATGATGGAGGGGAGAACAAGAAAGCAGAGCGGTGGTAACGGTGGGTAGAGAGCACGGTGGACGACAGCGTGGAGCGATGACGATGCATGAGTGTAGCAAGAGGCAGCGTGGACAACAAGAGAAGAGCGGTGGGTAGCGGGACGGCGAGCCGACGGAATGACATGGGGGGGCGCGTGGGGGCGGCGGGACTGAGGCCGGTGGTACATAGTGTCTTTGGATGGTGGACGGACGGGATGCGTGCAAGATATGTACGTGCGATGGTATATGTTATGTACGAGTGCGGGACGTGGAATGTTAAGTAGAGGCGCGGTCATGCGGATGCGGCCGCCGGAGGCGGCGATTGATCTGAGGCTCGACGGTTGCGACGGACGAAGAGCGAGCGCGAGATGGTCATGAACGTGAAGCCAGCGACGATGCAGACCTGCGTGGGAGCCATCCGTGAGAACGAGCAAAGACGGGCATGGGAAGACGGACGTACGCCGGCGAAGACGAGCGCAGTCCACCAGACCAGAGAGCGTCCGCCGTCCGCATCGAGCAGCGCGCCGAAGATGGGGGTGCCGACGAGCATAGAGAGCCCGACGAGCGAAAACGCGAGGCCCATACGCACGCTGCAGACAAATACGTAAGCGGAGACGTAAGGAACGATCGGACCAAGTGGGGCAGAAGGAAAGGAAAGACCGACGTACCCGAGCTCGCTCAGGTCGGTGCAGAGCGTTTGAAGTAAGTGTGGGATCAGGGAAACGTCTGCAGGTTCGGTGATACGCCCAGGGCGATGGGTTTCCGGTATTCATCAAAAATGAAAAGTATGAGGATCGCAACCGGGCCCCGGGGGTGGGCGGTGCAGCGCACGAGGGCGGCAATTCGATAGGTTGCCGGCGCAGTGCCGGCGCGAGCCGCGGGAGGAGTGCGCGACACAGGGACGGGACGGTGAATGGAGGGGACAAAAAAGGGAAGCGGAAGTGATGAGTGCGAGCCGTCGTCGGAGGAACGGAAGAGACGTACATGCGCCAGACGAGAAGCCGAAGAGGACGGCGACGGCGATGACGCCGGGCGTGGCCGTCGCACCGAAGAGGGCGAACACGAGTGCGGCAGAGGTGAGGATCGCAGGGAGGAGCATGGTGTAGACTCCGAAGGCGTCAGCGAGGGCGACGGGGAGCGTGCGGCCAAGCGTGCTGCCGGCGTTCAGGATCGCGAGCTGGTAAGTCGCCGGGGGGCGCAGCCAGTCAGGGGCCTCATCCTGTGCAGCAGGGTCCGAATACCGAATATATGGAGACGCACAATGTAGGTTGTCACCGTAGCGTTCACGGCGTGATCGGCGGAGAACAGCTGGAGGTAGAAGACTGGACGGAGCCATCCCGTGTAAGCGTGGAGAGGTGAAACGAGCAATGGGACTACGCACAGGGAACGAAGAGGCCGAGATTGGTGCAAAACGCGCTACGGAGTGGGTGTGAGCGTCGGAAGGTGGGCGATAGTCCGGAGGGCGGCTGCGCGCGCTCATAACGGCGAAGTTTGGACTGAAGAGAACACACGTACCCTGCAATAGACCACATGTATGCGCCATCGCGGGCAATTCGTCTGGCAGCGTCTGGGCTGAAGAGCGCGCTGAGCGGCCTGTGCTTGGGCGGCAGGCGAGTGCGCATGAGGGCGTTGGCAAGGGCGAGCAGAAAGACAATTAGCGCGCCGGCGATGCGAACGGCGTTTGCGAAACCGAGGGAGGGTAGGGTGAGCAAGTGGTTGAGGAGGATGGGAAAGACGATGCCGCCGACGGATGCGCCTGTGAGGACGATGCCGGTGGCGAGGGCGCGGCGCTTGCGAAAGTGGTGGGAGAGGATGCTGAGGGAAGGGAGGAAGAGCAAGCCGACTCCGAGGCCAGTGCCTACGGCCTGGGAGAGGAAGACCTGGGGGAAAGGAATGAAATGGGGGAAAAGGAGAGCGTTTGCGGACGACGAACCTGATAGTACTGCTGGGGCTTGGCGAGGGAGAGCATGAAGACAGAAAAGACGTGGAGGAGGGAGCCGAAGATTTGAACGTGGTGACTGCGCGCATATAGCGGTGAGGCCGGGGGAGAGAAGAAAGATGGAGATTGCGCACAAGTAGCCAGTGTCGAACGCGTAGCCGACGAAGACTGCAAGGGCATACATGAGGAAGAGCTGGAGGCTGCCTATCCAGCTGTGGAGAGGGTGTGAGACTGGAAGGGCGGGAAAGGGAAAGGGCGGGCATGGTACCTGATGCTAGAAGGGGAATGGTGGGAGAGGAACTCTCGGGTGTAGAAGTCTGTGGGCGGAAGAAGTGAGAGAAGTGTGGATCGAGCGAGAAGGGGAGCACGGACCCTGGTACACGCCGAAGGCATTGAGGTACCTGTGGGTGGTTAAATGGCTTGCAGATCGTCGGGGGCGGGGCACTCACCCAAAGGTGCAGAACTGAACCATCCATCTGGATGGAATGGGAGAGAGGGTGAGGCGAAGAGAAAAGCGGGAGATAGAGCGGACGCACGCTCCAGCGAGAGTCAGCCAGGCGATCGTACCTCCGTCTGGCGGAAGGTCTTGGGGGGGCTGAGGGGGTGGAGGGGCGGGAGCGGGTTTTTCGACGAGCTGTGCGCGGCTGATGTCGGAGAAGACGGTGCTGGTGGAGTGGTGGACGGAGGGGGAGAGACAGGGAGGGGAGGGTATCTTGAAGGGGGGAAAACGGACTGGAAGGAGAGGCGTGAGTTGGCTTGAAGGAGAGAGGGGGAGAGGGGGCTGACAGGCGGGCGGGGCGGGCATTTATCGACGGTGGGGGAGGGAGAGGAGCCGGGCGAGGGCGCAGGCGAAGACGGGGCGGGGACGTTTGCCATTTGGCTTTCAGGCCTGGCTGCCCGGCGCCTGTACGCAATGGGCCCGGTTTGATGCCCGGACGGGGCTCCCCACGCGCTCACAGGCGCTCACCCACGGCGGGGAAGAGCGCAGTGCCCGACGGCTGCATGGCCAATCACAACGCCACAATGCTCCCGATCACGTGCAAGATAAGATCACGAGAGAAAGCGCCCATCTGCCCTCGCCGGCCAACGCGTCCCCGCCGACGTCCACGACGCCGTGCTCATCACGTCCTTCGACGCCCTCCTCCTCATGTCCGCTCTCGCCCAAAGGTTGTCGCGCTCCTGCTCGCGCCACCTCTCCCCCGCCTCCCTCCGTTACTTCTCCTCCCCGCCTGCTCCCCGCCCGTCCACCTCTCGGTTGGCCCCAACACTCCCTCGCCACCGCGCTTTTCACGCCTCATCAGGTTCCTTTCCCTCCTTCTCCCGACTCTCCTCCCTTCTCATCCCCTCCCAGTCTCCGCTCATGGCGCAGTAGACCGTCCACAGCCCGGTACCGGGTTCGTCCTTCCCCATCCACCTCCCCTTCGTCTACCCTCTTACGCCCTTGCACGCGTCCCAGCATAAAAGTACACTTCAAGGACTCCAAAGGCAACCTCCTCAAGACCGTCGAGGCGAACGAGGGCGACGATCTGCTCAGCGTCGCCCATGAGTACGACATCGACCTAGAAGGTGTGTGCCACGTCCGTCCTCCTTCCATTCATTGCATATGGACTGTCCTCTCGATCGCGCACGCGTCCAGGCGCGTGTGAGGGCTCCGTCGCCTGCTCAACATGCCATGTCATCCTCGACCCCGACACGTTCGACCTCCTCCCGGAGCCCGAGGTCCGTGTCTCTCACTCCCCTCGTCCATAGCCACCCCCGTCTCACCCGCGCGCGCACGTAGGACGATGAGAACGACATGCTGGACATGGCCTTTGGCCTCACCGATACCTCCCGGCTCGGCTGTCAGGTCCACCTCACGCGCGCCATGGACGGCATGACCGCCACCCTGCCCTCCGCGACCCGCAATATGTTCGTAGACGGTCCGTGCCCTTCCTCCCTTCTCCCGCGCGCGTCCGAGTCGCTGACAGTGCCGTTCCAGGGAAGAAGCCGACGCATCACTAGCTGGCGCCGGCTTGGTTGCTACTTGCGACGCTCCGGCCACGGGCGCAGGACTACTTACTGGTACTTACTTACTTGCAGCTGCTCGCGCGACGTAATACACTACCCTTGATCACCCGCTCCCATAGGGCGTGCTCGGCCGGGGCCTTGGATGCATGATTGGCAGTGTGGGCTGCAGCGGGCAATCCGCTGGGTTGGCACGCGCGAGCGGCGGTGGGGGGCATGCTTGGAAGCGAGGCCGTGGATGGTCCCCACCGGGAATAATTAATAAGTCTTTGAGAGCGCGGATGCCATCTGGCGGAACCCGGCCCGGCGTGGTAGCGTCCCCTATCGAGGCGGATCCAAGCGACGAGTCAGCTCTCTCCCTCTCCTCCCACTCGCTCCCCGCCCTCCAGTAGCACATCTCCTCAACATCGCCTCATCGGCCGAGAGAACACGACGAACGATGAGCCTCGCCGCACTGAGCTCTAGTGACCCCGTGCAGACGGCCGCCTACCTCCGCACCCTCCCCGCCATCCGCGAGCGCTGCGCGCGCGTGCACGCCCTCGCCCAGGCCGGCAAACTCAACTACTTCGAGTACCACCCCGAGCGCGAGGCAGACGCCGTCGCGTTCTGCGTCGAGGTCATCAAGGTGCGTCCCCCGTTCTCCGGCTGCCCCTCGCGCTGCTGAGCCGTGCTGGCGCCCACTGGGGCAGGGGGGGTACGGGACGGACTTTGCGTCGGTGAGTTCGGGCGCGGTCCTCGAGGCCGATGGGAGCTTAGGTTGGGACACGACGCCCCGATAGATCCCCCCGCACGGCCGCTGCCGCACCCTCGACGCCGGCAGGCCCCGCCTCGAACCCCTCGTCGCACACTGGAAGGCGGGCCCGAACCCCCCGGACACGAAGGAGATCTGCAGGCGCCTCGTCGACCTCTGCCTCGTCTCCGTCCTCCTCGACGCCGGCGCGGGCAACGTCTGGACGTACCGCGAGAAAGAGACGGGCGCCTGCTTCTCGCGCACCGAGGGGCTCGGCGTCGCGAGCTTCGAGATGTTCGAGCAGGGGTTCTTCAGCAGCAACCCGGCGAACGCGTACCAGGCTGATGGTGAGCGCCATTCGTCCCTTCTCGTCCGGGACGGGTCTCACGCGCGCCCGGTCACTCGCAGCGGACGCGCTTGCGAAAATCACGACGGAGCGCGTCGCGGCCGCGATGCAGGTCTCGGACGCGAACCCGCTCGTCGGGCTCGAGGGCCGCGCGTCCCTCCTCGTCAACCTCGGGACCGCGCTCAAGTCCAAGCCCGAGTTCTTTGGCGCGTCCGCGCGCCCGGGCAACATCGTAGGTCCGTCGTCCGTCGTTGTCTTCTCCCATGCGCACACGCTGAATGAGCGGGCGCAGACTTCCTCGAGGGTCAGCTCGTCGACGGCCGGGCGCACGTCTTCGCGCTCTGGACCGCGCTCATCGACGGCCTCCAGGCAATCTGGCCCCCGACCCGCGCCGTCCTCGGCGGCGTCGCGCTCGGCGACGTCTGGCCGTGCGAGGCCCTCAGGAAGCACCCGAGCCCCGGCCCGGCCGAGGGCGACGAGCTCGTCCCGTTCCACAAGCTCACCGGCTGGATGACGTACAGCCTCGTCGAGCCGATCCAGAAGACGATGGGCTGGACGTTCGACGGCGTCGAGCACCTGACGGGCCTGCCCGAGTACCGGAACGGTGCGTCGGCGCCCGCGGTTCGGGGAGGGACTGGCTCTGCTGATCGGAGCGCGCGCTGCGACCCTAGGCGGGCTGCTCGTCGACACGGGCGTGCTCGCCCTCCGCCCGGGCGCGATCGAGGCCAGGTTCTTCCCGGACCCGAGCACGGGGATCCCCAAGCTCCCGCCGTCGCACCCGGCGATCGTCGAGTGGCGGGCGATGACAGTCGTCGAGCTGTAAGTGTTCTCTCTCCGTCCGCCTCGGGCATCGTCGCGGGGACGCTGATGACGGTTGGGATCGCGCAGAGACCGCCTCGCGGACCTGCTCAGGAAGGAGTTCGGGCTCGGGAGGGAGCAGCTCTCGCTCGCGCAGGTGCTCGAGAGCGCGACCTGGACCGGCGGACGGGCGATCGCGAAGGAGAGGCGGCCCGCGACTGGAGGCCCGCCCATCGAGATCGAGAGCGACGGGACGGTGTTCTGAATGGGCCAGTGGGGGACCGGTGCATGGCAAGCCTGGGGTGTGTGCGATAACGTGTGTATGTGAGCTAGTGTGCAGAAGCGAAGCGGTACTTGGCCGGCGAGGGTGCATGGGTCCTGCAGGGGTTTGAGATAGGCGAACGGCCCGTCGGAAGAGTCAAGAAAGAGATGACCTGCTAGCAGAAAATGTGGTATTCATCTGCGCCCGACAGATTACCACATATATACTAGTTGGGGGAGGCCCACAGTACTACGTTCGCGTGGAGGGACGCTTCTCGTTCCATGCATCGTCTTTGCAGTGCCCTGCGGGAGCTTCACAGACTTACGGGACGCATTACTGAGCGTTCGCAAGCTCGGCGTTTGGACGTTTCGACTTGATTATGGACCCTAGGAGTACCGTGTCTAAAGGAGAAAGCACAACACGGATGCAGGTGCAAAGAACCATGGGGGCGAGACCGTACAAACTGAAAGGAAACGAACGGCCACAAGGAACGTCGACAGAGAAAGTGAGTAGTATCTGGCGCTGAGCCACACGGCTTAGCATGCCACTAGGGTTGCAGGACAAGTTCTGAATGCGGACGTGGAGCAATCTGACACCGAAGGCAGGGAGATATCACCGGTTCAAGGGCCGGGAGAGGACGGCGTGTTTGGGGCGTTCTGTCTCCGCGCCTTCTGGTTCTGCTCAGACGCAGATCCAAGCAGATTGGCTGGCTGAGGGCTTGGGTCACTCAAGGTTCGCTCCAAGAACCTCTCTAGACATGAGGGTAACGACTCGTTAGCGATCCAGGGTACGAACGATCGCAGACGAAGACACTCACAACTTTGCGTTCGTGAAAGAAGAGCTGCAGCGAGAAAGGTATGAGACAGCGATGCGGGCGCGCGTGAGGTGCACTCACGATGACATCGCAGTCTTTAGCCGTCGGGAGGCGATGCGTGACGACGAGGACCGTGGTTTCCGCCCGCCTAACGTCGCTGCACAGTGCCTTCTGGATCCGCGTATCCGTCGCGGGGCTCGTCAGCCGGGGGCGCACAAGGATGTCACCTCGAGAGCTTGTTTCCCCGCACGAACGCCTCGCGTTGAGGCAGGGGCCCTCGCGCTTGTCGACTGACTGTGCGTTGGTGAGTGTCTGCTCGAGCTCGTCTTTTGAGTAATCGTCAAACGGGTTCATGTTGGTCGCGATCGTCCCCTCGAAGGCTCTGGAGAGCGACGGCTCTTGGAGGTGATAAACGTTGTGACTTCACCACATTCGTCCGGTGCGTTCGTGTGCGCGGAGTAAGGTACAAGACATCAAACTCGCTCACCACCAGGATAACCGTGCGGTTCAGCCAGGCACTCCTTACCAAAGCAGCTTTCCAGCACGTGAGAAACGGTCTTCGTATCGACTGAGAGAGAGAACCTGTGTGCGATGTCAAATCCTGTACGTGGAGGGAGTAGTGCATGCGATGTACATCGTCCAGAACTACAGCCTGGGAGTAGATGGGCCAGGCAAGCGACAGCCGTGCCCGCAGCGAAGTCCGTCTAATTCGAGAGCTAGAGGGCACGTAGTGGGATACCTTTTGTCCACCGCTGCACGCAAATATGCCAAATATCAGTACCGCCGATCATGGCGTTATAGGGCTGTATACGGACCTGAGTGTGATGCCCCACTCACTAACGTCCTTCCATCGCTTCGTGCCCACGTAGAGGTCTACTACCTGCATAGCGTCGTTCAACTTCTTCTCGTCGAAAGCACGCCCGAATTTAAATTTAGTGTCCAAAGTGTCGGACAGGATCTAGGGACGCTATGAGCTGTACGCTATCCCTCGCAAAGCGGGATGTAGTGCATCTCGCACAGGAGAGCAAGGATCAGGATCGCACCCGGTGGGCCCGTAGACCGTATTGACAACCCCCTTGCGGAAGGTAACGTTGATGTTGACATTCAGAACGAAGGGTTTGCACTTGCCCGCCGAAGTGATGCTGCCTCCGCTCGAAGCCACGGTGTCGGGGACAGAGAACCTCGCGTTGATGATCGTCCAGCTGAAATGTGCTCTCTTGATCGGTTATCGCACCTCAAAGGCCGCAGTGGCTTCGTGCCCTCATCGCACTGGTCAAGAAGCTTGATCTATAGGGACTGGTTAATGACGTCATGCTGCTGGTGTCTCGGTCAGAAAGCCGACCTTAGTCGGGAAGCTCTGGTTTCTGTTGAGTGAATCTGGCCTGGATGGTGAAATAATGATTTGGCATGCCGATGAAGACGGTTTATCTCGCGACGGGATCCAACTGGGGGATACCTTGTTCGTGCAAGGCGAGTTCCCGGGAGACGGTTCCGGGATGGATTCCGTCCCGCACGGAGGTGGTGTTGAGCCTGTGCAAAAATTGAACTGAATAAGTGCTGCATTCGATCTGCTCAATCGAGGGAGCGTGAAGTAGGTTGTCGCAGTTGCCAATCTTGCTGGCATATATAGATGATAGGTGACTGTCGGAGTGTGGTCATTTTCGAAACCCGCCTAAACTCCGACACCCCCCGCGGGAAACTTTCGGTGTCGTCGCTGACTCGCACTCTGTCTTCGTCCCCCACCCGGACTTCCTCTCCACGCGGCTGCAGAATGGCCAAGAAGAAGAACAAGCAGGTTCGTGGCCTCCGTTGCACTTTCTGTCTCTCCTAACGCCTGTCCAGGTCCTCCGTCCCTGGTGTTGGTACTGTGAGAGGGAGTTCGAAGATGAGAAAGGCACGTCATTCTTGTCCTCATTCCCGCTTTCCCCGCTCACCGCCTTCCAGTGCTAATGCAGCACCAGAAGGCCAAGCATTTCAAGTGCAACCTCTGTCCTCGCCGCCTCAACACCGCCGGCGGTCTCGCCGTCCATATACAGCAGGTCCATAAGCTAGAGCCCGACAAGTGAGTACATCCGCCCTCCGCCCTCTCGCTTCTCCTCACCTTTCATTCCAGCCTTCCACGCATCGAAAACGCACTTCCTGGTCGCGATGGGTACGAGGTTGAGATTTTCGGTATGGAGGGCATCCCTGCCCCCGACGTGGCCGACTACAAACGACGTAAGGAAATCGAACTCGGTCTCAACCCTGGTTCCATCAGCCAACCCCAGTCCAAGCGTCCCAAAATTGAGAATCGGCCGCTCACCGAGGAGGAGCTCAAGGCTCAGCTTGAGGCCCACAAGGCTCTCATGGGAGCATCCGAAGCCTCCAACGCCCCCACCATCCCCGACTCTGCCTCCGGTGCTGTTTACGCCGCACCCTCGCAAACTTACGCTGCCCCGCCCACCTCCGCCGTCCCCACCGCCGTCATGTCACCCCCAGGCATGCCCCCGGGCATGCCTCCAGGTGCGCCTCCCTTCATGCCCGGTGCGCCACCTCCAGGTTTCCTAGGTGGCCCGCCCTTCATGCCGTCTGGCATGTCCTTGCCGCCCGGGTAAGTTCTTGCTCGGGTCGTTAGACGTCCTTTGCTCAATTGTTGTGTGCAGCATGCAGCCGCCTCCCGGCTTTCACATGCCGCCGTTCGCAGGTTCACCTCCCCCTGGTATGATGCCACCCGGTGCGCCGCCATTTCCTCCCGGTGTAAGACCTCCATTTCCTCCTCCCTTCCTTCCTCCGGGCATGTCACTACCTCCCGGGATGCCGCCTCCCGGCTTCTCGCCGCCGCCAGGTGCGCTTGCTCCCGGTCTCCCTCTTCCTCCTCCACCCGGTGCTTCAATGTCACCTGCCCCCGCTGGGTTCCCTCCGCCGCCGGGGTTCCATGGTATGCCCATGCCCCCAGGTGCCCTTCCCACACCTCCTCACCAAGCACAAGCTCCTTCGTCGACGACCCCGGGCCCGCCGCTTACATTGCCCGACCCGTCAATGAAGCAGGTGAACCCCCCATTCAAGAAGGGCACCATCCTCAAATGGGCGGACGCCAATTTCTCTCCGGTACGTCTCTCAACTGATCACCTGCGGCTTCTTCGCTTACATCTGACATGACGCAGGAGGAGACAAGGTCACGGTCAGCCGGATACTACTATGCTGTCGCGTCGACCACTACTCCCGATGCTGCGGCTGCAGCTCCAACAGCTTATTCAGAAGGCGCGGTGCCCAACGTTTCTGCGGAGGAGATGCGTGGCAAAAAGCGAGCACGGGCGGAGGACTTTTTGTAGGTGTGCTGCTCACACCGGCGTCCGAACGGGGTTGGAGGAAGCAAGGGCCGACATTGGAGGGAAGGACCAGGGAGAGTGGATGAGCAACCAGTCCGTCCCGTCACCCGCTGCTTGTCCGTGTGGACCGTTTTGACTCATCCTTAACTTCTCGCTCCCCGGAGCGCGACCGACATAACGCGGTGCGAAGCCGTTTCTCTTCCTCTATGATACTTGCATCTCGTATAGCTCGAACTACGTGGCATGTGCGGTCTGTCGTCTCTTTCTGTCATGTCGTTCTATCGTATGTATGAAAAGGTTCGTGTATGGACTTGGGCTGGAGGCTACTCACTTCCCTGACCGATCGAACATCGCCGGCGGCATTCGATAGCAAGAACTGGGCCCATCGCATGTCTGTCTCTCCTCCCGTATGCGAGTGTGCGAGCTGATATGAGGACTTTGCAGTGCGAACTCGAGGACGATGACACTAATCATGAGAAGGGAGAACCCCGCACAGAGACAATGGGAGCTGGGTATATACGTGTGACCGACTTGTCGAGCAGCACTACGAGTAGTCTAATGAATCATTCCATGTTCCGCCTTGGGTGCCTGTGAGGCTGTTCCTCGACGAGTCGACCTGGACGTCGTAAGGTAGTCCCGGCGCAAACACGACACCATAAGGAAAAGGATGCGCGTGGGATTAGGTATTAAAGCTGTTCCAATATCGATATGCCTTTCTCGCGTGGGAGCGCGAGTACTACTGGGGCCGCGTGTTTAGTTTTAAATGAAGCAGGCCACGGCGCCTAACGCCCTCGCGCACCACGCGCGACGGGCAGCGCGAGTCCGAGCGCACCGCCGCGAGCACCGCACACATGTGGCGATATCTATAAGTGCGCCGCAGACTCCTCGCGCATGAGCCTGGCGAGGTGGGGCAACAGCATGATCACCGGATAGACACATCCATTGTGGAATGGCCTCTCCACCTGGTGCAAGGGCACTTATGCCCTACGTTCAAGTCCTGACGGAAGTTTGGACGTGAGCCCTCGCGCGCGAGCACAAGCCTATGCGCACGGGGGTGCACACGGAGACATCGCCGCGTGCGAGCAGTGCTCGCGGCGGTGCGCGGACTCGCGCTCGCGCTGCCCGTCGTGCGGTGGTGCGCGAGGGCGCTACGCGCTGGCCTGCTCCAAAACTAAACGCGACCCCACTCGCGCTCCTGCGCGAGAACGGCCTAACGATATTGGAAGAGCTGTAGAAGTCCAGTTTGCGCCACAGCATTCGGCAACAGTATTTGCCTGCGTTCCTGTAGGTACCATGGAAATTGACTTACCTATACTCCTTCTCATGCAGAACTATCTCCTCTCTGAACGTTCACATTTTTGCACTTCTGCTTTACGGAATATATGAATTACATCTTGTTTCACAACTTCCGTAGAACGCTTTAACGGATAAAGTGCACCCTGAGTATCCTATCGATTTACATTGTGCTCCCTGTGCCAAACGGCCCCGGCGTCAGACGAGCGTGACGGCGCCAAGGTCACCTGACGTAGTCGTGTTTGCGCCGGGACTACCTTACCGTTACACGGGCACGTGCCTTACAACTCCTGAGCGCCCAAGCCACAAACGCGTTTCCTTCACACAACCACCACCCCTCTCTCGACCGCGATGCCGCTCATCCGCATCGAGCTCTGCGACTTCAAGTCGTACCGTGGTCACCAGGTCATCGGGCCCTTTCGCAACTTTACCTCTATCATCGGGCCCAATGGTGCCGGCAAGTCCAACCTTATGGACGCCATCTCCTTCGTCCTTGGCGTCAAGTCCGCGCAGCTCCGCTCCAGCCAGCTCAAGGACCTCGTCTACCGCGGCCGTCGCCTCGCCCGCAACCCCGACGGCGAAGACGCCGGGCCGACCAACGAAGAGGACGACGACGACGAGGGGGAAGGCGAGGGCGAGGGAACCGCGAAGAAAGCATGGGTGCTAGCCGTGTACGAGGACGAGGACAAGAAGTTTTGGAAGTTCCAGCGCACGTACGTCCCCTCGACCCCATCTCTGCTCATTCCGCCCCACCGACCGCGGACCGGACCGCGCGCAGGATATCGACGACGGGCGCGTCCGAGTACAAGCTCAACAACCGCACGGTCACCTACGGGACGTACAACGACGCGCTCATCCGCCACAACATCCTCGTCAAGGCCAAGAACTTCCTCGTCTTCCAGGGCGACGTCGAAGCCGTAGCGGGCCAGTCCCCGAAAGAGCTCGCCAGGCTAGTCGACCAGATCTCGGGCTCGCTCGAGCTCGCGCCCGAATACGAGAAGGCGAAGACGGCGCTCGAGCGCGCAACGGAGAATGCGACGTTCAACTTCACGAAGCGGCGCGGGATCACGGGCGAGATCCGGCAGTACAAGGAGCAGAAGGGCGAAGCGGAGCGGTTCGAGGCGTTGGGGCGCGACAGGGACCGGCTCGTGCTCCGCCGGATACTGTGCAAGTTGTACGGGATCCAAAAGGCACTCGACGAGCATGCGCAGGCGATCCGGGACCAGAATCGCACGCTGGCCGGGCTCAGGCGGGAGCAACGCGACCATGAGAAGGCGCTCGAGGCGGCGAGGGCGGACCAGGCGAAGACGCGGGGTGTGGTCATGCAGAAGGAGAAGAGGATCAAGAAAGCGGAGAAGGCGCTCGAGGTCAAGGTCAGTGCTCTTGTTGCGCATCGGTGACCGTCGCCCTAAGCGGCTCGCAGCGCCCGGACCTGGTGCGCATCGAGGCGCAGCTCAAGCATGCGGGGCGCAAGAAGGAGAAGGCGGACGAAGAGGTTGCCAAGCTTGCGCACGTCGAGGGCGAGCAGAAACGCAAGCTGCAGTCGCTCGAGGCAGACCTTACCACCGTCACGAAGGCTGCAGACCAAGCCCAAGGTGCGTGCTCGATCTTCTGCGCGAGAATTTCCGGCTTATAGCCAGTCTAGAGGCCCAACGACGAGCCGCACAGAGCAACCTTTCCCTAAGCGAAGAGTCTCTGGAAGAGTACAGGAGACTGTGAGTGCAAACACATTGCAGATGTCTTCCCGCCCCTGAATGTATGCGCTTCCCAGTAAGGCGTCTACGAGCATCCTCGCGGTCGACGAGAGGCAGTCACTCGAGACCCTCGCTCGTGACGAGAAGACATCCGCCCGCGCCCTCGCCCAATTGAAGGACAAGCTCGAGCAATTAACGGAGCGGCGGGGAAAACTTGCAGAAGAGGAGCAGTCCTACACCCAGAAGCGGACTGAGGTGAGCGCCGTCACGGCGATGAAAGAACATGTTCTCACCACAAAGTACAGCTTGAGGCCAGAGCCGCCGAGCTCTCGTCAGACTTGAAACGCGTCAAACAGGAGCACGACAACCAGGAGTCCGAGAAGGCTCGCATTACGCAGCTCGAGAAAGAGGCGAACGAGAAGCTTGCCGACGTCTACGAGAAGCTCACCCAGGCTGGTGTCGACCGGAACGAGACCGCGCGTGAGACCCGGCAACGCGAGACTCTCGCCAACCTCCAGCGGATCTTCCCTGGGGTCCGTGGGCGCATCGTCGACCTCTGCAAACCGACGCAACGCAAGTACGAGACCGCCGTCGCAGTCGTCCTCGGGCGGGACATCGACTCCATCGTTGTCGACGAGGAGAAGACGGCGATTGACTGCATCGAGTACATGCGGAACCAACGTGCGGGGCACGCGACCTTCATCCCGCTCGACACGATCCAGGTCAAGGGCGTGAACGACAAGTACCGGGCGTTCGTCAAGGGCGCGCGGCTCGCGGTCGACGTGATCACGTACGACCCCGCGGTCGAGCGGGCCATGCACCACGCTTGCGGGAACGCGCTCGTTTGCGATTCGATGGAGGTGGCACGGTATGTATGCTACGAGAAGGGACAGGAAGTCAAAGGTGAGTGATACCGTATGCTTTAAGGCTTACCATGGCTGATGGGGGTTTTAGCCGTCACCCTCGAGGGCACGATCATCCACAAGAGTGGTCTCATCACTGGAGGCAAGAGTACGATGGCCAGCGGGAAGAAGTGGGACGACAAAGACGTGCAAGGTATGTTCCTCGCAACGGCGAGCGTGAATTGTACGTGTTGAGCGGGATACAGGTCTCCAACGTGTTCGTGACAGCCTGATGGCACAACTCCTCGAGCTGAGCAAGGCGAAGCCTCGAGGAAAAGACAGTGATGTGCTCATTTCCGAGATCATGCGTCTCGAGTCCTCTCTTAATGTTGTCCGTGACGATCTGGTGAGCTTCGAGCGCGTATAGGCGCCAGTTGTTGGGCTCAATGAGACGGCTGCAGGGCGCGTGCAAGGCCAAGCTGAACGGAGTTAAAGACGAGCTCAAGCATCTCGATCGGGAGATCCGCCAAGTCCAGCCCGAGCTCCGCAAGGTTCGTCACGCGCGCGACCACCCCGAGTGTCCCTAATACTCGCCATGCTCTCTGTAGGCCCAGTCAGCGTACGACAACGTGAAGGGCAAAGTCGACGCGCTCGCGACTGTAATCAACGCTGCCGAAGACGATGTTTTCGCCAACTTTTGCGAGCGCATTGGCGTGGCCAACATCCGCGAGTACGAAGCACGACAGCTTAAGCTCGCGCAGGCTGAGAGCGAGGCTCGCCTCCAGTTCGACACGCAGATCGCGCGTCTTACGCACGCGTGCGTCGTCGCTGTTCTCTTCTTTGCTGCCTTCCCGGCACTGACTTGCCTTACGTAGCATTCGGTTCCAGCGGGAGCAGCTGGAGGTTACGCAGGAGCGGATCAAGACGTATCGCGACATCATCACGGCCGAGACGGGTAACCTCGAACAGCTCGAGCGGGAGCGCGACGAGGCGCAGGCGGAAATCACGGAGGCGGAGGAGGCTATACAGATTCTCCAGGACGAGCTGAAAGAAACTCACGAAGAGCTCGAGGATAAGACGAAGAAGGTTGAGGATGCGAAGAAGGTCACCGGTCGCTCAGCGAAGGTGCTTGACCAGGCGATCAAAGAGATCGCGATCCATGTGAGTCTCGATGGCGCACATCTCCATCGATCGCGAGCTAATCAGGCTTGCAGAACGACGAGATCGAGAAACTTGGGCTCGAGCGGTCTGCGATATACCGCAAGTGCCGACTCGACGAGATTTCGCTACCCTTGGAGGCGGGTAGCTTGAAAAACGTCTCGATGGAGGAGGTACGCTACGACCGCTTCATCAATGCAGATTTTGACTGACCATGCCGTTTAGAACCTCCGCGAGGAAGTGACTATGGACGTGGACGAAGACGAGCAGGGTACGCAACGCGTAAAGCGGGTCCCCGACTACGGCATCGAGGTCAACTTCAGCCGGCTTCCCGAAAACGACCGCGAAGGTGACCCGGCGGAGGTGCTGAAGGAGCTCGACGAGAAGATTGCGTCGATCAATGCGGATATTGAGCAGATGGCGCCCAACCTGAAGGCCATCGACCGACTGGATGACGTGGAGGCGAAGCTTATTGAGACCGAGAAGGAGGCGGACAAGGCACGCAAGGACTCCAAGTCCGCGCGTGACCAGTTCAATGAGATCAAGCGAAGACGGTGAGCGTTCCTCTGACATGGAAAGGAGCACAGGCTCATCCGAGTGCAGGTGCGAACTGTTCAATAAGGCGTACAACCACATATCGGAGCGCATCGACCAGGTGTACAAAGATCTCACGAAGGGCAAGATGGCGCCAACGGGAGGCGTTGCGTACCTGACGTTGGAGGACAGCGAGGTGCGTAGTGGCGATTGTGGCCGGTATCGGTGAACTGACGCGGTCTTGCAGGAGCCGTACACCGCGGGGATCAAGTACCACGCGATGCCGCCGATGAAGCGATTCCGCGACATGGAGCAGCTCTCCGGGGCGAGAAGACGATCGCTGCCCTCGCGTTGCTCTTCGCGATCCACAGGTGCCGTAGCTTCACTCTTCGATGCCGACTTTCATTGACACGAGCCTTCTGCAGCTACCAGCCGTCGCCGTTCTTCGTGCTGGACGAGGTCGATGCAGCGCTTGACAACACAAACGTTGCGAAGATCGCGACCTACATCCGTTTGCACTCTTCCGCGACCTTCCAGTTCATCGTGATCAGTCTGAAGGGCTCGCTGTACGAGCGCAGCAACTCCCTCGTCGGCATTCACCGCGACCAGGACGTCAACAGCTCGCGGACGTTGACGCTTGATGTGAGTTGCGCTTCTTCGCGCGCGCGGAGGTTGCTGATGGGGCCCGGGTCTACAGCTGACCCAATACGACGACTGAGGGAGGAGGCGTGGCAGATCGTTATGACCCGATTGGGTTCTCCCTTGTGCTTTCGTACGTCGTCTGGCTATCGCATGTTCTCCTCGTTTTTCTACTGCAGTATTCCTATTGTACGCGTATACATTAAATCGTCTGTTGTATGGATATTATACCGACGTGCCACCCTGTGGTAACCTGTCTACAGCTCGTCGCGAAGTGGTCGAGGTGCTCGCGCACGGTCATTTGTTCGACCTTGTCGTTTCACTTCGACCAGGACAGAGCAGTAAACGACACGGGTGGCGCCGTCCGTGCCTTACTGAGCAGATACATGCCCGGACGAGAGTCAGTCTGGAAACTCAAGTCAATGCCTGTCGATTGAAGAGAGTTCGTACCATTGATGCCCCTCAGTCTTCGCTCTTGACCGACCTTATCGCCTTCGCGCGAGCACTTCTTGGATCGCGACCGTCCTCGCCCGCTTGAAGTTGGTCCGTCACCACCAGTGCCACGCCTCCGCCCTTTCGGCCAGAAGAAGAGAAAGTGCACAGAGAGCAACACATAACTTGACGTTGCATCTATGAGCGCCATGAGCGCGCTCAGCGAGAGGCGGGACCGTGCCCAAGCGTTCACTAGTCGGAAACGAGCCCCAAGGCACAGTGTTCGACGAGCCTGATAGCTCCCTCGACGACGCGCAGTGTACGCATGCTCCCCGTGTTTGCGTGACCAACGGCTCTCTCATGAGTCTTTCATGTTTCCCACAGCAATCACCAGGGTTGTAATGCACACAGCGTGTGTGGAGCAGCCACGTAAGTGATCCGAAAGCAAAAGCAATAACAATATCTACTGCACAAGGGGCGCAACGCGAAGGCGGAGCATCTAGAGCTAGTGATGGCGCAACTCGCGTCCGAGGCGGAGTGTAAGTACGAAGGCGACGAGGGCCGAAAGTCCAGCGAGCCTGGTCACCCGCCAACTGTCAGCCCCCGGCACACACGGGATCGCGAAGGCAGAAGGGGGACAGACCTGTATATGATGACGTATGAATTTGCCGAAGCCGTGGGCAACGGTCCCTCGCGAACGACGAGCGCGGGGGCTGCAGTACTGTTGGCGGAGGGGGTCGCGGAATCTGCGGGAGCGCCCGAGGTCGGGTCGAGGAGGGCGAAGGTCACGGACGCGATACCGGTCATGATGAACTGTGGGATGACAACGAAGATGTTGTGGATGCCGATGATGATCCCCACTTTCGAGGCGAGGCCTGACGGTGGTTTCGTCACCTCCTCCTCTGCGGCGCTGTGCATGTCGACGTGGCTCGTCCGCGCCGCGCCATTGTGCATAAAGAGGCTACGTGAAGTGCGGTCGCGCGAGGAAGTGCGTCGATGCGGCTTCATGAGATCGCCGTCGTTCGAGTCCATGGAGTCGTTGGATGAGAAGGAGCACACGTCTCCTTCTTGAGCGCTCGGTGGCAGGCGTGGCTGGTCGGGGGTCGGCTGCAGCTCGTCTTCGTCTTCGTCTTCGTCTTCATCGTTGCCGACAAGAAATTGGCGTTCGTCGTCGTCGCCCCCGAAATTGACGGAACGCCGGGTGCGCGTGTCGTTCAACACTATGGCGTGGCCCTCTTCACCCGGTACTTGCTCCGTGAGGATGGCTTCGGCGAGCTACGATGGGTAGATTAATCAGATGTTTGATTGGCTGGGACCGCGGTGTCACATACGAGGGAGAATGGAGCCCATTGAGTGACAGCCCAAGAGAATCCTGTCAGTGTCGTGAAGAACGTCGCGCCCGCGACGCTTGAGTAAAAACTACGGCGCAACGTAAGCTTGAAGGAAGGTGAGGTGTAAAGGGGACAACACACAAGGTGGCGAGCATACAGAGGGAGAAAACGAGATGACTCGCCGCCCAAAGGGTCGATAGGCTGACTTTGAGACGTTCATACAGCGCAAGCAAGTTGCTCTTGGGGGAGCCCGCCAACTTGCGCTCCAAAAGCCGCCTGGATCGTGCTGACTCGGCGACGACTAAGGGTAGAAGGATGTTGCCAGCGAAAGTGACGAGTGAGGAGTAGAAGAGGGCACGTGTACCAAGGCGTGTCGCTTCATCGTTGAGCTCCGGGTCGCCAGATGGGAGGACTGATGTGCGTTTGTGGAGGTCCCCAATGAACGCTGAGGTGTAGAAGAGGACAGGGAACCACCCTACCCAGGAACTTGGATGCAGATCGAGGTCAGTTTCGTCGCCGACGAGGGAGCCGAGAATGGCGGCAGGCTCACAAGAATTGGATCATGCACTACAATGAATCCGTCAATCTCTGAAGCGAAGAGAGGTGCAAGAAACATACTATCTGCCGGATAACCGGGGGGAGGGAAAACGCGTGCCCCCAGAGGTCGCGGAGTTCCTTGAGGAAACTTTTGTCATTCCGCCTGTTGTGCTGGTCAGCATTCTGGGGGAAGGAGTTACAACGAGCGGGCAACCTTGTGGCAATGACGACTTTCTCTTTGGTGCAGATGGCGGTAATCGCGTGCGTGAACACTAGGAGGATGGCGCCGACAGCGGCAAGAACTTGAATCTCGTTGCTGCCGAAAAAGGGAAATACGGCAGTCATGTCGACGTTGCCGCTGCGGGAAGAATGAAAGGATGTACGGTGGACGATTATGCGAAGACGAACATAAAGTACCCGGCGACACTTCCGAAGCCGAGCATACGGGCGGCCCATGCGTTCGCATCGGCTTGCTCGACGGGTGGGAGGGTGTCGACTATCAGGGCGCGGTCCACAGCTTGAACTGCGGCGGGAGGTGAGAACTGGACGAGACGGGGGCGAGAGGGTTTTACCAGCGTTGATGGAAAAGTCCATGGTGAATAGGGCGAAGATGGCGAGCCAGATGGTTAATGTATCATTCTGCATAGGGCTGGTTGAGTTCGGACGGCGGTGAAAGGGACTTGACGAGGCTTACAGCAAGTGTGTTTAGTGCGGTGAATATTGAGGCGAAGGAGCGGGTGAAGCCAAGGAGGAGGAGGGCGAAGGTGCAGATGATGCAGCCGACGACCATGTATGGTCTCCGGCGTCCGAAGCGCGATTTGGAGTTGTCGGCCATGACGCCTGGAGAAGGATGAGGGAGAGAGAGATGGGCAGACACATGGTGAGCGTACCGATGAGCGGCTGGACGACGAGGCCGGAGACGGGGCCGGCGAGGAAGACCATGGCCACGGTGGCCTTGGAGAGCCCGAGGGAGAGCAAGTAGGGCGTGCCTTGTGGCGGGGGACGACTGAGGACGGCTGCAGGCGGGGAAGAGGACGCGGGACGCACCGTACGACATCTCGACCGACCAGAAGACCTGGACACCGAGCAGGCCGATGGTGATAGCGGGCAGCTGTGCCCAGCGAGGACCGAGGATCCTGGCGACACCTGCGAGATGGGCGCCGTGGAGGCCGCCCTCCTCAGCCCCTGGCAGGCTGGAGAAGCCTCCTGTCATGGATCGCGAGCAGAGCGGGGATGTAAGTATGCGCGGGCAGGGGAGGGACGCGCGGGATGCGGACGCGGGGATGTCGCGGGGAACGAGAGCGGGGAGGAGAGGGACGGGGCCGACAGCGCTCGCCTCGCGCAGCGCGTCGCAGACGCGTCGGGCGCCGGCGATGACGAGGGGTGCGCGGGGGCGGGGTGGACGGCTGGCACTCCGCGCGCCTCACATTAGGCCGACCCCTCATTCGCGGGTTTGCTGCCCTCAACGCCCCCATGCTCGCCCGCACCTGTCGCACGACAAGAGCGCGGTTTACTCGCCCTCTGCACACCACCCTCGCCCGCAGGCGCGAGCCCTTCGACCCCGCCGCCGTCGAGCGCGCCTCCGATGACGTCGACGTCTGCATTGTTGGCGGTGGCCCCGCCGGCCTCAGCGCCGCCATCCGCCTCAAGCAGCTCGAGCAGGAGAAAGGACACGAGATCCGCGTCGTCGTTCTCGAGAAGGGCTCCGAAGTCGGTGCGCATACACCTACCTTTCTCTCCGTCCTGCCCGCCTCATCCCGCCCCAGGCTCCCACATCCTCTCCGGTGCCGTCCTCGAGCCCCGCGCTCTCAACGAGCTCCTCCCCGACTGGACCTCCCGCGATGACCACCCTCTCACCCAACCCACCACCTCCACCTCCATGCGCTTCATGACAAAAAATGCGTCTATTCGCATCCCTCAACCCCCTGTCATGGCCAAGATGGGCACCTACGTCGTCTCCCTCTCCAGGGTCACCGCCTGGCTCGGCTCCATCGCCGAGCAGATGGGCGTCGAGGTCTACCCGGGCTTCGCCGGAGCCGGTCTCGTCTACAGCGACGACGGCCGCAGCATCCTCGGCGTGCGCACCAACGAGGTCGGTCTCGACCGCCACTTCCGCATGAAGGACTCCTTTGAGCCCGGCATGGAGTTCCGCGCCCGCGTCACCCTCCTCGCAGAGGGCGCCCACGGCTCCCTCTCCAAGGAAGCCATTCGCCGCTTCAAGCTTCGCGAGGGACGCGACCCTCAGACCTACGGCCTCGGTCTCAAGGAGGTCTGGCGCCTCGACCCCAGCAAGCATGAGCCCGGTAAGGTCGTCCACACCATGGGCTGGCCCCTCGACTTCCGGACGTACGGAGGAGGATGGGCGTACCACATGGCCGACGGTCTCGTCACCCTGGGCATTGTCGTTGGTCTCGACTACGGAAACCCGTACCTCAGCCCCTACCGCGAGCTCCAGGTACGTTCGCCCCAGTGTCTTGCGCATGCGTCTCGCCTCATCGCTGCTAGCGCATGAAACATCATCCCTACTTCCGCGATCTGCTCTCAGGCGACTCCACTCGTCTAGCGTACGGCGCGCGCGTCATTAACGAAGGCGGCTGGCAGTCTATGCCTAAGCTCAATTTCCCCGGAGGTGCCCTCATCGGCTGCTCCGCCGGCTTCGTCAACGTCGCCAAGATCAAAGGCACCCACAACGCCATGAAGAGCGGCACGCTCGCCGCCGAGGCCGCCTTCGACGCCCTCGCGTCCCAGCCGGAGGAAGACAAGCCCACCGACATGAGCGCATACGACACCGCACTCCAGAACAGCTGGGTCCGCGACGACCTCTACGAGGTCCGCAATGTCCGCCCGAGCTTCCAGACGCCCCTCGGCATGTTCGGCGGCGTCGCGTACTCTGGTCTCGACACGCTCCTCCTCCGCGGCCGGACACCGTGGACGTTCCGGAACAAGACCGGGCTCAGCGACGCTGCGCACACCAGGCCCGCGCGGGATTGCGAGCCGATCCAGTACCCGCCGTTTGAGGCCCCGCTCTCCACCGACCTACTCACCAGCGTCGCGCTCACTGGCACCAATCACGCCGAGGACCAGCCCGTGCACCTGCGTGTCCGGCAGTACGACGAGGCCTCGCAGCACGCTGGCGCGAAAAGCGCACAGAAAGCGGGGGGCCTCGCGACAGAGTCTTTCCGGGAGGACGCCGCGGCGCGACGGGAGCATGTCAGGGTCAACGTGGGTGAGTACGCGGGGTTACTCGGGCGCGGGTGCCCGGCGCAGGTGTACGAGTACGTCGAGGACGAGGGCGCGGACGCGGCGGACGGCCAGGAGGTGGACCAGGTCGGCTGGGAGGGGCGGCGGCTTGTCATCAACTCGCAGAACTGCATCCACTGCAAGTTCTGCGACGTCAAGGTGCCGACGCAGGACATCACCTGGACCGTGCCCGAAGGTGGCGGCGGACCGAAGTACAGTGAGTGGGGTTGCGTCGCTGTGCAGTCGAGCAATCTGACATTTTCGTTGCAGCTATCACATAGATTACTTGTGGTTTTGATGAAAAAAACTAGTCCGGCGAGTATGAGAACCGGTCAACGAACGCCATCTGCAGTGTCGACAGTGAGTGGCGGTTCGAGCTGAACCTTCTTGACCTCCCGACCGACCTGGAGAAACACATGGAATGGCTTCCTGGGCTCATACCCCCGCTCGCGCGGCACCTCCGGCGTCGCCCGCCCGTTCATAATCACGCTCGACCCCGACATCAGTAAAAGCGCCGGGAACTTAGGCCCTTGCGGCGCTTGTGGACCTTGCCCAAGGTGCTCAAGGGCCGCAAGGGCCTAAGTTCGCAGATGCAGCTCAGACTCGTAGAGCGGCCGAAAGTTGGCCAATGTTTACTATGCAAATCACAACATGCAATAGTGGCAAGTTTCACTATAAGGAGCATGCTGCCGTGCTCGTGCGCTGATGTATCTACATCAGGAAAACCTTAACAAGCTAATTAGCTCTAGGCTAGCTAGCACTAGCACTATCGACTTAGCTATTCACACTAGCACACTATGAACAGCTAGTCATACCATTTGTTCACCTCTCACAACTATGTAGCTAGTCATTCTGCTGCCACAGCTAGTGGATCTAAATCAAATCTATTTGTACTGGGTCTGAATTAATGTCTAGCTACTTGTTGTGCACATCTCCTGCCCCATCTACATGGTCTTCATGTGCTGGGGCGCCTCAGCACCTGGCCAGGTCATGGTGAGCACCTCGTGGCGAGCCATGGCAAGTGTGCAGAGTGCACCAGGCATGTAGATGCGCTCGATGCCGTCACCCACGCCGTCGGGTGCGATCATGTGCTGGGGCTTCACAGGGGCATCTGCACGGTACCACTGTGATGAACTCTGAGTAAGGCAGGGAACCGACTGTAAGCACACGAAGAGGAGCGATCCTCAGTCAGTGATAGAAAGACTGTATTGAGAGCATAAGTAGTACCTGTAAGCACACGAAGAGGAGCGACTACAGATACAGTAAGCATATGTGTAAGGAGCGCATAGAAGTGTAGGTACTTACTCCTCAGTCAGTGATAGAAAGACTGAAGAGCAGTGCGAGCCAGAGTCCTCCTTATATCTATCTCAGGAGCTGCATACGTAAGCGAATGATGGAGGACATGATGGCGCAGAGAACAGACCGGACAGAAGATGGATACAATGCTGTACGGGCTGTGCGCTCAAGACAAAAGATAGTCCAAAAGTAGAACAAGGGAACAAAGAGAGAAGCGTAGAAGAACAGAATGGAAGAGATAAGTGTTGAAGATACGCGTGCGAGCGCCAAGGACGATTAGATAACTGGACCGGACTCACGCGCTTTGATTGTTTACTTACAAGCACTCGCATTGCCCTTTGTCTTTACATGTACTATATACTCTAGCTACGCGCTTGTACGGAATCTAACTCGCTTTCCCCCCACACTCTGCATGAACTTCTACAGGTTATGAGCCCTGCTTCGTTCTGAAGCGGGATCCACTCAACCTCCTCCACACATACTTGCTTACCTAATTCTCTCCCACTATGTCATCCAACGCCGAGAAGATCGGGAACATCCTTTGGACAAAGATTGTGTTACGGTCGCGGAGCGCGGGAGCACGGAGGTCGGGCGAGTCGGAGACGAGCGGAAAGGCGGGATGGATTAGAGGACGCGCTTGACCTCGGAGAGGCTCGCGGTAGCGGGGAGACGGGAAGGAGAGGTGACGGGGAGGAGCCAGGAGGCAATCGTGTAGCAATACAGTGAAGCGGGCGCGAGAATATAAGTGATGCAAGGTAACCAGTGGCGGACGATCGTATGCTGGGCGTCCGTAGCGGGTGCACGCCGAAGCTCGTAACCAGACAGGCGGAGCAGGCCATAACAGATTGAGCCACTTGCAGGATCCAGCGACTATCCACGGTGGCGTCGGCAGTTGACTGCACTTCTCAAGCTCACGAAGGTCTCGGATATCATCTTTGGCAAAGTCACATGCCCTGCGAACACCGATGGAAAGAATGCGGCCGCCGTTACGGAGTGGGAAGACAAAGACCTCGCAGCGCTCGTCGGCATGCAACTCAAACTCGGCATGGTAGCCGCCGCGCTCGTAGCCGACTCGAGCACAAGCCACGAAGCCTGGACCAAGCTGGAGAAGAATTATTAAGTGCGCGGTGTGGGACGCATCATCAAACTCAAGAGGAAGATGATGAACTC